AAATTGAGTTTTTTTTTAGGATTTCAATATGTACTTGTAGTTTTCGGACTTGTGTAAGATCAAGTTGATATAATTTTAATTATTAGGTTTGACCATAACTACAATATATTTCTAATCTTATCCACTAAGGAAATTGTCCTCTATTACAACCTTATGAAACCCTTCGATGCATACGTAATCTCATGAAAATTACAAAAATCATATATATATATATATATATATATATATATATATATATATATATATTAAAGAATATATTTTAAATTTTATCTTTTTTGTTATGCTGTTTGGGTGAATCATGCACACATTCAATTAAAAAAAATTCATATGGAAAATAAATTAATTATGATTTTTAATTTTATTATTCTAATATCATCGTGATTAGTGAAAGCATTTTGTTTGAGTTCGTTCCACGATATTCGTTGAAATGACTCATTGCGTATCATTTCTTCACCAGCAAAACCACGGCACCTACTAACGAGAATATATAGACAAACCCTAGTGGAAACATTCATATTCAATAATATCATAGAATATATACATATATATATATATATGTAATTATGGTCTAGATATTGATATTTTTTCTATTTAAATTATATTTTGAACTAGTTAACAGTTTTATGAAAAGAGAAATATTTATTTGATGATTAACGATATATGAGACATGGTTTAATTTATCAATTAAATACGATAACGCCAATAGTAGTTAGATTATTTATAAATTCGAAAGATGAATAAATTCATTATATATCATCCAAAAATACGGCTAAAATGTGTTCTCTATTTCTTTGTTTTCCTATTTTTGATGATAAAATATATGCATACGGAGTTTGTATCACAAAAAAATATTTTTTATATCCTTACTTTTTATTAATAGATTAAACCACTTTTTTTTTACATGTAATAGGGTTTTGTAATAAATAATAGCACTGAAAATAAGTAGAAATAGTCCGGCGGCGGATGATATCTCATGCAGCTCTCATACTCATCACGGAGAAGAAAAAAGAGGTATAATATATATATATATATATATATATATATATGATCAATTTCTTACTATTTTTCTTCTCTTCTAATTATTACGCCTGGAAATTATATTTTTTTTCTTGTTTCTTATTTCTTAAACAACGTTCAAACTTTTGTTTCGTCTTCGTCAACCTCCACTACATCTTATTAAAAAAAAAAATCTACTGTATGTGAATAATATCTCTTGTGAATTTGTTACTTCTCCAAAGAAAAAAGGGAGCAAAGATGAAAATAAATCACAAATTAAAGAAATGTTTGGGTTATTCAAAAATTTCGAATTACGTCAACGTCAAGATTCGAAACCCCATCTCTTGGGAGAAGTCCTTTTCCCCCCGACAATTACCATGCATGACTCTTTCTTTTTTCCTAAGCAGTAAAGAATCATTTACTTTTTTTATTTTACTTCTATTTTATTTTAAAAAAAAATCGCACGTATAAATATCAGAATTTGTATAAAATTTTCATATAATATCTAAACTATAAAACTTTTACGTAAATACATGAACTTTTTAAAACTTTCATAAAATTATCCAAATTTTTGAAAATTTTCCAAATAAAACAATATACGCTAACAGCGTTTAATGTGTTCAGATCTTAAATCATCAATTTTTTTATAGATTTCCTTATAAATTAAACGTCATTAATAGATTTTGGTTTCATTTGAGAGTATTTATATGGAAGTTTTAAAAAATACATATATTTCTTACTATTTTTTATTTTTTTTTAAAAATTCATTTGAGAGTATTTATATGGTTTCATTTGAAACGTTTTGTGTGTCATTTCACCGGTTAAACTATTCAAATTTGGTTATATCTATGATAAAATTGTTGAAGTTGATTGAATCTACTACAAAACAAAAGTCCGACAAGAGCCATTACCACTTCAATTTCATGGACAACACTGCAAGACCCTCTGGGATTTATATCAATTTCGTGTAATTCTTGATCTCTATTTTTTTTTTATAAAAAAAAAAAGAAAGAAAGGAGGCAGGTATGTTTCCACTTGAGAGAAATCCACCTTCAAAGATGAGGAATAATATACAAGAAATTGAATGAAACTCAGGATGGGTCCATCTTTTTTTCTTTTCTCTTGTAGGCAGCCATGAAAATTAGTTTTTTTTTTTTAAAAAAAAAAAAAGAGGGCCAACATTTTACAGATTCCTACTTCTAATATAAAAAATACCCAAATCTTCAATTAAAATTGTAAGATGAAACCAAAAAAAAAAAAAAAAGGACATGTCACTAATTTCCAACACCCTCCTCCTCTCAAGAAAGATTCCAATTGCTGCATTTTCCAAAAAAGAGTATATTGCCAAAAGATCCCAAATCCTCCTCCACTCTCTCCTAACCTCATATCCCCAAGAGGATGTAGTAGACCAGCGTTATCGGCAACGCGATTAACATCCCGAATATCACTCTGTAACATATTTAAAAAAAAATTCAAGTATTTACCAAATCTCAAAATATAATATGTTAAAATGTAATGAATCGCCATAATAAAACAGAAACTATTATACATATATATATATATATATAGATAGATAGAACAACTTACGCAGTGCTAAGAATGTCAGGATGCACATTGTACTCCTTGGCGAAGACAAACGGTACAATCCCTTGGGGGAGAGCTGCCTGATTTCCCACCATTTAAATAAACATTTATTAGCTTCAAAAATACACATGCACATACATCATTATCCATATATACATATATATATATATGTCTTCCACACAAAATCGAACAGTCCATGATGCAAAATTACATTCCATGTCGCGTATGCATAATATTTAATTATTCTTTTATTATATTAGTTCAGGAGAATCTCTCTTGAAAAGAATGATAAACCAAACACGCAGACCAAACCCACCAAAACGACAAAATAATGTGGCTTCTCATACATTGATCTGACAAAAAGCCACATATATATACACACATATATACACATATATGTTGTTATATGCATACACAGTTGATACAGACTGTGTAGAGATTATACGTATGCATACATATCTGTACACAAGTATAAGGAAGGACGTATGCAGAGGTGTGAGTATACCTGGACGATGGCGACACGGAGGAGGACGCCGTGGAGGCCGACGGCGAAGGAAGCGGCGGCCATGATCGCCGGTCCGGCCAAGAATCTCATCGCCGCCGCAAAGGCCGCTCTTGTGTTCCCACACGCTATTATTCTTGGTTGCAACGCCATGAACAGTCCTAATTTTAAAAAAACTATGTATTAAATAAAAGCATAAACTAGATAAAAAAAATATTTACACCTACCATTTTTATTTAAAATATTTTAATCCGTCTCTTTAATATATATAAATCAATTAATTACACTTTTTTCCTCTGTCTAGCTGGAAAGATATTTTAGTATAAAAAAAAGGGGAGGTGAATGAAAAAGAGTAACAAAACAATAACATATACATTCTTCATTTTTTTTTAAAAAAAAAATCTATACAAGCGCATCATTACATCCACCATCACATCAGTTCGATAAAAATATTATTAATATTGGGTAGTTTCGATATTTTTCTATTTCATAAAACGTGATTATCGCAAAGTTTGTAAGTTGCTTTTTTTAATGTTGTCCAGATGAAATTAACATTTGATTATAAACTACAAGTTAGATTTGATATTAATGTTATTGATGGATAGCCTACATAAATGCCACTCATTAATAAAAAAAACATGAAAAAAATAATTTATGGGTTTAAAACAAAATATATAATAGATTTTAAAGAAATATTTTTCTCCTCCCCAACAGGCAGACATGTTATGATGAGCACAGCACTGTGGAGCATGCTTTCTGCTCACAGCCAGTTTCCTTTGCTCTTTTGCCACAGACATGTTCTTTTTTTAAAAAAAAAATAAAATAATTAAAGAGAAATAAGTTTAATAAAAAAAAAGAATAATTTAATAGCCCTCCAAATTTTCCACTTCACCACCTAAGAGTTGCACTTTGGGTTCTTTATAAAACAATATATTAAAAACATTTAAATGCCATTCGCATTCAGATTTTGTTAAAAGATGAAAAAAGAAAAAAGAAAAAAAGGAAAATTGGAAGTAGAGAGAAACTGACCAAGACTGAACATAGCCATGCCTAGACCTGCATCTGAGAGTATGGAAATGGACTTGGCGATTATCGCTGGCATTTGGACGTCCCACCTGCACATATGTTTATTAATTAATTTATTTAATAAATGAATTAACCCCGAATTTAGTTTCCCACTCCAATAAATGAAGGGGTGTACTACTACACCCAAACACAACTATGAATGCTTTCACTGCATCGCCCAGCCTTGAAAGACCAAAACTTTGACGTGTAACATTCAAAAGTTTACATTTTTCGAGTACCCTTTTACCGGATTTCCCTGAAGAATCCTTAAACTTCATTACCGGACAGTCAGATTCGATTAAGGTTTCTTGCCCTTGTTAATTAAAATGCTAACTTGCCCTAATCGATGAACTGCTTGAACCCATCTCCAAAAATTTCAAAAACAAGAGAGTTTTCAGATACCCTTTGTCGGATTTCCCCTAAAAGTCTTCAAGTTTCAAGTTTTATGAAATGTGGAAGAAGAGAGATAGTGGGGCATTTTTACTTGAAGGAGACGAGGGACCAGGTGATGCCGAACAAGCTGGAGTAAGTGTTGGGGTTTCTGATGAGTTTTCTCCAAACCATAATGAGAATGAGTCTGGTCATCACACTTGTCGGGGGCATCGCCTTAGGTGGCTGCAGCTGTTGTGTTTTGCTGCTGATGTTGTTCCCATCAGCAGCCAGAACTTTGCTGTCATCGTTTGTGTTGCTGTCTCCTCCTCTGTTTCCGAAACTGAACTCTTCCCTCTCCATGTACTGCTGGTGATTGTCATCTGTTATACACCACACCCCGCACCATTTCACATGTTTTTTTTTTTTCAGATTTCAATCAATCCCATACACCAAAGATTCGGCCTTTATGACTTCAATCGAAAACTAGATTCATTAACTAACGTGGGTTATGATTGAATCAAAACGGGTTTTTTTGTATTTTGAAGAAACGACTTAAAAGATAATGTCTTAAAGAATGGGATGGAATAAATGTCAATAGACGCATACAAAGATTACATTTTATTTCAGTTATTTCAAGATGGGTTACTGATCTAAGAATCTATTGGATGAAACAAATTTATCTTATTTTTGTAAGAAAATGAAAATGTCGCAAGAAAACAAAAACATGGCAGTTAAGAGAGACAATACCAGTGTGGTTCCCCTGAGGGACAGCGATCTTCACGTCCTTGTGGTTGTGGTGGAAGTCCACATGGTTGCCGCCGCCGCCGCCGCCGAATACGTCGGACACCGGCGAAGCGCTCGAGCTCCACACGAACATGTGAAGATCCCTCCCGTTCGCGTCCTGCCTCTTTCCTCCGGCCACCGGAGCATTCCCCTTCGCCGCAGCTCCGGCGAGGGTCTGCGGCGAAAACATCCCCGGATTCGGTGCCGGATAATGAGCTCCTCCTCCGCCGCCGCCGGCCTGGTAATGGAACCTCCCGGCTCCTCCTCCTCCTCCTCCGCCACCGCCCGCCGTCGCACCGGCGCCTTTTGCCCCATCGTCCTCGAAGTTCGATGGTCGAGGGGTGGGTCCGCGAGAACCGAACACGGCATCTCCGGGGCCAAAGTTGGAGCTCCGGCCACCGGCGGCTCCCATCATGGAGTAGAAATCCGTGTGGTTAAAGCTCGACCCACGAGGCGTCGGGTTCCGAGAGCTCTGGAGAGAGTAAATCTCGGCGTTGGTGAGATTCGATGGCCGAGGAGTCGCCGAGGATAGTCCCTGAGACCGCCGGGAAAAAATATCCGATCTGGACGCGTTCGAGCGGCGCACCGTGACGTGAAGCTTCCCGTCTTCTTTGATCTCAGCCTCAGTTTCGAGGGGTTGCCGACCGTCGAGGGACATGATGTCCGAGTCGACATGGATAGAGACAATGGAACCCGCAGTGTCGGGGAACTGCTCGGAGATCAAAAGCCTCGCTCCGCGGAACTCGAACAAGAAGAGCATCAGAGTGTACCAGATGATGCACTGAAGAACGACGATCTGAACCATGAGAGATCCCGAGAAATCGCCATACATGCCCTTAAGAAGGGGGATGCCCATGACGAGGGTGTTGGGGAGAGTGGAGAGAGAGAAGAGGGTGATAGTCCAGTCGAGGGAGCCATGGCGGCGGCTGAGCTTGGACCAGAGGAAGAGGAGACAGAGTACGATGATCTTCTGGAGGGTGTCGGCGGCGAGGAAGCGGAGGGACATGGCGTAAGGGTTGTTAGCGGCGATGAAGTGAAAGGAGAGAAGAGGGACGGCGAAGAGAGCGACGAAGCGGTTGATGCCGGAGCATTGGTCGGGAGTGAAGATCTTCCACCACTTCACTGATCCGTAAGCGAGGATCATGGCCACGTACAGAGGGACCATCGCCGTCATCACATGGTAAAAGTCCGTCCCCGTTATCATCTTCTCCGGCGATGTTTATCCGTCGGAGCTTTTCTGGGAGAGAGAGAGGAGAAAAAAAAAGTTTTTTTTTCGGGGAAGTGAAGAGTGTACTTTGGGAGCAGTGGAGGTGGAGGGAAGAGGGTGAGGGTATAAAGAGGAAAAAAAAATGAGTAGATTTATCTTTCTTTTTTAATTTGGACTTTTCCTATGTAATGTTTCAATTTTATTATTTTTTTTTAGTTTTGATAAAATATTTGGTTGTTTTTATTTGCTATCTTTATGGTTTCTATCTATCCTGAGATTTCCATGTACATTGAGGGGTGAAAATGTCTTTTTTTTTTCCAATTCAATTAGAAAATGAATTAAAAGCTGAATACTTTTTTTTTAGTTATGAGATTATTAAATTCTGATATGGGTTGATGTGATAATGTGGAAATCAACAGTTCATTTTATTAATGATAAATGAATAAAGAAATAATATGTTGGATATTGGGTTACTTGTGGAGGGTTATGGAACTTTGGGGCAGTGAGAGAGGCAACTTTGTGCGTTTTGCAGAACCCAAGGCTATTGGATTTTGCTTTTTTTTTTTTATATATATATTATGGTTTGAGTGATAAGAAAATAAAATAATTTCAATTTATTTTATGCATTTCTGTTTATCGCTACAAGGTGGAGTTATTTTATTGGGGAATTGAAATAATATGGAGTTTTAGGGTTACAAATGGGATTTAGATTGTGAAATAAATTTATAATTTTTTATTGCAAGTAATCCGATTGTAAAGGTGTTTACGTTTGAGAAGGATTTTTTTTGTTTGACAGCTCTCACGAAAAATATTAGGTAAAAAACCATATTTTAAGACATCATAGCATAAAAGAAATTTTCATTTTATAGTAAAAATGGAAAAGGAAAACACGAAAAAAAAAAGATTTTAAAAAAAATATCTATCTAACATTACAATTTTCTATAAATAAACTTTAGATATTTGGATTTGTAGTTAGTTGAATTTTGTATGGATAATTATAGTACTAGTATATTTGATAACTAATACAATATAAATCTCAGGTATAAAATTATTAATTGATCATTTAAAATCTCGACTATATATACATATAAGCATATATGATTTTATACTTTGTTATCTGTATATAATGTGATATATGTATAATCTAATAATTTTGATAAAAACATTGTAGTTTTGTAAAATAGTTTTCTATGTTAAATTTGGATTTGTTATTTGAAAATGGATAGAGTTTAAAATTAAACGTTTTTTTAATGTTTTCTTACATATGAGGATTTATTAGGATAGATCATAAGATGGAGTTTTGTTAGAATTTTCTTTATTCAAAACAAAAACTTTTTTTTTCTAAAAACATCAAAATTCATTGAATGATAAGCTTTTAAATAACTTGCATATTTATTTACCAAATTTTATATTTGTTCAATTCTCATTTTAACTATGGATAGGTATAACAATTTCCATTCGCTCAATATCTTCGAGACATAATAATAAAATATTTTAAATGGAAATTTTAAAAAGTATCAACAGAATGCAATTTAGGGTTCAACATTGGTTAAGGAAGCAGAATAATGTTATGATAGAATAAAATATGTAACATAGAAATTAATAAATAGAGAACACAAAATAAAAATATATGGTTTTTGGCTTGTCCAAGTTTCCAAGCCATTTAATCCTCGTCAATGTTCTCTACGCTGAGAAGGAACCTCAGAGGACATTTATTATTTACGGCAATGGGGTAAAAAATATATCTACTGTGGTAGTTAAAAAAATATTATTACAAACAACAACAACAAATAATAATAATAATAATAATAATAGGTCCTTGAACTATCTATTAAGGAGGAAAAATAAGAGTTGCAATTGTTGGTTATAGCTAATTTACTCACATATTTCTTGTAGAAAAAATATGATCATTAATTGATTATATGGTATTAGTTGTGTTTATCCTGTCCGGTTAGTTTTCCGTTCGGTTGATTTATCTTTGTTTCGTAATGAAGGGTTTTATTTGGTTTTTTTGTTTAATTTTTTTACGTAGTTATGGTATAGTTTTTTTTTATAAAAAAAATAGTATATAAGACAAAATGTGAACATTAATTGCCTAGACAATGTCTATTGCAATTCTCGGGCAGAATATATATAATGTGTGCATATATATATATATATATATTGGATGAACATTATATATGGTATCATCATCTTCGTAATAATATTTAGGGTAAATCATAACAATATTAATAATAATATTCTAAGAATAATATATTCTTATATATGGTATGTCATAATTTTTGTGTAAGGGTTTATACAAGTTTTGTATCCATAAATACATGTTTTTATATAAAAACAACAGTATTGCTAATTTGCTATATATATTTTTTTGGGTAAAATTTTGCTATATTTTTTACACAAACAATATCTACACAACTAAAAAAATACTAATTTTTCTTTTTTTTTAAAAAAAAATATTAAAAGCTGAAAATAGGTTGTTTTGGGCAGAGATCACTCTGATGAGATTCTGTCTTGGGTTTTTTTTTTCATGATAAAAAATAACTCGTGTCCGTACAAAAACAATGGTTGACATGATGACTGCTCATATTTGAGGAAACATTATATTCCTTCGCCAGTCTCCCCTTCTTATATTTTTTTCTCTTATCATCTTTTGCTCCTCGGTATATATATATATATATATAAATCATTTTTAATCTTAATTTTCGGTCCATCTTTTCTATTATATACCAAAAATATTACAAATATTTCAACTAACTCACGTTTAACATTCCATCATTCCAAACATTTCACTATTTTTCTCTAGTATCGGTCCAAACTACACTTTCAAAAGCATATCAATTGATCCCGAATTCAGTTATAGGCAATTGTGGGTTCTCATGCGAAAATCATTATTTTATATATATGCTATAAAGGATGTATATATATATATGACCCAAATTATTCGACCTTTATAGTAAAGGTTATATCAATCTTTTGCAGGAAAGTTATGTATTTTTTTTATAACATATGGTTTATAATGTGGCTTTTAAAAGCACTTGAAACGGGAAAAATGGTAAAGAGAAAGCATACTAGAAAAGATAATTGGGTTCGAAAACAAAGGGGCCGTAGAGTAAATATAAGATAATATATATATATATATATATACGTGCATATGCATGTGTATACGTGTGATATATGAAGCTTTCATCTGGTTATCATGGGCTAAATTGGTAATTATCAAAATATTTGCCTTGTATTAAGAGCGTCTATGAAATGTAAGTACTTAAATACAATATGTTGTTAAAAAAAAACAAGGGTATAAAATATTAAAATTAGAGGAGCCGCGGAAATCGCTGCCTTTGGACATCACTTTTGGATAGGGGTGTCAAAACGAGCCCGGCTCGCGAGCTGGCTCGTGGTTCGCCATAAAACGAGCGATCTGAGCCTAATTTTTTCAGCTCGTTAAAAAACGAGCCTAACAAACCAGAGCTCATTGAACACGTGTTCAATGAGACTAGTTCGGCGAGTTAGCAAGCTGCTCAACGAGTTGGTATTTTTTTAAAAATAAATTAAATTTATATAAAAAACTCTAATATAATTTTATATTAATTTTTTTTCATATTGTTTATATGATATTATAAATATACTAATTATTAATTATTATGATGGTGATAATTAAAAATATTAAATGGTATTGGTGTTTTATTAAATTTTTATGTATTTATTTAAATTTATAATTATATTTAAAATAAATATAAATAAAAAATATTATATATCTTTGGCTCAACGAGCCGACTCGTTCAGATCGGAAAACTGGCGAGCGATCTGAACCGATGTTTTTCTGGCTCGTTAGAAAACGAGCCTAACGAACTGAGCCCAAAACGTTCCGAGCCAAATGAGCCAAACCCAAAATGATTCGAACTGACTCGTTTGACACCCCTACTTTTGGACAATGGACACCAAATAAAACAGATTATTAACATATTACAAATTAATTTAAATTTTAGAAAAATAATTAAACGGGTGGGGAAAAACGTTGTATTTGAAAAGTTGCTGATGAATTGCCACAATATATGTTATTTAATTGTTTTTAAAAAAGGGTATAAAATGTTAATTATTTAGTGAAACCATCATTGTGCAAGGAATGTACGTATATTCATGTTTACTGAAAATGGATATTGGGTATTTTAAAAACGTGTATATATATATATACAAGCATCATTATCGATCAGTTTGAGATCTTCACCACCTTTTTTTTTTTAATTTTTTTTTTGTGGTATAAGTCCATGCGTTTGTGCCTTCTTCCTTTTTGGTAATGATTAAATTATAGGCATTGTAATTGTAATCAAAGCCTTTAAAAACCGCAATAAGACCAAAGAATCACACTATCTCTTTGTTATCATCGTATATACGGGGTTTATATATATTTCGATTTAGATTTATAAAACCGAACCGAATCGTAAAAATAAAATAGTATATAATTATTTTTATCTAAAAGATCATAAAATATGAATTTCAAGTTAAAAAGCTATCAGAAATGTTTTTTTAAAACCAATGGATTTCCATTTCGATATCCAGCTAAAACAAAATTGGAAATAAAATTCTGAATCTAAAAACAGTTGTATATCAAAATCTCTCGTCCAATAATATATTTTAATTTTTGAATAATATGAAAACAAATAAAGGAAGTTCATAAATTTACTCTCTTAGTGTATGCATAAACATAATTTTCATGGCCGTGTATAGTCCATGCTTAGTCCGGATAATTCACGCTATGAACGGTCCAAGAAATCAAATAATTCTTTAAATCATTTAATTTGATGAGGTAAAAACGAGAAGAAAAAAAATAAAAAGTTTTTTTAATTAGTTAATAATAAATAATAATAGATATTGGATATTGAGCAGTAAAGGACAAAAAAGCAGTATCGTGTTTTAACGTTTAATTTTGTCTGTATCTTCGCATGACCAAAGAATGATTGGCTTTGAGGTTCAAAGATTTTTCATACAAAATTTGATTAAAACGTAAAAAATGACAAAAAAAAACATAAATATCAAATATTACGATTTTAATATATGTAAATGGATATAAATATGAAACATGAGTAATCTAAATATCTGAGCATAAAATTAATGAAAGACAATTGTTATGATCTTTATTAATGATTGGATTAGTCTAGATATATCACATATTTTGTAATTAATTTATAAAAATAAAATATATAAATTTAATACAAGATAAAGTACTATAGAAATTAATCATTAATATTTTTTAAAATTTATATAAATATAAAATAACGGTTTTATTTTTATCAAGATTATTTGAATGGTTTTGGGCATATATACGTGCTCAAGGAGGAGAGCCGTGCACAATGAACACTTGAAGGATTAGAGGAGACTAATTAATTTCGTATTATTAAAATTGGATTTTGTTGATTTTCGATATATTGCATTAATAAATAAGTAAATATAAAAAAAAAGGAAAATGATTTCGATTTTAAATATAAAAAAAGAAAGATAGTAAAGGAAAAGAGAGAGAGAGAGCATGCGTTGAACCGAATAATGATGAGAAACGGGACAAAAAAAGGAGAGGCGTGTCAGCTTCACGTTTCTCTTGAAAATCATTTTTATCTTACCCATTAAAAAAATCTAATTACGGATTTGTTTATTAATTAATCCAGAGTCAGGACATGATAAACTCGGATTAAGAACATCGATATCCGTCTTATATTTCTCAAATTCTAGAAATAGAAAATGAATATATATAAATATAAATAAACAAACATACCATCATTATTCTTTTTACTATATAATCTGACTGAAGACTATATATAAATCAATAGGTAATGGAGATATTATATAAATTTAGGTCTTAAACGTTCTATGGGCCTTCAAGGTGTAAAGTTTGTAGGTTTAAGCTTCAAGTGGCTTAAAGCCTACATAGGCCATATGCTTGTTTCTGCCAACAGTTGTCCTTTAGGGCATAAAATAGAGCAAAAAAGAAAAAAGGTGTCTTTAACCAAATTTTGATGATTTAATATGATGGAAATTTCCCATTTTCTTTTATATATTTCGTTTTTGAATCGTTGTTGTTTATTCGAAATATAGATTTAATTAGGATTTCAAATATGTGTGTTTTGGTATTTGTAACCAATGAGATGTTTGTAGGACAAAAATTATATCAATATTTGGAAGGCTCCGCAATAAATAAAAGTATGGGGGTATTTTAGAAAAAGAATAAAGAATTTGGGGGTTTAGTTGATATTTGGAAAATGTTATCGACCAAAAGAAACATGAGACCAAATGCCGATCGATGGCTAAGAAGAATCAATGGAAAAGCATATATGCTTTCGCCCGAAGCCTTTTCTTTTTTTCCTTCGGAGTTTTTGGGTTCTCTAAACTGAACCCTATTACCTATATATTTCGAAAAAGAATAATTATAATAATATTATTATTATAAATAAAAGGGTAAATATAAAATGACTTTATTTTTGTAAAAAAAATCGACATATCCTGAAAATGACCAACTTTTCTACTGAGTTTCAAAATATTGTGTTCCTCAAAAGCTGCTGCTGCTGCAATAAAAGTATCTTTTCATTCTTTTTTAGTTCCTAGAATTATTTTTAAAAAAAGAAAAGAAAAGAACATACTTTTGTTTGAAAAGTAAAGTATCTTCTTCTCCTTACGATTCCTTCAAACTAAACATCAATCACTAAAATTCGTGCCGTTTCGCCAGAGGACTGTGCCCAATGCTTGTCGTCTCATCATCATCACCATCACCATCACCATCATCATCATCATCATCATCATTCTTTTTTTTTTCCTTACCACTCATCTCTGCTAATTTGGAAGAAGGGTCGTTCTCGAGAGTCTGATCGTAGTAGCGCTTGGCAAGATCGAGATCGAAGGGAAGCCCTTGTCCATGCTCATGCATGTAACCGAGATGGAACAATGCTTGTGCATTTGACTCGGGTACAGCATACATGTATGCCTCTGCTGCACGCACAAAATCCCTCTCGGTGCCCTGAGAACAAGTGATGAACAGAGTGTAAAGATAAAAGTCTCCTATCTCCATTCGATCAGACCGAATCCCCTTATAGGTTCACAGAGTGCTACAAAAACACTTTCTCTATACTTGCTCAGTTTCATGAAATGGGAAAAATAGACTATTTTCAACTGACCCGGCCATAATAATATGCATCTCCGACGAGCAAAGCAGCATGTCCGTTGCCTTGTTCAGCGGCACGCCACCAAAAAGAATGTGTAAGCTGAAGCCTCTCTTTATCGGTGCAAAACCCAGACACTCCCATGCACATGCTTCTCTCCCCATATGTTTGGATGATCCATGCAGCATTACTTTGTGCAACTTCATAACCAAGCTCTGCCATTCTTGAATACAATAGCAATGCCTTACCCACATCTCCTTTCATATAAGATTCAACAGCCCATCTCGACAAATAACTCCATGGTCCCTTTTCTGCTACTAACTTGTAATGTGAAGTGGCCTGCAACCAGAATTCTAGAAATGTGACCAAGCAATTCAAGTACTATATTCCTCAGCAATGAGAAAAGGAAGTATGATTCCCAAGTGCTCAAAGAAAAAAATTGCAAAAGCAGCTAAAATGGGTGATGGAAAAGAAGATAAAGGAAATAACAGTGAAAGAAAGAACTAATAAACCTAATTAATACCAGTAATGTAACCTTGTAAACTGAATCCCAGAGCCTCTATGGATGTAAATTATGGCTAAATGCATGAAATCTACAGCTTTATCACATAAAATCAAGCTCCTGAAAAAAGCTGGTCACACACCAATTACCATTTCTAGGTTCTTTGTAAGCCCGATACCAGTATGGAACATCTTAGCCACTTGATACGAAGCCTTTGGCAGACCAGCGTTAGCAGCAGTAATAAAATATTTGCATGCCTTTCTCACATCCTTTTCGACACCAATGCCTTTAAGGTACAATACCCCAAGGATAGTGTCCATTAGGGTCTTCATTATCCACAGCCTTCAGGAAATATTCTCTCGCCTGCATGTGAAGGAATATATCAGTGAAATCTACTTGGATCAGATCATTGATATCTGCTTAAATTCTGTAGAAGAAAAGCTGAAGGAACAAGTGAAAGAAATACCACCTCTGCTAATGCTAATATAATAATTGGGCCTCTGCTATCGATTTTCTTTTACATTACTGACATCAATCTCTAAGAAAAACTGGTCCACAAACTTTAGCCATGACTCCTTGGAAGTGCCAACAAGACAAGACATACGAAGATGGACTCGGGCACAGCTTAAAAAACCACTGGCAAGATCTATAACCAGAAATGTAGCAAGTCAGGGAGGGAAGAACACACCTTAGTGTAGTTTTTCTCATCCACTCCATAGCCTTTGAGATACAAATATCCGATGCCATTATATGCTGAATGGAGACCTTGTTTTGCAGCAAGCATAAGCCATCCGAATGCCTTGGTGTAATTTCTCTCAATACCAACTCCTCTAGCATAGATCTCTCCCAGAAGTTCCATGGAATTCGGTTCTCCTTTCTCTACTGCCCTCGAAAACCAGTACAACGCCTTGGTATAATCACGCCTTACTCCTCTCAGACCAAAGTAGTAGAACACTCCAATTTTGTACATTGCCCAAACACCCCCTTTCTCCGCCTCAGATTTCAATATCTGAAAACCCTCGTCTTCCTCTCCAATGGAATTACTAAGTGCATCTTTGTTTTCTTCAGTTCCCCTGTGAATTCTAATGGGGTCGACCACCACATGCAAGTCTTTCCAGATAAGGAAACTATTCACAGCCGCTTCCGCTACTTCAGCATACGGTTTGACCGCTTTTTTCATACATCTGTTAGGAACCACAACTCGAATTCAAACTCAGCTACAAAGAACATTGAGACACAAAATCCTTAAACTGTGCCTTAATTCACAGATTGGTTTCTGCAATTTCACATGGGTCACAACTCATTTCCTCATTTGTCTTGAACCATAGTTTCAGATTGAGTTCGATAGAGACATAGATTCAGCGAGGCAGAAGAAAAATCTTAAAATGTTCAGTTTGCTTACGCCTTGTCGAGTATATGTGAACGCAAGGTACATAAACGACTCCGTCGCGCTCTTGTTCCGCATCATCCCCATTCCGTAGACGAAACCTATCACCGACTGCGCATGCGGATTTCCGGCCGCCGAAACCGCCTCTATCTCCGTCACAGCTTCCTCCATCATCTGGGCGTTTCCCTCGCTCACCGCCGCGAGAATCTTGTGGACGCCGGAGTAGTTCTGCGGCGATGCGACCTGGACGGGGAAGTCGTCCGGCTCGAAAATCGGACGCCAAGAGCCCAGATCGAGCTCCTCCTCAGACTTGGAATCGGAATCGGGGAACTCATCAAATTCTGAGGACTCTCCACTGCCGCCCCCTTCATCGCCGGCGGTTACGCCGTCGTTGAGAAAGTCGTCAGAGACAACGAGAAAGATGGAACCAGTGTGGACACGATGAACGTAGAGAGAGAAAATGAGGAGAGAGAATAATATCACTCGGAAAGCTGAGACTCTCATCCTACCTTCTTCTTCGTCGTTGTTTCTCGATCGAATTGAATCTGTCAGAAAGGAGGAGGAACTGGCAAGAAGTGGCAATTATGTAATTAATGTTCACACGTATGGAATTCCCGCGTTGACCAATCGGCTTACGACCTAATCCAACGGTTTACAATATGGTCAATCAAAATGACGGCTGAGATTGACCTTTGCAGATCCAACGCATCAAATTGAAATTAAATAATAAACGGCTAAGATTGTTTAGAGCAAATCTAACGGTTCGTATTCCATGTAAATTAGGCAGTTGAGATCGGGTCAAATCTAACGGTTCGTGAAATCCAATCCACGCGTCGCATCCACCACTAATAACACTCAAAGGGGTAAATATTTGGTGTGTGCGTACGGATACCACAGTTAGGATCCAATCAGGTAATTGACGGTCGATATCCATTTACTAACTTTACAGTATGATCCAACGGTTTACATTTGATCGGACAAACAACGGCTGAGCTTATTGGTTTCCAAAGAGCGGTAATAAATACAAAAAGGTTTATATAATAATACGTTACGTTTGAGTTGCAGATGCTTCTTGTACGGACACAGCTTCATCTTCGTCATGCTTTTCCGGCCGAACCAAAGAGACGCATCTTGTCCGCAACCACCGCTTTCATGGCGTCTCTGGCCGCCGACATGATGTCGACGAGGTCAGCCTTTCCCGCAGACCCGAGAGAATCCGTGTAAGCCTTCCTCACTTCGGTGTTCACGTTGAACTTCCTCACACCTCTCTCTATGCATTCCTGTTCTCATTCCGACACAACAATCAGTTAGTTCCGTTCCGATCGAGATCCATACAACATATGAAAAAACTTCGATAGAATCTGCAACATTTTCGATGCTGAAAATGCGGAGAGAGAGGATGAATTCTATACCTGGATAAGCTCCTTAGGCAAACCCGAGGCTCCGTGAAGCACCAGAAAGACGCCTTTCTTCGAGCTCAAGTCGCGCAGTTCCTACGAAATTGGAAGGTCGGTTCGAATTCAGAATCCATATGCCTAGGATGGTATGAGCAATTTCCCGTAGAGATGATTTCAACGTCAAAATGCAAATCATGTTCAAGAATCCAAACCTTGAGCAAATCAAGCTTGAGGTTCGGGCCAGACTCGGGGTATTTCCCGTGGATATTCCCTATACATACCGCCAAAGCATCTATTCCGGTCTCCATAAATTCCTCAGCCTGAAAGCCATTGTAAAGAGTTTTAGGCACTGTCGAGATAGTCAGGTAAGAAGTTTTTGATAATCAAAGCTTAAAACTTGCAAGAGACCTGATGGACGTTGGTGAGCTTTGCTTCGTAATCTTCTACAGTCAAGCCATCCTCGGTTCCCGAGAGCCTGCCGAGTTCAGCCTCCACCATGACATTCTTGGAACAGGCCAAGGCCGTTATGTATTTCGTGTAAGAAACGTTCTCTGCGAAGGAAAGATGAGAACCATCTACCATCACCGAATCAAAGCCCTGAAGGAGAAGTCTTTATCAGTACATAGAACCAAAAGTGCAAAACGACATAGACGTTGGATAGAGGACGATTTGTTCATCTTACGAGCTCGAGAGCTTCAACTAGCTCCTCCTTCGTATTCCCGTGGTCAAAGTGCACAGATATCGGGACCTACCCACAATGTTTGTTGGATAATCAGCATAACCAGTGGAAGTTAGAGAGTTAATTTCGAAAACGGACAGTTAAAAGCTGCATAGGCTCGCCCTTTTCCCGAAGACCATGGAGACGGTAACTCCATTTATATATATTTTTCGGACAAAACTCATGGTGAGATTGTCGAATATGAATACAAGAATCGGGATTGGAATGTGGTGAATAAAAAAACCCGAGCGAGAGATCCAACTTACCCTGGATTGTTCAGCCGCGGAGATGCAGCATGATATCAATGGAATGCCTCCTTTCTTGAAGGCGCTTGGATGGATCTAAAATCGTAGCCACGGGGAAAAGGAAAAGACATCGACTTTTAATGTCATGTCTCTGATAAAACATATATGGTCTCATTTCATTAGATCAATTGATCTTTCGTTGAGAGCACTAACCTGCAAAATGGCGGGACTGTTTCCTTCCTCTGCAGCTGCAACAACTGCTTCTACTCCCTCCAAGTTATAGACGTTAAATGCCCCAACCGCATATCCGCCTTTTTCAGCGTTCTTCGTACAGAAACACGACCTCAATATACGACAAAAGAAAACAAGGCTCGTATACTGGGCGAGTATGAAGAGAAACACTTACAAGAAGAAGCTCCTTCGTAGACCGTACAGCTACAAGAGACCACGATTTCACAACTTCTGCAAGAGCCGTGCTGCTACCGACATTACCTGGACCGATATTTTGCAAATTTCGTAAAATAAAGACTAAATTCTTTTAGTTAAGAGAAAAAGATTGGATTTCAAACTGTAAGTTACCCGGGAAAACGATATAAGGGACCCCGGGATGTCTACTTTCTGGACCGAGCTTCCATACCGGAACACCAGCAAGAGCTTGTCCGACCACGAGTGCCCGCTTTGCTTTCAGTGCTTCTGTTGCTGTGTCGGATGACGTAATCCCACCCTAAACAAGAAAATTAAACATCACATTTCCAAAAGAAGTTTGGACAACGATATTTGAAATGATCAAGAGCCGAGAATACAGAATTTGGGGGCCATATAGCATGGAAGTAGAAGGTAAAGCCTTAACCCGAGACAACAAGTTTACAGTTCAAGAAGACTAGCAAGGACAGAAAACAAAAGTACCTTTGCAAGAATGTAACGAGGTCTGGTTTTTATACGGCTAACTACTTCAACAAGAGCAGAGCTCACTCTGCTATTGATATTAAGACTCTCAGAAGATGCTGCAAAAGCAAAGAACGGATGCCATTAATGAACACTGTCACAGGAGAGAGTGGCTAACTGGTTGACATGTGATTTATGAATTTAATAACCAATATTTATACACTAATGGGAGGTTAATGATAAAGTTAAAAGACAGAGAGGGAATAAAGAAACGAACTTTTCCCGGTGATGAGCTCACGACTGCTCATGATCAGAGTATCCCTTCCAGCCCGAAGGTAAGCATCGGCCATCTCCACCGCTCTACTGATTTCCGCATCTCTCACTTCCGTGGACATAAGAGCAACTTTCTCTACAGATATCTGTTAACAAAAGCTTGATCTTATATACCATAGTGTGATTTCTCGTGAGTTATATCTAATCTCTTTTTACCTCAATGCTCCTTAACTTCTGCCCGCACCGTGATCGAAGCTCTTCCACCTGTTAGTTCAAACAAAACGCCTCAGAAATCGGAATTGTTTATTTCAGTTAACCATATGATGCAGATGAAATCAGAATCAATCGAGAAAGTTAACCTGCTTTGTTGTTTTCGGGACGTATGAGCCTACAACAATTAACGCACCATTCCTTTCTCCGTTAATCCCGAAATCTTTTGGCAAGACGGGATCTTTTGGAATGATCCCTATTCTGGCCGATACAAAGCTAGCAGCAGTGCGGCACAAGAAAGATTTGCCTTTCAGTTCGGCCTGTCAAAGACAACGTTACTTTAGAAAGAACGGAAAGAACAGTAGACAAGAAAAGAGCCATACATGGAGATTGGAGGAATAACACGGCAGCTTACCTGGATCATACCCGCTGAAAACACAGCCATGTCTCTTTCACTAGCTGCGTTGACAATACATGTTGATCCCTGATCCACCCAGGAAATGGAAATATTTTTAAAACTTGCAAAGCAACATTGAAGAAACAAACCCTACAAATTTCTGATGGTCTGTGACAGTATACTGAGAGCGAAATTCTACAAGTTGATCACAACATTTTGGTTGCCCAAAAGTAAATACATGTGCATATAAGCGAGTACCTTTTTCAAGCTGCACAGAAATTCGCATACTGCATCAGGCCCACCTTTTCTTAAGAGCGGGATCGAGATCGACGCAACGCTGTTGGCAAATGCGGCCTGCTGTTTTCTCCTCTACCCACTAGAATTATATAAAATTGTGTGGGTTACCATCAAATAAAAGTGCAGAGACAAATTATAATGATTTTTGCTATGGCGGAAGAATTCAAACCTCGCGTAGGTTTGAGGATTTATATCCAAAGGATGCATCTTTAGCAAACTCTGTCTCTCCACCAGGAATAAGCCTACAATGTTGTCCATTGTAAAGACCATCAAAACTTCATGCTACATGTCTCTCGTGTAATGTCAGTTGGAATTTCGCCCAGAAAGGAACCAGTATTCACAAAATATACCTGTCAGAATCTGCAACATAATGTACATCGTCGATAGTATAACGTCCTCCTTGAAGGAAAAAGGGGCAAATAATCCATGCATCCATTTCTCCCAGTATCGAGACAGCGGCATCTGCTTCCTGTATAGCCTCATAGTATCTAGTTATGACATTGCTGGAACGCTAGGTTGAGATAGAAGATTAAATGACTGTTTTACATTTATCATGTTCGGTTCACTGAACTTACCTCGGGAAAATGGCCACGTAATGTTGAATCACCTCGCAAGACAATTGTGTACTCGGTGTTGCTAACTTCTTTCGAAGCAGCAGATAAGTTCCGGCATATATCTTTGATCAATGCACTAGCCTGTTGAATATACAAATGAACTTACAGAACAGTTGCATTTGCTAACTTCAAATAACGTCGTTTAATACTTTCACGAGAGTAGAACTCTCCAACCTCTTAAACTGTCTATATGAAAAGAAAAGAACTAACCTTTTCAGAGCTCAGTGCCCTGGAATTTGTCAAGATGAAGAAACATGCCGGCTTTTTCTTGAATTCCTCAACAATTGACTTAATGCTCCTGCCGGAATGCAAGACATAAGAATGGCACATGAAACATGAATTCAGATCAGCAAGAGAGCAACATCTTTTCAAACTATTTGTGAAGTGAACTAATGATATGTCTTTTAGTTGATAGTCAAATTTTGTTTTGAGACAGAACACTAGACTAACCATTCTGTTAAAACTTCTACGTCATGAACAGTTTGTGTTCCGGTCGGATCATCATCCAGAACAACCAAAGTTTTTGAATTCCTAGTTTGTAGTTTCTTTATGTCATCTGTGGGATCCACAGGCCACTCAGATGGAAGTGATTGCAACGCTTCCTGTTTCTTCAGAACAGGAAGTTTCCCTTCGACTTCAACGCCTGCAAGTGTTTCATATACCTAACAATATAACCAAGAAGAATTTGGTTAGCTTTAACATGAATGACACAACACAAACAATCAGCCTGAAGATTGCTTGTACGTAAAATGGACATATCTGATCAAACACTTCAATTTCCCAGATATACTTTGAGAAGAATAACTAGAAAATATAAATGTGGAAACCATGTTCAATGTTTCATATTCTAATAGAGAGGAAATCTAAGAGGTTTCGACTTCAGATATCGTCGAAAACATTGCCAAGGGCAGCTAAGAAGAACCATCAACAGCATACACTTTTTCTAATAACTAACAAAATGACGGCAGCCTTTTCCAGTTGGAAGAGAACTTTTCCAGTTTGAGAGAATTGATAATCATACCTTAACAACTCCAGCATCGTCTATCCGTCCCCAGCCAGCAGCAGAGCCTGTTAATAAATACCTTTTAAGCATTCTTGTGTCCATCAAGACAGGAAAAAACAGGAAACGGAACTGTAATTATATAGCATAGAGATATTGCCTAATTTGCTCTCGTGGGATGTTTTTTAGTGGCACTTACAGAGCATTTAAGAAAGGATGAAACTAGGAGCATTACAAAATATTCAAGAATTTTGCAACAAGTGAACTTCCAAAATCAGAGCAATGGTTCAATTTTAAATGGTTGAATAGTTACAACCAAAATGCTGAAAATGGAACATGAGCTCAAGACGAAATAAAAAGCTGCACTGAGGACAGTAAACTACATTTGCTATGATGTAGTAGGCAGATTAGAGAGTACCGGCTAAAAACAGCTGGTGTGCCACAGTTGATACACAGAGTGGAACTTTACGGGATGAGCCTTCTCGGGTCACAATGCCCTGCAGTGAAACTCCACATTAGTTAATCAGTAAGCGAGAATAACTGTTTAAAAAAAACAGAAACAGCAGGTAATCTTACCAAATCCTTCACAAATATGTCAACAGCAGAGTATGGTGTATAATCATTATCCAGCATATGAGGAACCCGATTCTCAAACATCCTGCAAGTTACATAATCGTAGTCTTTCATAAACATATGGACCAATGACCTACACAAATGTATTTCTCATAAACTTGTAAACATAAATAAAATAGGAACAGAAAAGAAAGCAAATGACACGAGAACCATGTAGGAAAATTTACAAAATATGGTCAATGTCATATGCACTTTTCATCAGAAGTTCTATCACTTGAGATGATAACAAGCACTTTTCAAGAGATAAGAAGTTATTTCATAAAGCTCTTGGATACGTACCAAGATGTTCCCCCAGAGTTGGAGATAGCATCGAATAGCTTTCGGGTATTGAGGCCTAATCGAGCTCCGAATGCCATTGCCTCGGCAGCTGATGCAATATGAACTCCAGCAAGCAATTGATTGACCATTTTTATCCCACTGTGGAAGACATTATACAAAAAAACAACTGAGGGCCATCCATGTCAATCAAGAAAGATCATAATGGATGAGAACAAAAGAACAACTAAAATCTACCTTCCTGCCCCACAACCTCCTTTAATCACGTAGAGCTTCTCACTTAGTGCTGCTCAAGAATACAAAATAACACAGTCACATCCAAGTTATGTGAACAAGAAATATTTCACCAGAAATGTGGATACGTAATCTTCACCTGATAAAACCGACCCTGCAGACTTGAGCGCTTCATCAGTACCAGAAGCCATTATCTGAGATAACAAAATACTTCAGAACAGCTCACGGCAGAAACACAATAAAGAGAAGTCTAGATTCCATACCGTAAGGTCCCCTGAGGCAGCCTTCTTAACGCCACCAGAAACAGGAGCATCCACCAGTTTTATATCCTTGCCCTCATCTGTGAAACACCAAATTTCACAAGTAATTACAATTGAATTTAATCAAATCAAACCAAAACTTGACAACACTATTCTGGTGAAGGTTCTCATAACTCATGTATTGTGAAACAATGAAAACTCACTCTCTAGACGCTTTTCTAGTTGGGTGACAAATGCGGGAGAGACTGTTGAGGCAAGTACAACAGGTCTTCCAGATGGAAGAGCTGAAAATTCGTGAAGCAGAACATAGAAAAATCAGCTCAAACTTCCAGCACCAAAGATAGGATGATATAAATATACCTTTGACTGCTCCACGATGTCCATACAGAACATCCTCGGCCTGAACCTCGTTTGTTACCATAATCACAAGAACATCTACATCTGCAGGAAAAAAAATTGAAACAATTATCTCATGTGAAAATCAATTGACTGAAGTTAATAAATTTGAACTGCAAGTCCCTCTAGATTTCGAGGATTACCTTTAGCGGCATCGGCTGGTGAATTTGCGGCTAACCCGCCGGCACTCTCAAATCTGTCAAGGGTTGGCTTGTATACCTGCAATTTAAACAAGCACCTAGCGTTTCATTTCTAACAATCCAAATCTTACTGCATTAAAAAAAACACTCACACACGCACAAAAGTTTAAAATTTAACAATCTAACAGCTAAAAATAAGAAGATCTATGTATGATCCAGCTCAAGAACTCAAGAGGCAAATCATGAATGCTAAACATGTATACCATAGGTTGTCTAGAAATTTTAACATTGGACTGTTTTCTAATATTAAGACTTACGTCAAAGCCAAGAACAACACAGTTGGATTTCAACAGGTGAGTTGCCATGCCAAAACCCATTGCTCCAAGACCAATAAAACCAACTCTATTCACAGGCTTTGCTTGGGTAGTAATTTCTTTGGCCAACTCCTCTGGCTTGTAAAGTTCTGCATTGGCTGCTTCCGTTAAGCCAACACCGAGTACTTTTTCCCATACCTGCTCAATCATTATGTGAATATTGTTAGAAGATAGTACATCCTTCTTTTGTTCATGTATTCGGTCTATGATGGTATTTTTCAGTTTAGTTACAGTAATGACAAGATCACAGAGCACTAAAAGAACACGTGGAAAGAACTCTGTTCGTGAACCTTAGCCAATGGAGTAGCTGGATCATCTCCTTGCATATGTGAAATTCCTGAGGAAGGAAGAATTATACTTAGGATTAAAAAGATGAAAGAGTGGAAAAATAAAGTTTCTCCAATAAACAATCGTTATGCTAGTCATAAAGCCATATTCCTTCATATTTGATACATACCGAGGATTAACTGTTGACGTGCAATTGCCAAAAGTGGAACAGGAAATCGGAGTGATTTGGCTTTATCTTCTACGATGCCCTTGAATTATAAAAGTCAGTCAGCCTCCTCGTTAGTACGCATGTGAAAGGAACAAAGACTTGATCACAATGAATGACTTCATCATGAAAAAAGGCTATGATAAAATTTCTATCTTTATCAGGACGTCATACCAGATTCTGCGAGAGATCGTTAAGGAAATGGCTCTCGACATCACCTTTCAGCAGCAACGGAATATGATTCTTGAAAATCCTGAAAACCAAGTATACAAATGAAAAATCTGTGATAAACTGCAATGGAAGATTTAGTGGCATCTCAAGGAAGCATAAAAAAAATTCCCTTAAGGGGAACTCTCCAATGAGCCTACCTGTCAAGTTAGTTTTATAAATATTCATGTTCTAGCTTGCGTTTTCAAACATCCACATATTACGGACAAGCTTAATTGAAATTGTCTCTAATCTCCCCACATTCAGAAATACTGTACCCTGCATATTCATTTCCCTTCCCCTGATTAGACTACAGTTATAGCACATCCAATATCACATGAATTGTTATTGTCCCTACCATGACAGTCTTGCTAAATATCTATAATTTCCTTCAAATCTGTTATGGGAAGACATTATTTTACTCACAGAAAAAGGACGGTGCTTGCAGAAAAAATCATACCATGAATTTCCAGCAGCATTTGAAATGATGTCGTAAACAATCCACGGATGAATACCCGCTTGGGAACCTAAAGATATGGCCTCCACAGCAGCAACAAGATGAATGCCCTCAAGTAGATCATTCACCATCTTTACTTTGCTGATCAGGACAAAAAAAAAACAAAATAGGTAACATGGTTTCTATGACATCAAATCATCAATGGTCATTTCATTTCAATCATAAAAACATCTAGATATCTTTACATAGTAATGGGTTTCACGAGCGAGGTGGAATAAACTTTTGATTCAAGGAAAACAACGACATAAAGTAGCAAGAAACAACTGACAAAGACCATGGTTACAGAAAAAGATAAATTGTCGGGAATGAGAATTTTATGCCAAAAGGTTTAAGCATTTTGATGATCCTCTTTAAATCTAAATACTGCAAAACCAGTGTGCGAGTCTAACAATGTCAAAAAAAAAATACACAAGAAATTCTAGAATTTCGACAAAATTTCAATGTTACTATAGAAGCTAGCATTTATTTATCAGCGCATACACAAGGGTTTTTAAGCAAACAAACCATTGAACCCTGCAGTGATCATAAGATGGCTTACAAACTGGAAATTTACATACCTGCCAGCACCAATTTCCCCCTCAAAAGTGTAAAGCTTTTGGCACATCGCTTCATGAAATAAATAAATGGTTGTAGTAAATATATTGGAATTCTCGGAAAGTACGTATCTGAAAGGAATCTCTATATTTGAATTAACATTTACCAGCAAGGTAGGGTTGTGCTCTTGCAATCGAATCTGACCTTCCAGATGATATTACCTTAAGATTTAGAACGAAAAAGGTTACTACTATTATCGCGAGGCGAGAGATCAACGGACAGACAAGAAAGTGTGTATACCATCAGTTTTCCGTCGAGAACTTCAGACTCTCCTTTCAAGACGTATGCATCTACCACGGAAATCCGTTCTCCGTCCTCTGCAATAGAAACAAACCCAATTTCCAGACTAGGAGCAAAATACAAAGTGGATCGCTAGATATGAATCTTAGAAGACACTTTCGGAAACAATATCAAATCACAACCTGCTAGCTGATTTTCTAGTTTCTGGATGTGTGAAGGTAACACAGTCGAGCGCAAAACTAAAATAGCGCCGTCCTGAAGGCCTGTAAAAGGTATCGAAGTGTAAGTTTCCTGCGCAAAAGTAATGGTAAAGCGTATGCCAGCATGAGGATAAATGAGCATTGGGATGACCTTTTAGGATACCATCATCACCAAAAATCACATCTTGCCCTTGATCAGAATGAGACGACGAGACCACCACAGCTGCGGCGCCTGTGGAATAGAAAGAGAGGGTACATTAGAAGATACTACATGCCATTGGACAGGAGACAATTTTATTAAATAAACCCGAGGAATGGAAGGAGGAACAGGAAAAAACTGTTAAATGTCTGATATGTGCTGAAATGCATAAATTTGTCACACTCGATTCTCTACCTTTTCCGGCATCCATAGGGGTGGCACAATTACGACCCCCCAGCTCAGAGAACTTGTCTGCCAAATCTGTGCTTATCTGCGTTGTAATGATTCAAGTTTCATCAATGAACCGTGTTACTTTAGCCCTAAATCTTGGTGTCTGTAATTCTTTACATAATTGCCAATTACCAATCCTACAACTAACGTTTTGATCCGTTTCTTTGTCCTCTTAAGGAGTAATCCAGTAGTTTGTGAAAGTGCAGAATCAAGTTTAGGGCTTTTGGGTCGTTGAAAAATTCAACATTTCCAAAACCAAACAATTTCACAAACTTCTTTTGAATTTGACACCAAAAACGAATATATTAAATTTAAACAAAATATGTGAATTGAGCCGAATCTTGTAAAGATAGTTCGTTCAAATATAAAATTATCCCTTCCAGAATCGAGGTTTGATTTCCAAATTGATCAAATTCGTTTCATCGGGACACTTCGTTCTCCAGAACCCATGTTCCGCTTTGTTCTATCACTGGTTCCAAGAACATATCATTTCCAATCAATTATCAAGAAATGCCAGGCGTGTGAAAAATTCCCCCAGAAGAAGAAGAAACGGGAAAGAAAATCCCCAGTAACTTCAAAGAAAAAAGAAAATTTTCCCGAGAAACTGGGAAAAAGATCTCAACATCCTGACCTAGACCCGGAAATTTCTCGGCTGACAAACTCTAAAACGAAGAAACGCATGAATGCGCATCAAATTCCGCAAAAACAACGTCAAAAAAGGAAACCAAAAAAAGGAGAGATGAAAAAGATTACCTCAAAAGCTTGAACTCTAAAGCCAGAGCGGAGAAGAGAAGAAGCTAATTCAAAGCTCAGAGAATCCAACCCGAGGAAACCGACAACGAGATCGCCACCGAGACCGGCCATTTTCTCTGACAACCTTTGATTCTCCGACGTCTCCACCGATGACAACGTAGAGGTCAACGAGATACCTTTTTGCTGATGCATCTGCGTCCATTTATATATTTGAATTTCCACCTGGACGTTGCGTGGACAAAGAATATAATATCCGAGCTGGAAAATAATTCCTATCTTTTTTAAAAAAAAATCTAGAAGAACTAATTTGGGCTGCCCAACAAGGGAGATTAATTTGTTTCTTAAAAACTAGTTTTAGAGTTTTTACTGTCCTAAGCTAAATTTATATTTTACGATATATATATATATATATATATATATATATATATGTTTAAAATTAGATTTTTTTCTGGCCTATTGAAAAAATTTGGAAAAATCTGATATATATATATATATATATATATATATATTTGAATTTTAATCTGCTTCCATTTTTATCAACATTATTATTTTTTACATGGGAGATAATTAATGTTATCTAATTGAGATCGGGTAAGAAAAAAGCGATTGTTGATAATTGTGTCGGTGTTTTGTTTATGTGGTGAAATGTCATTATCGTATAATAAATAAGTTTATGATATTGTTTTTTTTTCTACCGAATTATGGTAGTTTTTGTAATAATTAGTTTTCTTTCTGAATATTTAGGTATAAATCGATGGATATAAGACTAAAGGTGCAAATAATATGATATTTGAGTTAGGGGAGATGATGTATCAATATTTAAAAAAAAAACAATTTGAAGATTTTTAGGAATTAATTGGTATTACGGCATCATAAATTTTTATATTCCCCCATCAAAAGTTATAATCCAGCCTATTATGCCGAGTATATATATATCCTGCATATACACTCTGTATCTTCTTGTTTGGGCTTTTCCATATTTGTCGGAGATATGTTCCAAGATTTTACTTTGGATGTATCATATCATTTTGCTAATGTTCCATCGGATTTGGAAACTTCATTTAAATATATTATTATGCTTGTGTGTCCAATTCCAACATGCTTAAATATTATTTTTTTATATAAGAAAATGTTTTATTCGTAGTTTACCGAATTCCGAAATGGTAGATAACCATCCCGGGGGAAAAAATCTAAATTCTAATAATTAAATAATTAATCATCTTCCTGTCCACTTTAGAATCGTGAAAAAAAAACACTAAATTAGTATTTAAATAAATGAAACAAAAACAGAATCCCATCTGTGATTTTTACAAATCGGTAATTACGAAACTAATCCAGATTTAGTCAAAAATCCTAATAATTAATCATCTTCCTGTCCACGTACGTGGCGGATCACAACAGAACTTATCGACAAATCAGCCCATTATTAAAAAAAAAACAGAACAAAAAAAAAACACAATCTAACTTCTCTCTCTATATATACACAGACACCAAAAGGAAAAAACATAACAGTATACGCAGCAAAACACAACACAAAACTACGTCGTTTTACCTTAAAACGGAAAAGACATGGAAGCCCTGAGACTCGCCGCCGTCGCCGTGCTCCTCCTCATCCACTGCTCCGCCGCCACGTCGGATCCGGCGACTCCGGCGCCACCGTCCGGAGGAGCACAGGCAATGCCGTGCATACAGAGGTTGATGCCATGTCAGCCCTACATCCACTCTCAGAATCCGCCGCCGCCGACATGTTGCGTGCCGTTGAAGGAAATACTCGACAACGACGTGACGTGTCTCTGCTCCGTCTTCAACAATCCCGACATGCTCCGATCTCTCAACCTCACCAAATCCAATGCTCTCGATCTCCCCAAGGCCTGTGGCGCCGATGCTGACGTGTCACGCTGCAAGAACGCCGGTAAATTACTAATGCGACGGCGGTTATGTCTCTAATACCACGCCGTTTTGTTTATATGTCTAAACGACGAGCCGTTTTTGCGTGTTTTTCTTATGCAGCGACTTCGCCGATAGCGTCGCCGTCGACTCCGACGGCTCCGGTGACACCTCCGGCGACTACCAATGGTATTTCGTATTCTCGACATTTATAATGAATAATTTTAATCCTAATAGAATTTCATTTATGTATTACCCATTTTGTATTGGTAATTTGTTAAAAACGTGTATTTTTGCTGGTAATATCATTTCGGTCAGTAATAATCTGTTTAAATTCTAAATATGCTGAATTTTTCAAACCAAAAAAAAAACCTGGAATTTTATCATATATTACGATTCTTTTGCTTACAATATCCATAATTTTTTTTAAAATAAATAGATAATGGGAAGTAAATCCCCAACTTATAAATTTTATTTTATTTCTGATTATTTTGGATAAAAAAGAGCTCATTGGCGTTAACCAATTAAACACAAAACCCTCTGATTGAAACAGGAAGCTCTTCCAACCCCGGCTCTCCATCAAGCCAAGCGGCGGCGGCGGCCACCGTCAGCTTTGTCGGACTTAACTTCGTATCTGCCCTCGTTGCAACTTTCTTCTTTTAATCTTTACCTATTTTTAAAAACTTTTAATTAGTAATTATTTTGTATCTTTCTTTTTATTTTCCATATGTAACATTACATTATGATCCATTTATTTCATCGTCTATTTTTCCATGTTCAAGTTAGCAAATATCATCCCGATATCCCTTCTAAAAAGGGGAAATTTCTGATGATAAATTGATGTATTTACTGTATGGTATTATACTTCACCGTCACCCCGATATCCAAATTCATTAGGAATATATCCTTAATTGTAATATTTATTTACAAATTTTTCACTATATAAGTTATTGTTTTTGTTTTAATTAATAAAAAAAATTCTATAATATATTCTATGTGATATGCGAATTCTTCATATTCGACTCGAAATGATTTCTCTCTGTTCGGATTCCAATTTTGCAACCATTTATAGCATATAACATGCATGAATTTCATCATGTGGAAAAAAGATTTCGGTTTACCAATTTCCAAATCATGTTATAATAATATTCATTATTATTACGAGCGAAAATCCCACAAATATACACCACTCTTCGGAATTTATTAAAAATACACAAGAATTTTTAATTTAACAAAAATATATATACAAACTTTCCTAAAATGTAAAAAATTCATCAAACCTCAAAATCATACCGTCGTCGAAAAACTACGTGCGACGTCGTAAAATCGATTGTATGGAAATTGACAATGATGTTGAAAATTGGTTTATTTTTCTGTCATTTTGAAAATTTTGTGTTTTTTTTTGTCAAATTACAAGTTTGTATTTTTTTTAGTATATTCCCTAGAAGAGTTATGTATTTTTATAAAATTATTATTATCGTCGTTAATGGTTTATATATATATTTGAGAGAGAGAGAGAGAGAGAGAGATTGAACGGGTGAGTAAAGTTTGGCCATATATTTGATCAATTTATAATTTCCCTTATTTTGGTATTTTTTTCTCTATAAGGTAATCTTATATATATGTATATGTATATGTGTGTGTGCGCGCGCGCGCGTTGCAAGCTATTCTCGATAATTAAGAAAAACTGGAGACAGTTGTTAGAGTTGTAAATACACCTATATGTATCTATATCCGTATCTATATATTGGATGTGTGAGTTGTTAGATAACTTAAAATGTACTCACATTTAGAAATTTATCTGATATATATACATATAATTATTTATGTATATATATTATATTGTATTGCAATCTAATCTTTGATTGTATAAATAATATACCTATATATACATATATATGGTTGTTATGTGTGAGTTGTAATATAACTAGACATGTATATTCTATACAAAAGGGTTTATCAAAACATTGAGAAAACAAATCTAACGACAGTTTGGCAAATGGCCCATGTTTAATTAATTTGTTTAGAGATTATATTTAATTATAAGCTTTTAAAAATATTGTAATTAAGCAAAGCAAACGAGAAGAGAGGTTTAGTGACCATAATGGAAGATATCAATAAAATAAGACTTCATTAAAATATATATATCCCCAATCATGCCACGTATATGTATATATATATATATATACATTTTTCCCCTAACTTTCACCTTCATTCTGGCTTATTCGGAATTATGAAACATAAAATCCGAAATATTCGGATTCCGATTCCACTCCTAAATTCTAAAATACGCATGTATGTTCGTCCCTAACTGCAGATTAATTTAAAATTATTTTATGGTAACGTTATAATTCGGACCATTAATGCAGCTGTCCATTACTATAAAAGTGTTTTGATAAAAGTTGAATCATATACATTAAGTTGTTGATTGATGATTATAAAATTGTCCTAACCAACAACAAACACAAATCTTTGTTTCCAAGTGTGTATTAGAGATATATATATGTTGCCAAGAAACCATATATATATATATATATATATTATAATGAATGAATGAGATAAGTAAATTGTATAATAAAAAGATAATATAACATTAATTGCGTTAAATAATATATTTTTGTTACTTTTTTTTCGTATTCAATTCCACGTTAATTTTCTGATTTTTTTTATAAGATTTTAGTAGTTAGGTTATCCTATATTTTAATATATCATCAATTGTTGGTGGTAATAAGTAAATGAAAATAAATTTAAATAAAAAAAAAGGGTAGGAAAGGTGAACCATGTCCAATGATGAGTTTGGTGGCGTCGTGACACGAGCTCTTCTTCACCCATCCTCATGCATGTGCTTCTCTCTCTTTCTGAAATTTCATATATACATACATACATACATATATATATATATATAATCCCATATATTATTTATTTTTAAAAATTATATATTTCTCCAGACATTTTTTCTTCATATTATTGGTTTCTAAACTAACAGTAAAGAAATTGTCTTCTTTTTCTATTGAGGAAATTTATAAACTTTTAAGAAAGCCTTCTTGAATTTTCTTTTCATATTTAGTGTCTATTATATATATATATACATATATATATATATATATATTCTTAATACAAGTGTAAAGTAAGCGACAACCGTATAATACAAAGAAAGAACATACACATAGTTGGACGAAACAGCTACAAATTTATAATAAAAACACTTAATCCTCTACTAATACAACCATATACATACATATATATATATACATAAATACACAAAAATCAAAGCCAACCCATTTCTAATCCTCTCTCTCTCTCTACTAATACAACCACATATATATATATATATATATATATATATACAACACAAATCAAAGCCAACCCATTTCTAATGTTCTCTCTCCTCTCTCTCTATCTCTTCCCTCTTGTTCTAGTTCTTGTTCTTGTTCTTGTTCCAAATTAAATGGGAAACACAACTTCATGTGCGCCATCAATCATAGCATCAAGCTCAGGAGTGAAAGTCTTAGCTCCGTTCAAGGGAACTCTTAAGGTATACTCCAAGCCAATCAAGGCGTCGGACCTCGTCTCGCCACAAGATTCCGACCGCTTCTTCATCGCCGACTCTACCTCTCTCGAGATCGGTCACCGAGTCACCTCGGTCCCTCCGACCGAGTTCTTGCGCCCGAGACGTGAACTTTACCTCATCCTCCCCACCGACATGCTCTTCTCCGTCCTCACACACGACGAGCTCTCTCTCATCTCTCGAAAAGCCGCCGAAACGCTCACGCTGCACCATAACGTCACTCGGTATAACCATTTGAGGAGAATGATCTTTCCCGTTTGCATGATGCCGAAAGCTAGAAGAACGGTCAAAGACGACGACGATGGTGATGATGATGATGATAACAGTGGCGATTGTGAGGAGATCAGGAGCGAAACCCTAGAAGAGAAGCTGCAAGAGATGAAGCATGGTTCTTGGAGACCTGCTTTGGAAACTATTGCCGAAAGCTAGTTTTGGAAATTTTATAGTGTAGACATCTCTACTTCATGTTTTGAGGATTCCACTTCGTTGCAATATAAATAAAACTGTATGTATAGATGGAGATTTTTGTTTTCTATTTATTTTTTTTTGGTTTGAGTTTAAGAGAAATTAAGTGTTTTTTGTTCATCTTTTTATGGTTAGATCTTGTGCTATTGCCCTAGTTAGAACTGTTAAAATGTGGTTTTGCTAAGTCTAAATTATAGCACACACACACACATATATATATATATATACATATTCCGTATAGGTTCCGGTTTAATTTTGGATTTTGAATTCGGTATAGGTTCCGGTTTAATTCGGTATATGTTATGCTTATGATTTATTAAATATATGATATGTATACAACTGCATATTGAAAAAAATTATTTTGGTACGTCGAATAGAAAAAAATTTTGCCAGCCAATTCAGTAATTCCAGGACCAGGAGAACAATAATTAAAATATTTAAGCAATAGTTATATATATATATATATATATATATAAGTTTCGGCGAACCCTTTGGGATTGTTTTTTTGGGGGGCGCATAACCTTTCTTGGCCCATTGGACAATAACACAAATGCTGAAGCACAATAAAGAGTTGAACCGAAACAACCACAATCAATACATAAAACTTCTAATAGAAACTTTATATATATATATATATATATATCATTTTACTATAATTCCATTACTCAATCTAATATTTTTTAGAAATCAATTTAGTATTTTATATTCAATTTTAGAGGGACATTATAGATAAAATCTTAAACAATAATATCGAACAAGGAAAATATGTAAAGAGATATGAAGAAGATTTGAGAAGATTACGTAATATTTAGATTTGATTTTATTTCTATATTTTAGATATTTATATTTATTAAATAAAGTATTTTATAATTTTGTTTCTGCTATAAATATTGTAATGTTACATGTTGAATAATGAGAAATCCAATGATTCTCCATCTCTTTCTCTATTAAAATATACCATTTAGAATATTGTTTGACACATGAAGAAATGGTTTACAGAATTTGTCATATATATATATATATGTATATGTGTGTATAGTGTTTAGTTCTTTTTCATCTTCTAGATTATTTGGTTTGAATGGGAAAATGATGCCAATGTGTATTTGGGTTTTTTGGATTATGTTCTTCTGAAGACTTTTTAGATTAATAATATAATAAAAAAAGACTTTCGCAAAAATAAAAAATATCAATTTCATACAATAAATACTTATAGGCTAAATCTTGGTATTTATGAATCCTCAAGACTTCAATTTATTTTCTAGATTTTGATTTTGATATCATTTTCATCTTCTAGTTTTATTTAATTGTATAGCCAGTTGATGTTCCATTATTTGCTCTTGTATTTTTCTTTTTTTTTTTCAAGGCTTTCGATTAAAAATTTAAAAAAATAGAAAAAACATAAGAACGTTTATTTTTTTTAAATTTCGCCGCAAGTTCATAGATATTTAAAATAAAATAAAACAAAATGATTGAAAAACTGGCTTGATGGAAGACGTGATGCCTTATAACAATAAAAAAAAATGATTCCAAACAATAAAATTGACCAAAGATCTTACACTTGTGGGCCCCTTTGTTTTTGGCATCCTTTTGGAAGACTTAACCAAAATTTGGAACAAAAATTGTGTTATTTACTTAAAATAAATAATAAAAAAACAAGTCATATCCTAAACCGTGTTTCTTTATTTTACTTTTTATTACGTAAGAAGAAAGAAAAATACGAGTGAACATTTAATATATATATATATATATGTATGTATAATCTAAGTCTCTTCCACTTGATTCGTCCACGCGCTTCACTCGCTCTCGGGTTCGTCATTTCCACTCGCTGCTCCATGACGATAAATTTTATAATTCTTTTTTTTTTTCTTATGGCAAAGGTTTCGGACAGAGTTAAATACGAGGTTTTTGACTTTTGTATGCAAATGTTTGACATTTTATACGTTTGAAAACAAATCTAGAACGTGATAAACGCATTAATCGTTTTTTAAATAATTATTATTTGAAATTATTTATTATTATTTTTTTGTCTAAGGACGTTATTACTCATTCCATGTTGGTAAAAAAAGACATCTTCCGATTGAAAGTATTTGCTGTTATTTTTTAAAAAATTTTATTTACGTTCTTGTTAACTAAGAAAAAATGAATTTACCCGTAAACTTGGCTTTGTAATTACCTTTTTTGTTGTTTAACAAAATGTATTTATTGCTGTAAAATAATGCCACTGAAGGATATAATAGACATGTCCATTCATATTCTTATGTATAAAGGTAATATATATTTATTGTGCATATAGAATAAATAATATTTCTCTCATATATATATATATATATGTATATATATGGTGAACTCATTTGTAATGTACCATCAAATAATCAAAATTTAGTAGAAGCAGAAACTATCTTTTCATGCAAAATTAATTCATTTACAATTTTATTTTCTTATATATAAAGCCTTAAATTTTTACAAAGCCCTTTTAACTATCCAAATTTATAATTTTTTTTTTCGGTAAAGCAGTTTTAATGCAAAGAGAGTTGTGACAGTTGTCACATGGTCATCATGTCCTAATAGATTCTGTTAACCGTAACAGTTACCAAACAAAACCGTAAATTTCAAAATTCAATTCAATAACCGAAACTTTCAAAAGGACTGTGAGTCATTGACCAAAATTTTAAAAGAATAAATAAAAAATCCAAAAACAAGAAATGATTGGACGAAACGGTACCTGAGGCGCGTGGGATTTACATCTCCTGAGATTCTCTCTTTTTTCCTTATATAAATGGCCTCACGAACCCCACAAAAACCATCTCATCTTCTCCATTTTCATGCTTCATCCTCGCCCGATTCTCTCTCTGAAATCGGTCTTTTCCGCTCGAAATCAGATATCATCCTCTGATTCTCTCTCGTCTTTGGTCTGAATTCATTTGTGGGTTCTTCGAAGATTGGGAACAAAAACAATGACTGGGTTTTCTGTGTCTCTGTTCGTCTCCAACATCTCGAATGTCGCGTCGTATCTGTCCCCGCTCTTCGAGAGCATCCCTTCGAAGGTGATTCCGTCGCAGATTGAGAAGGTTGTCTCCTTGGTCTCTCGGACCGGTAGGGATTTGCAGCGTTACGACAGCAAAGGGTTTCGCCAGGTTGTCGGGTACGTTTAGCGCATGTTCATGTTTCGTGGACCCCTACTTTCTGCAAATCCGTTCGCTAACTTTTAGGGTTTGGGATTCGCTCTCTCTTCGAATGATTTGGAATTCGAATTCTACGTTGCTGTTGCTTGGGGTTTGAGAATCGTGAGGGGGAAACCCCCAATTGTAATTTGGGTTTTCTCTGTCAGTGTTAATCCTTAATTTTACGGCGTTTGAACCATAATCTTAAAATTATCTGAATTTGCTAATTCGCCTGAGTTTGAATTTCGGAGGTCAAAGGGGTTGGAAATTTCAAAGCGCGTGGACTGTTGTTCGTCGTTTCATTGGTAACATTTGGGGAGGGGGGGTTTTCTTCTAGAATCTCATGAAATTGGGTGAATTCTGCAGATGCATACCGTACAGATACAAGAAAAACAACATTGACGGAAATGATGTTGAAGAAATCGAAGTTCTTGTTATCAGTGCACAAAAGGGCAAAGGGATGTTATTCCCAAAGGTATTGACTTCGCCTCACCTGAACACAAGCTGCTTTGTATTGTCTTTTGTGTATATCTTTGTGGCCATTTGCTGAAAGTTTTTCGATTGTCTCATGGCAACAACAGGGAGGTTGGGAGATTGATGAATCCATGGAAGAGGCTGCTTTAAGGGAGACCATCGAAGAGGCTGGCGTGACCGGACAACTCGAAGTTAGTATCTCATTCACATCTTTTAGAATTCGATTCTTGGTTTTGATACATGAAAATCTCGTGGATGGTTCAATTCATGTGATGGGTTTTCGAAGAGAAGCTTGAACCTGTAGATACATCCGCTTTTTGTCTGTATAATTCCGGGGGTTTCGATCTGTGTAACTTACAAGAAGCAAAACACATATATTGCAGGAGAAACTAGGGAAATGGCAGTACAAAAGCAAAAGGCAAAACGTGATTCATGAAGGATACATGTTTCCTTTGCTTGTTAGTCAGCAATTTGAAAGTTGGCCCGAGGCAGAGATCAGACAGCGCCGGTGGGTGAAGTTGTCTGAAGCAAGAGAAGTATGTCAGAATTGGTGGATGAGAGAAGCCCTTGAAGAATTCATCAAAAGGAAGACATGTTGTAATCCCAATCACCAGAGCCAAACGCAAACGCAAACGCCATAGAACCGCATAACGCAGGTCCATAAGGAATGGCGGAATAAAGACGTAGGAGAGGCGATGTTCGGAGTTCTAACTGGAAGGAGCTGCGGAATTCTTCCATGCTTCAACCATGGCTGAATAGTTTTGAAGAGAAGAGGTCAACTTTAGTGCTTAGTCTTCTTTGATTGATTCATTCTTTGATTAGTGATGCTATTTAGGCAGTTTCTATTCATAATCACTAATTTGGAATTGTTTGCGTCTCTTTCCTCCTTGGATTTGTATATTGAATTGAACCGTTCAATCATCTCTTGAACTTGGGAAAGGCTCTGTGTGTATATATATATATATATATATGTATGTATGTATATATAACTTCTTTTGGGTTTTGATTTTTTTATGGTCAACTTTTCATGACAATGTCATGCATGCATGCGGATAATATAATAATCATATTAGTCTAACTTCCAAGTTGAATAGCTCTTTTTTTTTTATAAAAAAAACTTATGGCTCTTTTTTTATGGTTTATTAGACGAGTAATTAACAGAAAAGAATTATAAGGTTATGCTTTTGTTTATCATAGATTTAGAGATGCTTTTTTTGGCCTAAAATATATAATTTGTATAATGAATGTTAAAATGTAATTTTTTTTTTAATTTTTACAAATTTTTAGATTTTTATGGATTGTAAAAATTTGAAACCCGCCGACTGATGGGATTTGATCATTCCTTCTCGGATATGAACTTTGAGAAATCGATTGTGGGTTGTTGCGATAACGGAGTCATGAGGAATAATCTTATAGAAAATATCAATTCATTAATTTATACCTTATTAAAATATTAGCTTTGATTTTTGGTTTAGTATAATAATTAATCAATTGTATTGAATTAACAATTATTATTAATGAATTTTTAGACACATTATATCTACAACATAATACACATACAATAGATAACTCGGTGTTAATGGTTATATATCAATATATTAGAATTTCATAAATGCATGATTATATTTCAAAGATTAGTGTATTAAGTTGAGATTTTTTATGGGATTTTTCAAAATATATATATGCAGTGTAAAAATCAGAATTTAAATTGAAAACAAGATGGAGCTGTGAACATTTTGTTTTTGGACCAAACAAGCTGTAGTTTTCAAGGACCTGGGGGACTGGATAGTTCTTCCGGTTTTTACCGGTTTTCATCAGAGTTTCCGGTTCGATCCGGTTCAGGAAACAGCACATTTTACTTCTCTGGTTCTATTCTATCGGATCGAGCAGTTTCTTGAGGCGGCTTAAACCCTAAACCTCTATAAAAATCCAGGCCAAGTTTTACATTTTGATGAATCTTCTTCTTCTTCTCAGATTTTCATCGCAGCATCGTTGAAATGGCGGATACGGGTACTGATCCGATCAATGGATCCCCAGAATCCGGTAATAATCCGGACCAGATTCAGCCGATCCGTATGCCCACCATGGAAGAGATTCGAGCCCAGGAGGTTTGGAACAATTGTGCTGTTCGTAGCGTAGCTAGTGGCGTCATGGGTTTGTTCGAATCTCTCTCCTTTTCAATCTTTTCAGCTTAATTGGTCCTCCTGTTTATACTCGTTTGGTTCTTCCTCATGTCGACTCGGTTCTTGTAGAACTGTGTATGATTTGTCCGAAAATTCGTGTTGACGATCTAGGAACATGATCTTAAGGTGTTGAGAGTTGTTTGATGAAGATGTTTAGAAGACGACCACATCCTGTTGATGTCTTGACTAGAGAGTGATGGGCCTTTGGGTATTAGATTATCGACTTGTTCAGTGAGAACTTGAAGTTTGGTCTGTTAGTAGGTCAATGGTTGATCAAGTGAGAAGATACCGATTGATTGTAAATTGTGTATAGGTGGTTGTCTGATCTTTGAAACTGTTATGTGACAAGTGCTTGGTTAGTGGTTGATGTGAGGATATTGATTTGATAGTACATTCTGCAATTTGCAATGTAGCCTGCTAATGGTAGAACAGTTTAGTTCATCAATTGTTGATGTCAAGATATTGAACTAAATTGGTTGTACATTGCAAATCTCTTGGAGGCATTGGTTGATCTAAAGTTACTAAACCATCATGTGTTACTGACCCTGACGATGAGTTTGTGCTTGGGGTGCATCGCATAATTTTGTAATGTATGTGAATCTATCGAATTGGATCTACATTCTGAGAATTTTGTTTAGGATGGTTACTGGCTGAGCTTGGCAATAGTTTTTTTTTCATGTGAAGATATTGAATCGATAGGACATTCTGAAAATTGTGTGTAGGAGGAGGGCTTGGCTTGATGATGGGTCTGTTCCTGGGTGCATTGGATAATCCCATAATGCAAGAAGAGATGACTGCAAGGCAGCAGTTCATATACCAGGCGAGGCAAATGGGCCAGAGGAGTTGGAGCTCGGCAAAAACATTCGCAGTTATGGGTCTAATTTTCTCTGCTGCAGAGTGCGTAGTCGAGAAGGTATTGTTCTGTCTCTCTCTCTCTCTCTCTCGAAACAATAACAACTGCCCCATTCATTCTTGATGTCTGACTTTGAAAACCCTTACTTAGCACTTTTTTTTAATCATTCTCTCTGTTTAAGGCAAGGGCTAAGCATGACACCACGAATACCGTTGTCGCTGGGTGTGTGACGGGCGGCGCAATGTCCGCCAAAGGTAAGACCTTTGAACTATAAAGTACAAAACTTTCTGAATAGTTTGCTCTTGTGTATGGAATGATGGCCTTCGGCTTGGTAGAATCGGATTTATAGACGAGTTTTCATATGATAAAAGCAATATATCCATCTTTCCGAGCATTGGATTGATCGATGAATCGATATTTTTGCACCAGGTGGGCCGAAAGCAGCATGTGTAGGGTGTGCGGGTTTTGCAGCATTCTCTGTAGTCATAGAGAAGTTCTTTGACAGCCATAGCTGATAAAGCATCTAACAAGCAGAGCACACTTCTCCATTGGAGACACAGAGAAAGGGGAATTGTATTGATGGGAATCTATTCAATTGCTGTCATTATTTTTGTTATAGGGTTGTGTAGCCAATAGACAGGACAGGTTACATGAACTGCTCTGTAGTTACTTCTGTTTGATTCTTTATGAGATCTGATCCACTATTCATAAGTGGGCATTCCTCTTTGGAACATAACTTCAACTAAACCAGCTTAAGTCAAATAAAACACTGTTACAATCAATAGATCTGCAGTCATGAGCCAATAGGTTTTTCCCAAAAGAGAAAAGAAAAGTTCTCCTGATTTGGAACAGTCCTAAGGATTCACAAACGCTAACAGCATTACATTGGAGGAACAGGTTTAAGTAAATTCGCTGAAAACACATTTACCCAATTTGGATTTCTGTTTTCTGCCATCTGCCTTCAGATCTCTCTTGCCTCCAACAACAATCGTGAAACCAGTGTTTGTCGGAACATGGCCATGGCCAACGTTAAAGCCCGAGGCTGAGAAGGGCATGTACTTAAAATCCGATCATCGGCCAACACTCTGCTCTATTCTCAAGGATCATTTAATAAAAAACCTCGGTAAAAAAAAAATATACCTCCTGAGTTTTGGCACTGTACAAAGAGCAACATATCATATGCTATAAGCATACTCGTGCTCTTCGACTCTCCTCTTCCTCGGAAGTTACCACTGGAGATGTCACTTCTCTTTCGGATAAGCATCTCTTGTACGGTCTGAACCCCCTTGTAGTATGATAACATGTCGATTTCTCGGAGGAGCTTACCCATCTGCATGGTTCTGCCCTCTTCCCCCAGTTCCCGGCTTCTTCGGTTACTGAACCGGGGGCACTTGAACTGGTACACGATGTTTCGGGCACACCAGCTTTTACTCTTGGTCTTTCCTCTGTATATAAGTTCACTGTTGAGATCTGACAATAACTACTCACACCAATTGATAAGTCGGTGGCGACATCCACAGAATCAATGCTCAGGGTATGTTTCTTGATGTTCGGGCAAGGATTCTTTAGACCTGTCTCCTGCCTGGGAGAGGACGGCTTGTTTGGGTCCACAACCAAGACAATCTTCCCGAAAAGTGTTATGCTTGCGACGGGCACTACAACAGTGGCAGCATCTTCTTGAGGAGAAACCGACCAATGGTTGCTGGAATCTGATTTCTGGTATCATCATATAACACCAGAGGCAGTGAGTTGGATTTCAGCCATACAACAAGGATAGGAAATGTTGATTGCAGAAACCTACCATCAATAAAGGTGGTTTTCCGTCTTCGAGGGGCGACTTTGATGTCGCATACTCATTCCCTTTCTCGCTAGAGTTATGGGTGTCAGTTGTACATGAGTTAGGGGAGGAACATCCATTGAGTTGATCCTCCAGATTATCAGAAGGAAATGCTGACAGGACGGAGGTTGGAGATTTGTTTCCTTTCTCGGTCACTGACAAAGTTGGGGAAGGAGTCTTATCAGGCTGATTTGCGACGGGCATTTTTCGGGGGTAAGGATGAGTGGGTTTTCTCTTTGGACGAGGAGGGGGAATCACAATCGCTTTGACTGGACTATCATTGACATTGTCTGTTTCCCGAGCAACCTGAAATGGACAAGAAAAATCGTGAGCTCATAAACTAAGCAGTGATTCTCTTAGCGGTCCGAAACTATATCAAGCGTAACCTTGTATGAGTAACATATAAGACAATTAACAACTAAATAACAGTGAACTAGACCTTGGAGAAAAACTTTTGAGCATGGCTTCGTATCTGAACAGCTGTTTTAGTACCTACATGTTCTGCAACGTAATCAAGACAGATCACTTCTGAACTATATTTAGCCGAAAGGGTGTACCAGACAAGTAAAGAGTCAGTCAAGCAATAGTAATACCTTCAATTTGACGCCAACCACGGCCATACAGCTTTACGGCTTCGAGGAACTTCTGATGCTCTTCCTCAGTCCATTTTTCTCTCTGCTTAGTGATGGTGTATGGTTTCCGGACCTGTCAAGTGAGAAACAAAATGTCATGAGAAGCCTTTCCAAACTCACAAGATGAATTGGCCCTTAGAGACTGCAACACATACCTTAGGTAGAATGTTTTCCCCTGATTGGCTGCCCATTTCAGTATTCACTCCTCCATGAACACCGCCATTAGTGGATTCTACATTGCTGAACCCTTCACTATGGTCCTGTATAAAGGTAAAAGAAACGGGTAAATTAAGCAATGGTTCTTGCTCTGGGCAGACAAGAAAGCTATCACAAAACATCACTTCCCAGCACTAAGCACAAATCAGTTCTCCTTCCACTTTTGAATCAAACTCAAATCTTCTAATACATCGAAATGACCAGAACATGGTCATGGATACAATGGAACAACACGAAACAACGGCACCGAAAAGAACCAAGCTCAGAGACGCAAATTACACAATCAGCCAGAAACAATTCCAGAAATGTAGTCCTTGACTCGTCATTAAATTCCCAAACTTCTCAACTCCCATTCCATCGACTCAACGTTCCAAACAAGATCAAATCGTGAACTTTTTTAATTGAGAGGATTGCAGTATCTCTTTCTCTTCTCTTCAGCGGTAGGTCCCATGTTCAACGGTCGCTTCCATAAGCGAACACACGAAACTAAAGTATACAAACTAATGTTCGAAATTAATTCCAACAACCACTTCAGTAACTCGTCAATAATCTAGCTTAAGAACCGATTAGAAAATTAATTACCGGAGCCGCCATTCGAACAGTGTGCGGGAAAAGCTTCAAATCTTGGATCAAACGGTCAAGGAGAACCAGCCAACTCCAGCAGGAGCCAGATGAGCAACAGATTAGCTCTGCAAAATTACCCATCAGATCAGCATTTTATCCATTTCTCTGATAATTCAATAACGGAGTCCCAAATTCCCATAGAAAAATAATAGAAGCTTCCATAAACAATTACAGATCGGAGAAAGGAAACCTCACCAGAAAATCTGAAAATATCTGGCCCGCCGCCGGAGACTGCTGACCAAGAACAGAGGAGGAAAACGCGAACCTTCTGACTTTCCACAGGAACCAAATCCTCGGAAACGAGAAGAATCCAGCCAAACAGGGAAATTTTCCGAGAAAAGGAAGAAAAAAAAGGAAATAATGAGGAGGAGAGATGAGAAGGTGAAGAAACTACTAGAAGGAAGAGGAGAAAAAAATCGGGGAGGAGAGATAATTATAAGAGCTGAGAGGGTGCCACGTCATATCCAATCGTATTATTTTCTCTGTTTTCCATTAGATCGCCACGGAAAACTCTAGAATGTGGGGAGATCTTGTGGCTGAGAACGCAACAGATCTCCACCTCACGCGCTAGAATGCGCGAGTGTCACCACGCGCGTTATCCAAGGGATTTCCTTTCGTTTTATTGGTTAAATCTATAAAAAAAATATCAATATTATATTTGCCCTACCTTTGGAACTAGAGGATTATTTCGTATTATAATATATATATTATAACTAAAAAATTACTGAGAAATATGGTAAAAATTAAAAAAAAAAAGAGATTGGGAGTGAAAAAATTGTGGATAAAGTGGAAGAGAAAAGAAGATATTATGTTTGGGGGTTTGATAGTGTCTTCGGACAAAGACGTCTCCTTGGTTGGTGATATTTCATTGGCCATATCAATATTTAGTGGTTCAGATTTTTCACCCTCCGACCGTTCATATGATTCTTTTTTTCTCTTATTACACCGTTTCTCGTTTTAATTTTTTTCATGATTATTAAAAAATAAAAAAAAATCAAATTAAATCATATTTTCATTACTTTTTATTAAAATTATTTTTTAAAATTAAAGATATAATTGTAAATTTTTTTAAAAAATAATCTAGAAAATTTAAAACGATATCTAATTACTAACAAAAAATGTTTTGTAAAACGATATTTATTTAAAAATTGAGGAGGTAATATTTTTTTTATAAATTTACCCAAAAAAATATAAATATAAAATATAAAATATAAGCATGACTGTTTGGTTGTGTAACTTTTTTTTTGTCAAATCAGGTCCCTGACCCGGGAGCAGCCTTTGAACACACAGCCTTTGGCTATGGCTCTCCCTCCCGCATGTTTGGTTGTGTAACTTTGTTAATGATAATAATAATGACAATAATAATAATAATAATAATAATAATAATAATGAAGCTGATGATGATGACAATAATAATAATAATAATAATAATAATAATAATAATAATAATAATAATAATAATAATAATAATAATAATAATAATAATGGCCATATTTCGATTTTTTCTACTAAATCCATTTTTTCAATGAACACTGCCATAAAATTTTTAATGCACCGAAATTTAGAACGATATAGTTTTTGGATTATGTGGTTGGAGGATTTTCGCCATCGATTTGATGAGAGATCGAATACGTGTAAAAAAACTAAAAGATAAAAAAGTATAAAACTGATGGATAAAAAAATTGTTTAAATAAATTGTAATGATAATATAACCGCAATATTATAATTAATTACAAAATTTTAAAAATATTTTGCAAAAAAATATTATGGACATATATATATCTTATATTGGAAAATAAAATAAAAAATCAAATCCGAATCTAAATATAGATTTTTCGTATATCGTTTTTTGTTATCTAAACTCTGCTAATTATTTGGACATCCAACAGTTTCCAAACGATTTTAAAAACTGATTGGATATCGAATTTTTGGATCATCTGAACCATTAATAATAAATAGACGATTCTTGGCACTAAATTTAAACAATATTTTTGCAAAGATCGAACAATACAAAATATAAAAATATTTATTTCTATTAAAAATTTGAGGCATCCAAGTTATCATTAATTTTTCTTTTAACAAATAAAAAGATAAAGTTTTCTGAACGCATAAACTGTATTGATAACTAAAAAAAACATAAGAACCGCAACATAAATGCATATTTTGAGTTGTATTTAGACATTTATGTATGTACATGCATATATAAAAATATATAAAATAATTTAATATACGGAAAAATAAATATGTATTTTATAACGCGGTTGGGATAATGGGCAATGTGACGTGGTGTTGGGGTGTGACAATGATATTTAATCACACAGTGAGAGCCACAATTTTGATTCGGGCAGATTCTCTTATTTTGATTTTATATTTATATTTGTATTTATTCGAATATATATATATATATTTCGCCATTAAAATTTATATTTTTGAGGCCTGCATTTTCACATAGCCTTAATATCTTCGGGACATTTCCAATGATAAAGATTTTTACCTAATAAAGATTTTCTTGTCGCTTGTTTCTTGATTTGGCATAATCTAAAATGTATACACATATATCGACACGCACACACGCTAAATGCATTTTTGTTTAGTATGTATGTTATAAATTACAGAATATCTAATTTTTATGTCTAATATATTTTTTTGGGTAAAAATTTTATGCCTAATATTTAGAATATGTCTTTTGTTATATTTTTATTTAATTTAGAAATTTATACAATTAGTATTTTTATTTTTATATAATATATATTTTATATTGATTAGTTTATGTGTTTACATTTATGTCTGCATGGACTATAAAACATTTTTAATTTAATAAATTATATATCAAATATTCACATTTAATTAGGTAACGATTAATTTTGTCTATGAAACAAAATATATCGTCGGTCCAAAGAGGAGATGATTAGCCCGAGATTTAGACCTCATACCAAAATCCATCATAGATATTTCTGTTTTCTCTAACCTTTTACATCATTATATTTAATTATTATATAATAAGCTTTTCTACCCAATTTTGACAATTCGCTGGTCGAATAAAATAAATAAATGGTCCATAGGTTTTTCAACTTTCCGTATGATATTTTTGGGTCAAATCAAATTTGATTTTTGGTTGGTAATATATAACGAGAACAAAGATTATATAAATGGGACATACCTCGGCTGGTTTGTACGACGACTCCCACGACACTCTGTCCAAATGATTTTAAGCAGTGAAGAAAACGACTAATCCAAAGACGTATGATATTGTCTCATAAATAAATAAAAAACAATTCAACTTAGTAACGTTTTCATAACAAATCACTATGTCATAATTTTATAAAAAATTATATTTACAACTTTACATAGAAAATCAAAATCAAAATTTCAAAACACCAAAACGCTAAGTTAGAATGTGTTTGTTCTAAGTTATAATCCAATATAGCTTATGAAGACACTTCACATCTCATCTCATCTCCTCTGTCATAGCATAGGTTCCAACATACTTGGACGATGTTATGTTGTAACCGGAGGACAAGATATGAATGTTATACCTTAAGGACAGATTCTTGAATTCGGTCGGGATTGTCGTCTTTATCTCCGGTGCCAAAAGGCGAGATCTGGGAGTAATCGAGTTTGTTCCTTCGACTTATCTCTCTTTTCTCACGGCATCTCTCTCGTTGTTTCCCTTCTTCGTCTGGTAGACTCAAGGAGTATAAGGCTTGTCAGAAAGACAATGGAGCGCTAACCGATCGTTTGATTATGCATGGAAAACGCTAACCGGTAAAAGGATGAAACTTACCCGGAAAACCTGATGTTTCTTGCAGGATGTTCTACCATCATGATCATGATCATGATCATCATCATCATCCTTTGTCAACAAATGGAAAACCGAGCAGGATCAATATGAAAAAAAGAAAGTCCCGTCAAAAAACAGAATGGAGATGAAGAATCTTTATGCACAGAAAGGGTAAAACCTCCAGAACAGATCGAGCTTCAGGATCAAAAGTCTTGCAAAGTATTTCATAGCTCTCACAGGCCCCATTCTGCAGGAAAATGGTACAAGTGAGGTTTAAGCACCATTTGATGAATCCTCAATAAAAGGGTAAATTCAATTAAGAAGCTGAATGTACTGGTGGATTAACTTTTGACGGTGAAATGCTTGATATTTTGTATCTGCATCAAAAACAAAGGACGACTCATGTTTGGAAGAATCATTTCATTACAAGCTCAAAAAGGAGAAGTTACGACAACAACAGAGCATCTAGACATTCGGAATCGATATTCGATATATTAAACTAAATCATAGTTTAAAACGTTGCTTCTTACCTTAGCTTGCTCATGTAGAAGGTCATCGCTAACGAGTTAGATTTTTGAACAGTTAGCACCACAGCGCCCATCCGATTCTAACAACCAAAGTAAGAGCAAAGTACATCGGTATATAGTCAACGTCAGAAAAATCTGGGAGGAGCCAAAAGAATTCTGCTAAAACCTTGCAAGCAATGAGCTCAACCAACTGCATTAAGAACTCTCCCAATCCCTTTCCTTGGACTCGGGATTCTAGCTGTATCTCATACACGTAAAGGACAGGCATCTCTTCTTCCAAAGTAAACCGGTAATGCACAAACCCAGCCATCTGATCACACACTTCCATGCCTTTTCCTTTAGAAACCTCATTGATTCTACCATTTAGCAGTTCTCTCACAAATATATAACGTGCGTCAGGGGAAACCATCTCCCGGTGCTTCACCTTCTCATGTATCCTCCAATCAGATCCATGGAACCCAGCCATGTTCATCTGTACAAGTACCAAAAACCATGCAGTGAAAGATCAAACGCTATGGAAGAAGATGGACAAGATCGTTCTGTAATAAAAAATAAACCAAAGAGCATTCATTTCGAGTTACCCTCAACAGCATTCGGATGTATTGCCTTACTGATGAGGAAAGCTTATCGCCCCGGTCAGATTCCAAGAACACAGATAAACCTACAAAACCCAAATGCAGAATCATATACCAATATGGTTTCAAAAACTTGATGATAAGGTTGAAGGCCCCACAAATTAATTCACAAGCATGATCATAGATTACAGAGTTAATGCCTTGAATTTCGCGGGCAATGCACTCGGTTAGAATCATACATTACTTATGTTTCCGAGCATTGAGAATTCACAGCAACAATTTGAACAATTCAAAATCACTACATCAAACTAATTTAAAACTATATACACTGAGCACAGTTCTCATACAACACTTGCATAAAAGGATATCCTCTGTTTATGTAAATCCCTAATACTACCATGATAAGCTGATCCAAATCATACATTACACTGAACGGATCCAACAAATCAAAACCTAATCTTTTGGCATGAAATTAACCTATCGAAACTGCATCAAATCAAACATGATTCTCGAATAATAATAATGATGAACATCGGCCAGGGATAAAACCCAAATCGGGATATCTCAGGAACTGGAGAGCCAAAAATTTGAGAAAATTACCGTTTCTGCTGTAACGGCGGAAGGAAGGAAGCGAAGATAGGGGATCGGCGAAGGACGAAGCTCTGTTTATAACTTCGCGAATCGCCTTCTTCTTATCCAATATCTGCAACACACAAGTTCCGAATTTGAATTTCTCACACTCGAATTCGGAGATGCTAAAATACCCTGAGAACCTAGCTTCTTCGGATTGTTAACCTTTCTCCTCTTCTTCGAATCCATGGCAGATGCTCTCCCCTTCCCTCCCCCTCCCTCTCTCTCTCGGATTCAGAGCGGTTTGAATCGGATCCCGGGTTGATCCGAATCCGAAAGATGTTGGATAAGCCCAAACGTCGGACCCTTCATTGAATTTAGTTTAACGAGAAGAAGCCCAATTCAATCTTAATGATAAATTTAGTTTAACCAAGAATGCGTACAAATTAATTTAAATAATAAACAGTTTATTGTTTTAAAAATTATTATTGAGAATATGATTTATTAGACTTATTAGGTTTTTTTAATTATAAGTATTAGAACTTCTAATAATGTTTTTAAAAAATGGCAAAAATTGCAGGGGCACGTTCCCCTAATTATGTATACAATTTCATAATACACACAGCAATTGATTCTGTTGGCAATAATAAAAAAAAATATTCCATAAGAATCTATAAATCGATTGGTATATACAAAAAACATCTATCATCTAAGCACATGCAATCTATTTTTAATTGTTTATCCAATTCGTCATATATCTAATGCAATCGACATTTGGATTCCATCAACCGAACTAACTGATAATATATGATTAGGTCTGAATTGAATTTTATATAAAATCTATTAAATATAATTTATGTAAAACCAAATTAAATATATTACAAATCAAATATAAAAATAATAGAAAGATAATTTAAAATAAAATAAAATTTAAGCTAACAACTTAAACTAAACAAAAAAAATCAATAGAAATTTCGAATGGATACATTTTTAATAAAATAAACTATAAAATAAATAATCCAAAATATAAACGACACCTAAAATATCTAACTGTGTATCCAATTAAACCATCATCATAAGCATGGACATAAAAAAAAGTACACTTTTCATTGGATCTAAATATAATATTATTTATTTCTCCATTTTAATATTTTATATTTTGATAATGTAATTATTAAGATGGCGATGATTGAGAGTGACGGCATAGGCCAATGAAAGAGAGAGTCGTTGGAAGCTTTTGCACGACGGCTTGGACCACTCCCCAATAGCCATCCACCCCAAAGGTTCATCGAACTTTCACAGAAACGTCCTAATCATTTTAATTGATAGTGACTATTTTAAAATTCTATATAAAATAATTGAAGGCAAAAAAACACTATGTTTATATACTTATATATATATATATATATTGTATTAGATAAAACATGAGGATTTGTTTAATTAAGTTTTTTAATAGAGAAATGTATAAAGGTAATAATTTTATCTCTTTTCACTAAATTCGCATGATTCTTAATTTTGTTTATCATTAATATATTTTACTTATAATGAAAAAAATTGTATACAATTGACCTTTCATGATAGTGCGGATAAGATAAAGTTTGGACATAATTACGGTCGCATACATTTAATCACGTGCCTAAATAACTCGGAATGAATTTCCATATTTTTTTGGCCAAAACTCTCAATACCCATTTTAGACAAAAGACTACATTTTGAAATGATGAAATAAAAGTGGAAAAGACATGTTACTTAAACTTTTCCCTTGTTCCCAAGTCATCTAGGCACATTTTAAACTATATAATAAACTTATAATGTGAAAATTACTCGATGTAAAACAACAGCAAATCATAATCTAAACCCTACCAATATATACACACACACACACACACACATTTAGAGTGAGGGTTATATAATATGACCAAAACAATGAAAATAAAATTATTGATGGATGGTTGTGGAAGTTTTTTTCACAACGAGCCTTACAAAATAAAAATATTGTTCACTTTCACTATCACCACGAGGTGCATCGAACTTTCACACAAAACCCACCAAAATATTTATATTTTTGTAACCCCCAAAAATATTTATAATTGAAAAGTCCAACGAGAATGATAATATTTTTTTTTCTTATCCATTGAACTAACACAATGTAATTGTTCTTACATGGTCAATTATGACAGGATTCTCCTCAGTGTATGTACAAATTATACTAACAAAAAACAAAAGAAATTAGTCTAATCCGAGGCCCCACAAGACCCGGCCCGGCCCGGTTCTAATCGGATCCAAAATCTCGCTGGAGGAAAGGGTGAGTAATCAGCTGCGACGCAGTCCACCGTAGACTGGACTCTTTACGGAGACAACAATCGATGAAGCTCTTGAACTCGTCGGAGCTTCCCTCCGGCGCACGCGGCGGCTCCCCGAAGCAGACGGCGCACATTAGCGTCGCCCAGTCTGGCCTCTGCCCCGCCGGAAGCAACGGAAAATGGCCGACGTATAGCTCTAGCATCATAAGCCCGAAACTCCAGATATCGCCGGCGTATACATCGGATTCTCCTCCTCCTGCGACGGAATCGAATCTCTCCGGGCTCATGTACGCGCACGTCCCTACGTAGGAATTGCAAGAATCCAGTGATCTGACCATGATCTTGCTCACTCCGAAATCGGCGATTTTCACCTCGTTCCTCGAATTCAGTAGCAGATTCGCAGGCTTTATGTCTCTGTGAACGATCTTCAGCGCGTGCAAGTACTTCAATCCCTTCAGAATCTGGCGAGCGAATCCCGCGAGGTCGTGCTCCGTTACTCCGCCGCGGAGCGATTCAAGTGTCCCGCCGTCCATGAACTCCATCAGAATCGCAACCTCTCCGGAGGGTTTCTCTGAGATACCGTGGCTCCGGACGACGAACGGCGAGTCTGTGCGGCGGAGAATCTCCATCTCGCGGAACAATTGACGGCGGAAAGTGGGATCCATGTCGCCGTTAACCGTTTTCAGGGCGTAGACCTCCGCCGTTGTCCTATGGCGTACCTTGTAGACGGTACCACCGTTTCCGCTGCCGAGAACGCATATTTTTTCGAAATCGGAGAGCGAGAAGCCGTTGATGCTTCCGGCGGCGGAGGAGGAGACGGGGAAGCAGGGGAGGCGATCGGAGATGGGAGGGAGAGGGAGACGGAGGTTGACTTGACGGCGATCTCGAACCAAAGCCATGGAAGACGACTTGATCATTTATCAGAGAGAGTTTAGGGTTTGGATGATGGAGTAAGAAGAAGAAGGAAAGGAGAAGCTGAGTTGCAGATTTTATACATCTTTCAAGTCTAGTGGATTGAGTGAGCAGCCAGGAAGGAAGGCGATCCTATTATTATTATTATATTATTTTTTAATTGGTTTTGTGTTTCCCAACTAAAAAAAAGAAAACTTTATTTTTTGGAAAATGCATGTTGGTATTGGGCACGTGATTAAATGGGTCCAAATGTCAATTTCAAATTTGGAAACCCAATTATCAGAAACTATTAAATTAATGTTTTAAAATTAGATTTTGGTGTTACAAGATATAGTTTTTGACAACTTAACAAGTCAATAAGATCCAAAAGAAACGAGAGAAACCCTTTGACGGTCGTATCCGCCTAACTCTAAACGGGGAAATAGCTGCAATACCATTTGACTGCTATAAGGACTTTTGATACTACCCTTGAAAAAAAAAATTAAACAAAAAAGACTCTTTCACATGGCATAAGACACAAAAACCCTCAAATATTTATGAAAAGACCAAAAACCCTTGTGTTAAATTTTAAAAAAAAAACTTAAGTAAAAAAAAAAAAGAAAAAGAAACGATGAAATGGTGAAATAGTAATCTCTCTCCTCACTCACATCTTCTCTCTCCTCACTCACATCTCAGCGCTCTCTCTCTCCTCTAACTTACGATTTTCTCTCTCTCTCTCCTCACTCATGTCTCAGCGCTCTCTCTATCCTCTAATTTAGACAAGGAGAAGATTTTCCATTGCGTAAGCCGACGCTCCAAACCCGAGGACAAAAGCAATCACGGTCTACAGGATAGAATAGAACCCTAATTTCTGGAGCTGTCATCTTTCAGTTTTCTGAAAGTTTTTAGACTAGAGGTTATAGATGAGAGAAGCTAAGCGGTAACAGTTGCATATGTTCGAAACCATGGGAAGAACTCGGTGGTGGGCTTGGTTTGGAGTTCCTGAGCTTTCCGGCGGATCTATGTCGGAGGAGGCGATTCGATGCAAACAGGTAAGAAAGGTGAAGAAGGTGATTCGAGTTCCTTCTCTATACATGAGAACCTTCTTCTCGCCAATGCACAAAATCTCTTGAAAGAGAAGTATTCAACGTCCTTCCACTATGACGATGGAATTTGTGAGGAGGATTTCTAATGACTGAATGCATTATAGAGTCCAAGTTTCTAGAAAGGGCTTCTGTCACACGGAATATAGATCACATATATTGTAAGATTACATGGTCACACGGTCACATGGTCACATGGTCACACGGTCACATGGTCACACGGTCACACGGTCACATGGTCACACGGTCACATGGTCACATGGTCACACGGTCACATGGTCACACGGTCACACGGTCACATGGTCACACGGTTACACGGTCACATGGTCACAGTCACATAGTTATATTGTCACACGGTCACAGTGTCACACAATGATATCTAGATAATATTGCTGACATATGTTATTTTGTTTTGTAGCACATGGAAGAGGCGATGTATAAACTCCGAACCCGTATTATAAAGCATCTCATGACCTATATAGGATGCAACTACTTGGTGTGTGATACCATGTTCATAGAGTTGATCAACGCATGAGTAGAATCGGGAGACATGACAACTTTGGGCGATCTAGAATCACACTTCAACGGAAGAAGAAAGCATGAACTTTTATTTTTTTAAATGCTTTGTTTATATTATTTTGAACCCTAACGTGATCTACATAAGATGCAACTATTTGACTTGTGATACTATGTTCATAGAGCTGATCAACGCATGAGTAGAATCGGAAGACATGACAACAAATATTTCAGAAGACGAAAGTGTAAATTTTTAATTTATTTCACTAAATTTACTTTGTTTATTTTGTTTTGAACCTTAACTATGATATGTTTTTCTTTATTTGATAGTAGACTAAATTATGAACTCTTATATTTAGTTTTTTGTTTATTAGAAATCTGAATTTATTTATGTTTTATGTAAAATATGGGTCTAAATTATTGTATGAAAAATTTTAAACTTAAATTGATGGAGAAAAAAAATATAAGGTTAAAATAAAATTACGTTTTTTTTCAATTGTGAAATAAGTTAAATTGTCAAAGTAGTCCCCACAAGAAATCTAGGTTGAATTGTCAAAGTGATCCACACAATGGAATAAGAGAAAAATTATGGGTTGAAAATATTATAGGTGAAAATTTGGGGTTAAAAATTGGGAGGGAAAAAATATAGGGTTAAGAGGGAAATTATATAGGGTTGAATATTCAAAATATGCACCATATTAAAATTAAAAAATGGAAATAATGATTGTGGACCCTACGAAACATAAAAATCTGGAGAAATCTGACTAGTTCTTCCTGTGGGTCCCACATCACATTTCGGTCACAATGGATCACAGTCGGTCACAACCGGTCACAACCTTCGATCCATGCGATTTTTGTCAATTTAATTACTCTACAACGTCACACATATCTCATAAGCCTATTCTCTATTGTTTCGAATATTAGAATATGGTTTTTGCGATTTTTATGTTTCAAAATTGTTCTTCCAAATGTGTTTCTATATATTTCATAGTGTTTTATGAGTGTTTTTGACAAATTTGGGATATTTCTTCTACAAACCCCTTAAAATATTTTGAAAATTTCTCACATACACTATATATTTGATATATAGACCCTGATAAACCACTCCAAAGCTTAAAAATTAAATTTGGGTCTATATTTATCAACACATTTCGGTCACGGGTCACAGTCGGTCACAATGGTCACACAGTGTAAAATTGCACTTCGGTCACACGGTCACACGCTGGTCACAATGGGTCACAACGTTGGCTCATGTGAGTCAATTTATTTAGTGTACAACACGAGTCAGATATATACGAAAATACAAGGTTAAAAATACAACGTTGGCTCATGTGAGTCAATTAATATGGTACAGACACAATATTATCCAAAAATTTTAACACATTATTGTACAAATACATTACAAAATTATTAGGGTCTTTGGATATTATTGTACAAATGGTTTGTAATACGTTAGTATACAAATATACCAAACAATTATTACAGAAATTCTGGTTATTTTTGCACTCTAAATTAGTTGTTCTCTCCTCATACTCATAATATACATCATCTCGTTTTCCACTACGTTCAACAATACTTCCATGAGCAAAATTATAGGTTGTGACCGAAATATACTACAAACGAAAGAACTGCGGAAAGAACAACAACTAGAAGAAAAAAAACCACAAAAGCATCAATGTGCATGGAAAAAAATCGGGATTTCTACACTAGCTTACATATTTTTAGTTTTCTCATTGATTTTCCTTTGATTTCATCCGATTTCTGCAAATTTTTAGGACAAAATATCAAGATAAATAGGAGAGATAAAATATAGAAGAGAGAGAAAGCTCAATCGAAAATAATGGCGGAAGGAGAGAGAAACGTGCAAAAAATGAGAGGAGAGAGAAACTTTAGAAAAAAAGGAAAATTTTATTTTTTATTTTTTTAATTAAAAAATTAAAAATGGGAGGAGAGAGAAACTCCAGAAAAAGAGGAAATTTTGTTTTTTTATTTTTTTAATTAAAAATTATATCTTAAGGGTATTTTGGTAATATGTTATTGAAAAGGGTAGATTGGAAGTTGAATTTTTTTTTTTAAAATGAGGAGGGTAGTAGGAGAAATGCTTGTAGCACATTAAGGGTAATTTGGAAGTTGCCCCACTCTAAACTCATATCCTCTTCAGTGAAAATTTTGATTTATTTCTTTTTTTTTTAAATCATCATCCAAATAAAAATAGTTGGAGAATGTAACGGAACAATTGCACGTGCTTTTTAAGATAAAAAGGAAACGAAGGGCTGCGCGCAGTGGGATTTATTTAAAATTAAATTCCTATCGCCACTTAAATGGAGCCAAGGCTTTGGACGTTCTTGGAAGATTCCAGCTTTAGCAAGTGGCTGAAGTTGATGGGGATTTTTTTTGTTTGTATTTTTATATTTTACAAGTAAAAATATAAAATAACGGGGATTTATAATAAATGATAGGAAAATGGATACAAATTTGCTGACAAATCACAACATGTGTCACTTCTCATTCATGACTCATGAGAGTTTATAAATGTATTTTAACTACCCATTTATTTCAAAAATTGGAATTATTGGTTTTCATATTTGAATGAACACATCAAAGGTCAAGAGTACATTACTAAAATGCCCCTCGTGACTTTTTCTTTTTTATGTAGTTTATCAAGATGTGCAATACATATAAAAACATTTACCTAAGGTCATGGAGACATGAGAGTCCCGCAACTGGAATATCATTTACAAGGTACCCTGTACGTGCGGGTGATGCGTATCTGCAAACCAAAGAGAAAAAAATTTGTGGCAGAAATTGCCATATAAGAAGATGAATATTCGGTGTAATAAAAAAACCCAACACTTAACCTCTACCACAATCATAACCATTTGCATATAATATATCGTTTCCAATGAAAATTTCAATCCAAAATCTGTAATATGTTGCAATTCCCATCTCTAATTTATAAAATCTGTAAAGAGTTTGGTGCAGTCTGTGTATCATATATTCATCACAAAGCAGCAAAACCGGACAAGACAAACAGTAGAGATTTTTGGTTTCTTTGAGGAAGAACACAGTAGTGAATCATATATCTTTTGAAACTTTTCATGCTTATGAACTAGTCAAAAGGGTAATTTGGATTTTAGGAAGAGAAAAAGGCAAAGTTGAGGTTTATAAGAACAAAGAAAAGAAAAAAGGATCATAGGTTATGAAGTTTCTATTTGCCTTTTCCTGGAAATTTGTAAGCAACCTATTTACCTAAGGTTCTTTCACTGTCCGTTTTAGCAACTAAGAAGAAACAAGTTACCTGGGCAAACGCATAAATTGCTCGAAGAATTCGTGCGTAGTCAGTTCCAAGCATCTGGATCACTAAATCAGCCAGCAAGGTTCCCCACATCCTGCGGATTTCGGAATTTGACAATATCATTAGCAAAACCAACGGAGAAATTGCCCATGGATGGATCGTTATGTTTCCTGAGTAAATGCAGAAGTAGGTCCCTATATATATATATATTCATGTATTTGTGTATATGTGTGAAGAAGATAATAATTCAAATAAGCCATGAGCAATCTAAGAGAAGAGGGTGTATTCTACATGGGACCGAGTAATTGCATTACACTTCTTAAGCCTAGATATCTGGATGCAGCCCCTGCAAAGCCCTGCCAACCAACGCAAGCCAGAGAACGTGAAGTATAAGATGCTACTTTACGATATTTTCTTGACATGGAAACACAGAGATAGAAGTCGAAAAATAAAAAGGGAGGGCAATGACTACCTGCTTGGCTGCAAGCAGGGCTGCTCGAGATTCCAAGTTAACAGTGGCCAACTGTCCACCCTGAAGAAGAAGCCAAAAACACCGATTAAGTTGATGCCGTAAATATAATCTGTCTTCTTTAGTTATGTATTTGAGTTGATGTATCCGACCCATCCTCTCAAAGAGCCTTTGAAACTTGTGATTGACACTTCTACTTTCTCCTATTTGTTGAAATTAGCCAGATACATACCTTTTTTAGCACTTCTTTTATCATCTGGTAGTTGGCAGCTTCAAGGAACACTTTCCCTGATAGTTTCTTAGCCAACTACATACATGGCCATATGAAACAGCAATCAGTATCACACTCACAGAAGAAGCCAAACGCACTGAAAGTGAATCAATTTCATACCAATTGATAAAGCTTGGCAAATGTGATCATGCCACCGCCCTGCACAAGAGGGAAGGAGGAAATCATATAAGCCTGATAATCAAGAGAAGAAATGAGACAAACACAGGGCTAGGTCAAAGAAATCAAAGAGCACCTTTAAAACCATAGATTGGACCTCCACAGCGCCAACTTTGAGAGCGGCAAGTAATTCAACTTTCCATTTACTCAGCCCAAGTTCTAAGCTGCCTTTAACATCTGATAGTTCAGAACTTTCCCACAAGCCTGGAAAAATCCCTGATTCTTCTCTACATGGATGTAAGTTAGAAGTTGCAGGAAATCATTAAAGCCCGACAAAAGTTCAAGGAATATTTGAAGTTGAGAGGTTGGAGCAAAACTAAAGTTTCACTGAGAAGAGTACCTAGAGAAATTCTCCACAAGATAAAGAAAGATCTCTGCTTCTAGGTCGTCTGTTGGCAATTTGCTGGAGCATGGGATTTTTAATTCGTTTCTCACGGCGAGCAATACATTTCTGTATGAGGGCCTCCAACCTCTATGATTGTAAACATGTAAACTTGTAAGGCATATTGAATTCTCGGTTTAAATTCTACACATATTGTAAATGCTAAGAGATTGACGGATCCTTTTCACCCAGACGTATTCATGAAACCCTGTCGATATTTGCACAGAAGCTGCGAATATCAACAACACAGTTGCTTGTAGGTCCGTTTCAAGTTTTTTTTTTTCAGTTTCATTGGTGAAGCTCTATAACAGCTAGTCCTTACAGATGAAACTTACCTCAATGTTGAGCGGGCATCCGCAGCCAGGAACAAGAATCTTGACTCAAGGGCTTCAATAAAACCATCTCGTACCTCAAGATCTTCACCTATCATTAGACGGTCAGCTTCTGATCTGTTCGGAATTGATTTCAACAGAGGGCTGAAGTAACTGTTCATAAAAAACAAGACACCCAAAACACTGTTAGGAGCAAAATTCACATCTCCATCATTATCATGTCATCAGCATCATCAAGTGCAGAATATACAGATACAGATGAAAAGGGAAACAAAAGGGAGTGAATAACAGTTCTACACTATGAGGGTTTTTGGACAGCCGAATCTCATGAAAATTGTAAAGTTCAGAATTTTTCAAAGAATTCTCTACCCCTGAATCAGCAGAAACTAACCATATTTGTTTCCCGGTTTCCTAATCAAATCATCTGCATAGCATCTTCCAGGGTTCCAATTAATAAACAAAGCAAGAATTTCAAAGTTCAGGAGAGTGACGAGAATCAAAACTCACCTGGGACCAAAAAGGATTCTTTCAAGTTCATACAACTCAGAATCAGTTGCGAGCTCAAGAACCAATCGGAGCTCCGGATCATACGTAGCTGTTAAACTCACCATCCGCAACAAGCAGCAATCAACGCAATGTACGAAACAAACGAGTGAGATTGAGGAAAGAGAGAGAGAGCAGTGTTGCACCTTCCGGCGGCGACGCTGAACTTGCGACCACGGAGAACCCCAACCGTTTCCTCCGCCGAGCGGCGCTAGGAATCTACAAGCAAGCAATCGGATAAAAAGGGAATGAAGAAAGCGAAGTTCGGAGATAAACCCCAAATATTACATCGAGAGAGAGAGAGAGAGAGTCCACGTGAAGAGAGATATTGGAGAGAATCGGCTGAGAAGCGTGTGGTCGGTGAAGCGGCGGAGCCACGGCTGTGATGGTGGTGGCGGCAGCGGCGGAGCTCATCTGGATCATCGACTACCCTCCGAGAGCGGAGAGTCACACTTATACACAGAATCTTGCAATCCCTTGTTTTTTCTCCATTTTGTGATTTACTACTTACCACCTTTCATCTATTTTACCGTTTTTCAAATTGTTATTATTATACATGTCGAATGCTACAAGAAATAAAATTATCTCAATTTTTTTTACAAAAAGTAAAATATTTCTATTAAAGTTATAGTTAATTCGAATCGTTTTTTAAAATCTAAAAAAAAAGTGAGAAAATCAATTGGCACCCAAAATCCAAAAACTATAAAAAAAAAATAAATAAGAGAAGGAAATAACAAAAATAAACTTAAATTTCGGCTAAAATACATTATACCTATCTAATAAAAATTGAAAACGATTTGAAATCTTCTACAATAAAGAAAACACATTACAACAACAACAACAACAAAAAAGGAAGTTGATCTGATACGGTCTTTTGGTTCATTGAAAAATTTAAAGGATTATAAAAATAAAAAATAAAAAAATAATAATGTATATAAACAGTATCAAACGATTACACATTCTTTCACATGGATGATAATAGAAGTTTGGATAATTTAGCAATGCAATAGAAGAGGAGCAGAGGAGAGCGGTCAAAAGTGGCAAAAACGCCATCAAAACCAAACCAGTTGATGCAAGAGAAAAAGGGCTTCCTCCTCAACATCTTGTCTCTGTCCTAACAAATCCATCAAACCCGACTACAGTTTCTACAAAACACTGAACCAAGAAAAGAAAGTTTTATGAATCCGAAAACGAAACTAAACCCGAAACAAAAAGGGATCCTGAGGAAGCTGGAAGAAACTTGTTCGGCTCGGTTTTTAAAACCCTAAATGAACGCATCACACAATGTACAAGAACAGTTTCTGCTACCTCAGTAGAATACAACTTACACATTCACAAAAATTTCAAAGTTCTCTAAAGGTTATATATGATCGAAAGAGTTGAAGATACTAATATCACCTGGAGGAGAAGAGAAGGTGGGACACGCACGTTGGCTTGGACTAAAGGCGAAGCCTTTTTTTTTTCTTTTCTTCCGAGATCTATCCTAAAGGCAGCTTCTTTCACTGCAAGTCAAGTAGATATTGGCTCGTAAGGGTAAGAAAGCCAAGGGTGTTTGAGAGCATCTGAAGCAGATGGTCGCTTCTTCGGGTTTATTTCAAGAAGATGAGCCACGAAATCGATGAATCCCTGATCGCCCATTGGAAGCCGATGCCTTAAGGATGTCCTTTTGGGTATCAGGCACTCCACCCTGTTGGTTTCCTGAAAATACAGAAGAAAATCCATACGAGAAAAGAGTTTGTGAAGTTAAACAATGACTGGAAGCCATGGTTTTAAACTTATTTCAGGTCTTGGGAATATTTTTAAATAAGTTAATCAAGTAAAACACAATGCAAGAAGCAGTTTCTAATTTAGAACACGTTAGGACATGTGAATGTCTTTTCTATAAAAGGAAGCTATAGCTAGTTACCCGAAATGAAAGCAACAATTGTAACCTCAAAATGGAACAAGACAGTAACGGGAATGCTATAACCGTTGCATTTCATCGGGAAATGACAGATTCCATTTGATATCATGTTAGCTGATCAGTTATTTTTTCTTTTCCTCTCTCCTTATTCAATTATTCATGGAGGAGGTCAGAAGAAATTTACCTGATTCCGTTCATACAGCATGTGATATTTGGTAAAGTATTTGTAGGTATCACGTCCCTTGGCAAGCATTTCTTGATCGATACGACCTATAATTCCAACAACCCTCGCAAGCAAAGTGGCAGGAGAATCATTCTGGAAAAGAACCTGTGAAGGAATTCAATAGACACGCGTTCACTATGTTGTCCCGTTAAATCCAACCACAAAACCAGAAACATCATGCAGTTATCATTTATCGCAGGATATAAGGTATGACCCAGAAGTTCGTCGTGTACTATAACTCGATAAAACAACAAATTTATGTGTATTTACTCAGATTTTCCAGAGAAAATACGGGTTCAATACCCTTTTAAAAGCTAAATTGATGCATTTAATGCTACTTAAACTATGAACTAATCCAGACCAAGGAATGGAATGTTTTGCATAAACAAAAGAATGGTGACCACACACTCTGACAAGAATTTTGCCAGAACATGAACAAGTGAACGAAAGGACAGAACTTACGTTTCCTGTGCACAATTCTGCCAAGATGCACCCAAGGGACCATATGTCTATCTTTTTATCGTATGGGAGTCCCAAGATGACTTCGGGTGCTCGATAAGACCGTGACTGGACATAGGAACATAGATGATCCGTCTCGAAACAGCTACTTCCAAGGTCAATCACTTTTACCTCACATCTGCTATAGCTCTTTACTAATATGTTTTCAGGCTTTAAATCGCAGTGTATAAGTCCAAGGCCATGTAAAAACTGAAGTGCTTCCAGACACTGGATGGTAATTGACTGTTACAGAACGGTCCATAAAAATCGTCAGAAATCAACTAGATACGAGCCTCTATTCTAAGAAATCAATAATGACGACAACCAACCTGCAATCTTGGCATTGTGAAATAAACTTCTCCACCCGATTCTCTGTTAAATTTATGGAATTCATATAAATTGGCCTTGAGAAGTTCACAGACTATAAGCAAATGCTCCTGCAAAATTCAGTCAGTGAAAAATTATTGCCAAATTCAGAATTCAAAGCAAAATAAAAATGCAGGCTACACTAACAACAACGACGACATTTCACTCCATATCGAGAAAATGTGAGAACTAATCAAAAGAATAAAAGCACAACTGGCAGTGCTGATAAATCGATTATGAATAAAAAAACTCAATTATCAAATAAATTACACTACTTACATCATCTGAAAAAAAAGGTGGACAAAGCTTCAACAAATCCATAAAATGTGCCGAGAGTCAGATGGTTAAGATATAAAATAAAGACGGAAAACTTATGTATCAAAAGCACATGTCCCACACAAACAAATGACTTTCTTGGTATGCAAAGAGTCACCAGGATTACTTACTCTGTAGTAAAAATAATCATACAACCGGAGAATATGGTACTTGTCACCAGGATCATGTTTGTTGACATACTTGAGAAGTTTTATTTCATCAAGGCTTTGGTCAAAGAAGTCCTTATTATTCTTTATAATTTTTATACATACGTCCATGCCTGTCTGCAAGTCATGCGCTTGTATGGCTTTACTGAAAGCCGCTGATCCAAGATATTCAGTGACATGATAACGCCCCGCAATGACAGAATTTAAGACCACATGGAAGTTCTTGTCCTCTTCGAAGCCAGTTCTGTATGAAAAATCAAACGAACAAATAAGAAAGCAGCAGGTAACCCAGCTATATACTAAAAAAACAACAAAAAACCATAACATTTTAACATGCCAATGTAAAAGAACCTTTGGGTGTGATTCGGCCAACAGGAAAATATATCCACATAAGAAGGCATCACAGTGAAAGATACTTTAATGGCCAATGCTTTTGAATGCTGAACGGAAACAAGACATATTCTCTGTTCTACAGAATGTATCACCCCCCAGCTTTCATTTTATATGAAGCTTCTACATTGAATAAAATAACCAAAAAGAAACTCATGGACCCCTTCGAATAGCAAAAAACATAGCTTATATCAGTTCAAAGTTACATCCCCTTTTTGACGTATCTATGGTAGGTTGACCGGTACAATACAGAATGTAACTGGGTAGACAGCAGCAAAAAGTGTTGTCTACATAAAATTTTACCATCGTTCAATCTCAGTCTACTTGTGTTTTGCTTGGATAGTTGTTAGTCCGACACTGGAAAAAAAATAGTCTTGTAGCCTTGTAGCTGAAGAAAGCTCGACTCTATTCATTGTTTATCTAGATAACCTAAGGAGATGTTATTCATTGTTCATCTAGATGACCTAAGGAGATGTCTTTTTTATCATTAGGCTAAATCTTTAAAGTGCAGAAACAAAAATAATATATTTTTTTTCTTAAAAAAAAGAAAGGACTGGTCTTTTAAAAAAAGAAGAAACCTTGCCTGTTTTTCCTGTGCACGATTTTGAGGTTAAAGGTCTCAAACTCCTCTTGAGCTTTAATTTGCGCTAATTGCTCTTTGACAGCCGCTGCCTCTTCATCATCTAGTGATGCCCCATGGTCTTCCTCTCTTGCACTAATAGCATTCCTATCATCTTCTTTACCAGCATGAGCATAATTTGATAGGGAAGAAGGAGATGAATTTTCAGATCTTATAGATGTTGCATTATTTTCATTCCTAGAACTTCGAGAACTAGAAGAATCACTACTTTTCCGCCTCCAAGTAGCAATCATATCATCAGTCCCCGTAGATGCGTTCAAACATTCAGCATTCTCAGCCCTCATTACTTCTTTGCAATTGCCTGGTTGTAATGATTTACTAGATTCCTTATGCATCAACTGCCCATCTCTCTTTGATGAGATAAATGAAAAACTCTCGTCGGTTTGATTTTTCGCATGCAAGCTTCCACCTGTGTCAATATTATTTACAACATAATTTCTCACATCTTTTGTGCTAGCCTTTGGGTGGTCTCTGTTTAATCCATCAGTGTGTTTCTTATCTGTCTCAGACTGAAAATGTTTAAACCCTGATACTACGCCATCATGATCATTGGAGTACTCTCCCACACTGCTTCCTCCAACCAAACTTTCACGTACTTCACTACGAAAATCAGCCACTTCACTACGAAAATCAGCCACTTCAGTACTGATTCCCACACCAATTGACCTAACTGAATCCTGCTGATCACCATCAAGATGAGATTTTCCCGCATTCAAGACTTTCCTATCACCCAGCATGACACGTTCATTTCTCTGACTAACAAATCCCTGCCAAACAGGCTCAGAACACATCGAATTCAGCTCTTCTTCGTCCATCAGCTGCCCATCATATTGAGCTATTAAATCATCATTATTACTAGCTGGATACATTTTCGAGACCGTAAGCGCTAAACTATTATCTGAAACATCTAGAGGTTGCTGAACTTTAGCTTGCAGATATTGCTCGCCGGAGAAATAAGAATCCTCCTCAGCATAAGACTGATCATCCTCGTTTGCACCTCTTCCTTCGGCATCAGGACTTCCATGGGTCGTTCCTTTCTCATGATCACTCGGATAATCAATTTCATGAGCCAGAAACCATGTCTCATCCTCAATCGGTTGTCTGATATAACCAACATCATCGTCATCCTCATATTCATCAGAGTCCCAGTACTCGTTAGCATAGTCCACAGATTCACTTAATCCATCACCGATTGTAGCAAAACCAGAAACCAGATCAGATGCATCTTCTGCTATTCCTTGACTTACTGATAGCCAGTTTCCTCCAGCAGATCTTTTCCCACCTATCCATTATCATTTGGAGATTAAAACTCATGCCCACATTTCAAAGAAAGTTCATGAGGTGCAAAATGTAAATTCAAAACACAGAAAGCCATGCAACATGGTCCATTCTAGAAATCGAAACAATAAGCAGAACCCCATTGTGAAAGTAAACAAAAGAAAGAGATGGACACATGTGTGGATACTTTGACATGCAACAGAGCACCAAAAAGTTTGCTCACTTTCACCAGACTTAACGGCCATAACTTCTTCCAGCACTGTAAATGCAACAGTCACTCCTCAAGGACAAACGGTCTACCTCTCAAATCAGAAATGCTACTTCAATAGAATGAATACACTCTAAATGAATAGTACTGTAACAGTAAAACATAATGAGCATGACAGCTTTTCAAGAAGAAAGATGGGATTAAAAAGAAAAAAAAAATTATAAAAATGGGCATTTGGATGAGCAAAATCACGAAAAAAAAAGGGAGGGCATACACACCACAAACATATCTTGTAAACAACACAATCAAATTCAGTGGTCAGAACAGAAAGTCATTGAAGCGAACCTGAAGAATTGATTTCTTGTCCAATAGGAACATCTAGGTATGAACCAATGAGAAGGGCCTCCTCATTATTGATTAGCTTTACACCTGACCCATCATGCTCAAAAGTTTCCTCACAGTAAAGGTTCAGAGGTTTGTCTTCAGACTTGAGCTTAACAGGAGGCAGCCTAGGAAACTCTTCCTTTGGATTGCCATACATAAGAGGAAAGCCTAAGCTGCTAACACTCTTTTCATCATAACTAGAGGATTTACCAAAGAACAAAGCTCTTCCCACCTCATCCACTTGCTCCTTAATCGCTGCCCTAATATCACTGGTATCTGACTTCTTCTTCCCTTCTCTTTTCTCAGAAACGGTGACCAGACCTCTCTCTCACTCGGCTCTGTGACGAAACCACTTCGCGAATGATTTGATCGGTAGAGGTGAAGTGGATGAGCATGGAAAGGGAAATACCTAAAGCAGATTGTCGAGTTGCGTCTGCAAATCCTGAATGGATATCATTTTGATGTCGCTTCGCTCTTTCGACGAGTACTCGGCTTTGAGCAAGGACTTTCCAATTCTCCAAGGATGCCTCTGTGAGTTCCCCACCTCCTAACCGGGAGTCACCCATATAACCGTCACGCTTTGAAATATTTTCAGCTATCTGCTCAAGGTCATTGATTTCATTCGCTTTGGTTCCCGAGTTGGCTTTACTAGTACTTCCAGACCATGAAGTTCTCTTATCTCCGAAGAAGACAATATCTTCACCAGTTTCCAGTACCAGCTTATCGACATCACCTAATTTCCCATGCCTTGTCTGCTCCCACACAAATGCATCAACTGAGCTACCGTTACCAGTGCCGATGTCATTTTGATAAGCCTCAGAGGGGCCATTTCCAGAAGTAGGTTTACAGGAATGCATATCAAGAGCAGTATCACCCAAACTTTTGGACAACGTGAAGCTCCTCTCACTTGATCCAGTCACCTCCTTCTTACTTGATTTATCGGAAGACACGCCATTTCTCCATTTGACCTCAGACCCATTCCTCCCAGTTCCACAGTCTACCTCTTTGACAACAAGTTCCTTGAAGACTTCGCTATTTCGAGAGCCAGACCTCTGAAAGTCATTAGATGTTGCCTTCTCATCAGAGCCTTTACCTGAATCCCTTTCCTCGAGAGTAAGTTTCTGAAGAAAGCTGTTATTCAGCTCGCCACGCAAAGCTTCCTCAGCTTTAGTGAAGCGGTTTCTCCTAAGAAATTCTAAAATGGCATCCACGGAGCTCGGGTCTGCCATTTTTTTTACCGTTACAGATGCAGGTGACGCACTAGAAAGAGAACTCCACCGATCCTGAAACCAACAGACAAAGCCAAGATTTCTTTTCTAATGGTTCCTAATACACGAAACCCCTATGAACTCAAAACAAGAACCTTTCTCCGTAACAAATCATCAAATAGCGGAACCCGACAAAGAAAATTCCCGTAACATTTCAGAAACAGCCCAAAAAAAGATATTTTTCCTCGAGCGTCAAGAAAAGAAACCCTACAATCAAAGCCTCACGCTCTCTTACGGAATAACGAAGCAGATGGGAAGATCAACCACGGGTTCAAGAGAAAACCCTAGAAATCCTCAAGAATCATGCTCCAACGCGCATCGAAAAGATTGCAAAGACCTGGAGATCCCGAAAAAGAAAACTAAACAATTAGAAAAAAAAACAATTCGCGAAGTTCGTGGATCCATCGAGAAATTACATTTCTGGTGAGCGAAAGAGGAATGCACTTACAGATCGGAGGAGGAAGAATAAGGAGACGAACAATGTGTTCAGCCATTGGATGTAATGATTCGGACATTTACTGCAAAGTTTTGGATTTTAAATTTTTGTCGTTTCCAATTTCTAATTATCTTATTGCCTATTAAAAAAATGCCATCTTTTTTCGATAAAGGCATTAGAAGATATATATACACACACACAAATGTATCTGTAGATGACAAGGCAAAATGTTTCAAGTTATTTTACTGATTTTCATCTTCTTCTTTTTTGGAAATAAAAAAGTAATATGTTATTGCCATATCGAAAAGCCTTCCCTCATATAAAATATGTTGGAATTAATACTTTTTCTACTCAATTTGGTTTAAAATAGCATTTTTTTATATAAAATAAGGAATATGGCATATTCTTTTACTATGATACGGTTCCAATAGACTGGTCTAAATCATTGTTAGTTTTGTGCTTAGTCCCAATTCAGGGTTCAAAAATATTAGTTAATATGCATCATTCCATTTATTAAAATTAATTTCCAGTTAGAGCAAAATACCATATGATAGATTCAATTCGTTTTATATATTACATGAAAATCATTCCTTTATCATTGCAAAGTAGAAAATAATAAATCTTTTCCATAACCATAGCTAAATTAGAAAGAAAGGAGATAACCACATGTGGAAATCACTGTACTACACTTTCAGAAATGTAATATGATAAGTTTGAGATCTTACACAAATACAACATGTGAACGACTCTGGCAAATGGTACTCGAGGCTAATCATATACTGTTTCCCACCATCATTTTAAGACCTATTGGTAAAATTCACATCCAAAAGTTATCTATTTGTATATGAATAAGATTAGCTATTTGTATATGAATATTTATTAACCCTAAATTTCACCAATTGTCCAACAAAGATCACACACCATATGATCTCGTAACTTAAAAGTGAACTCTTTCGTGTAAATAGCTCTTTTAGCTTTTACAGCTATTGGTGAAACCATTAAAAAAAAAAAAAAAAAAAGAGTTGTTGAAGCCATTAAACCTGTAGAGTATTAGAACAGTTCGTGAACGATGGCATCTGTTCCGATGAACAACCGAAGATTATCCTCTCTCTCACTCGGCTCTGTGACGAAACCACTTCGCGAATGATTTGATCGGTAGAGGTGAAGTGGATGAGCATGGAAAGGGAAATACCTAAAGCAGATTGTCGAGTTGCGTCTGCAAATCCTGAATGGATATCATTTTGATGTCGCTTCGCTCTTTCGACGAGTACTCGGCTTTGAGCAAGGACTCAACTTGGGCGTGAGCTTCCACAATATTCGTCCTGAACAAACAAACAAAAAAATGTCGGTAATAAAAGTGTAAACTATTTTAGTGTCGCCTATATTTATGGCCACATTAACAAGATCACAATATTCGACTATCAATCGATGCAGCGTCCATGACATATCCAGGGTTTGAACATTACACCCGCGATTTGTGGGGATTAAAATTGGCAACTAGGCCAAAGTGAAAAATAAAAGATGTTCAAATATCACTAGAAACGATGAAAAGCTTATACTTTCCCGGGTGTTGCATCGTATAGCCCATAGTGAAGTTTTTCCTCACAAAACCACGAGGAAAAACAATTGAGTAACAGGCTTGTGTTTGGTGGGGACAAGGAATTGGATGGATCTAAACTTCTCCTTAAGCTGCACTAAAACATCTTTTAAGGCCATATTTCCTATTTACGTGTTTTAGTTGTTCAAACTGGTAAGATATTTGATTCAGAGCAACATTCAGACAGAATAGAACAGAACAGAACAGAAGAAGCACAAAATAGACAACAGTTAAGCATAATTGAAGCCAACCAAAGATATCCAAGAAAGTTGCGACATTATTAGCAACGGACTTACTTGATTGGCTTGAAAAGAATTGTCCTTGTTGATGGGTTTTGCAGATAGAGTTTCATTTTTGCCAAGACGAGCAGCAGCTCTTGCTGGATTGCAGCATTTACCTGATCCAAGTGCAAGAAAAGATAATCAACCAAAGGTAAAGAATGATGTTCACAATTTCAAGAAGGTGTTGTCACAAGCTCAAACATCTATTGCATCTGGAATATAGATACCAACTTAATGCTCTCACACCAGTAATCCAGTATTATGGTCATCCTAGAATTTCTGAAGGCACGGAGAGATGCGGTTAATTGGTTATGCCTTAATTTGGTACACTAGTATCAAAGCTAAAGCAGGCAAGCGATCACTGCATGCTTGATATCTCTTCTTTAAAGAGATCACAAACATGACGAAAATAACTACAAGCTTGGATCAGTTATAACCACCCAAATTAGACAATGGTGTAGACCACAAGCAATGAGAAAATAACTACTATGAGATATGCCATGTCTTTGAGCAAGATGATGCTATCACATGAGCGTTTGTGACTGGAGCAACAAATAAAATGAAATTTACCCCATTTCTTATATATATATATATATATATATATATCCAAACCATTCCGTACCTTCTGAACAATTTCAGCCACCTTATCTGGAGTAGCGAAAGCTTGTTCCTTTATCGGCTTGGCCATAACAGACCCTACCTTTTGATTCTGAGTTCCAGTGGATAGAGCAACTTTTATGGCAGAGACCTGCACATACAATTATATGATCAACAAATACACCATAAACATCACACTATTCTATAATAGAGTATTATCACCCCTCCCGTCACCATTCAGTGCATTATATTAATCAGATGCACATGTCTTTGAAAGAATTTAAAATCGAAAGCTGTTTTCAGATGCTCAAAAGGAGATATAAAGTTTTCTGGACAATGAAACAGTGAGAGAGATGCTCAACAGCCAGCTCTCGTTGAAGCTTCATTCCATGACAACCTCAATCATAAATCTAAAAACTAAAATCTTTTGTCCTTAAATGACTAAATGATCTTATGTTTGTCCCATCCATGACAACCTCAATCATAAATCTAAAACTAAAATCTTACAAACATTAAAACCCACCTTGGTAACGAATGAAAGCATAGGATCCACAACTAACTTAGTGACTGACATGATGAACTCCTCACAGGTTGCCTTGAGACATTTTTCCAGTTCCTGCAAACAGACGATTTCCTCCACACATCATATCCAATCAAAGGAATGAAACGTGAGGTTCGAAATAGCAATATACCGTTCAACATACCAAAAGAATTTAAATTGTCTCCTCCAAAACTAAACTTGGAGATAGGTGTAAAAATGTTGCAATGAAAATAGTTACATGAATACCGCTGATTAATGTTCAAAATAAAAGAGACAAGTTTCTGGTCATTTGAAGAGCTTGGTAAAATACATGTTGTGAAATACTAAGATTTATTTCCACCATCTCACTTGAGAATTAAAACCTGTCAGCACCATATTGCTTTTCCGACAAACAGGGGCAGAAGTGTACTCCAGATTATCAAATCCAATTTCTAATGTTTCTCCAAAGATTTAGTGTATCCATCTTGCATAACGGTGAATGCAATCTCATTGTCATATGAAAACAACAAAGCTAGATCACAAATAAACATGAAGTAAACCTAAGGTCATTAGTTGACAGAAAATAAAAGCCACAAACCTTCTTGGCATCAATTTGACTCTCCAAAACTCGAGGCGATAGGGTCCTCGCCAGGGAAGTTGATCTTGACCAGTCAAAGAGTGAGGCCTGACCTCTAAGAATCCTTCGCAAGTGTTCCTGACCAAGTTATTTCAGGCAAAGTTGTTAAGAGAAGCGTGGTAAAACCAAAACAAAGCAAGAAACACTGTGGATGTATAGAAGGAAACACCCTCAATGGCAAACAAACAATCGGACCACGGGGAACTAACCAACAAATGAGAGAAGTCGAGCTCTTTGTGGGTGACAGAAAATTCAATATCAAAAGGGGCAATCTGGAGAAACAAATTAGAAAACTTGTTAAAAATAAAACCAAATAACCAGAAAAGGTAATAAAAGATAATCAGACATAACCTGTTCCCTCAATATAAGGAGATGTTTGATTAGGAAAAGCTGCCCATCCATTGGAGTTGAGCGCTTAGTGATAAGCTTACTGGCTTTCTGTTGCATATTTTAACACAGATAAGAGGAATGCTTGCGGAAGATGTGCGATACATGTAAGCTTAGTAGCATAAAACAAAACAAGATGTTCTTTCTGCGAAAAGACCTATCTTTGTCTGTCTTAGAATGGTAGTATTCAAGGAGAATCAGAAAACACAGAAACAAAAGAAACCAACAAGATCTGCTTTTTTCTAGCTTGCCTACCTGGATTGACAGAGAGCAAACTTCCACTGCTTCCTGTGAAAACCAGATGAGACAGTGTGTTAGGCAGCACTTAGGAAAAGCAAAGAGATTTTAGACAGTTATAGAACAATCTAAACCTGAGCTAGTCCCGTGAAGACGGCAGGTTCTAAGCAACGGTATAACTTAGAGAGACATGAAAGGGTTTTCTCCAGAGGTGGATACCAAGTCTTGAATACATCAGGGTTTTCCCCATCCTGCACTTTTAAAAAGAAAATAAGCAACTTGAGACTACCCAAACCATAGAACAGTACCATAATGTCATTCTGACCACGAGATTAGTTTCGGATGTTGCATCGGAAGACTTCTCCAATTTGGCAGGGTAATCCAGATCATCATCAGATGGAATATAATTTGCGATCTGCGATATGAAGAACAGACTCAAGACCAACCAACTCAGGGGAAACAAAATCCTTTATCACAAACTAAACTAACAAAGTTTTTCGAATTCAAGCAGTCCAGTATTTAGCTTGTATAGAAGTAAAAGCTAAAGAGAAAGAAAGACCGATCAATCCAAAGGCATTAAAATATATGTATCTTTACACAGGGAAAAAACACGAGAGAATTTCTGCTGAAGTATATAATTTACCTCATCCCGAATATGTGTCCTGGCACGGAAAGTCAACCTCTCGTGAACATCAGCTAAAATTCTTTGCAGTGTAGGTCGTAGCCCGGACAGGGGTTCACTTTGTCTAGCAGGTTGTTCCCCCAAGACCTCAACTTTAAGGATATGGACGAGCTCACAAAGAAGGTCAATATTTGTTTCATGAATGAGTTTTGGACGCAATATGTCATATAAGTACATAGACCTGGCCAAGAATAAAGCAAAGACAATGATTTTGTAGACAAGTGAGCAAGGTGTAAGAACCATGAAAATCCGTGAAATATTAGGCATACAAGTCCATGTTAGCTCCAAAAAGATAAACCAAGTTACATATGGCTTACTCATATTTTATGAAACCAGAGTCATTTTTCCACCCAAGAAATGCAAGACCAGAAGCATATAAATTGACTACAGATTATTGGCTCCTAAAAAATCTACAAATTTTATATCAAAATAAAAGGAAAGTGACCCCAACAAAATTTTGCCAATATTGTAGAACAGGATGAGGTACCATAAGCATGGGAGGGAATATCAGATGTAGAGTATATTGATAAATGCCAATAAGGTAGTGTGGGAAGCAGACATAAATCTGATACTTCTGAACTATTGAATTTTTTAATATGTTCATGGTCAAAATAATCCAATCTGTTTCAAGTTACAATTTTTCAGTTTAAGAAGCGCCAAAAGTGCCTCTGAGGACTAACCTTAATAGAAACAACAAAGGTAGTCATTACAGAAGGATGCATGGGTAAAACTTACAGAGGGTCTACTAAAGGTGCCAGACTTGAAATGTCTTCTGAAGATGCTGGAAAGAAATGAATAAACATTTGATGCTCTTGTTGGCAAACCTGAAAATTTATAACGGGGTCAAGTAAGAAGCGCAATAGTTTTAGGACCACAAAACCAAATACAACAAGGATCTCTGAAATCTTTCACAAGCCAAAAGCTAATTATCCGATCAATAACTTATCTCGCAAAACAGACATCTATCCTTCAAAAAAGCACAAAGATTAACTGCTATGATGACCAAAGGCATATGGTTAATATATGATGATCCAAGGCGCATCACCACAGAGACTCAAGCATATACCATAAGAAAGCTAGGAATCCAATCCCATAGGCGAGGAACTAACAATTGATAATTTTTTATTTATGGAATACTTATTACTTTTACTTTTGTTCCTTTTTCCAAATTCTTTCTGTTTCTTCTTGTGTTGTGTTTCTATCACGTCTCCTTATGTGCAAGAGAGATCTTTTATATTTCAAATGGCGAGATTTGCATTATCCAATATGAATCAAGAGGGTTTTCCAGCTTTCTTTTTCTCTCACATACCTGCATTAAATATGCACAGCCAGATCTAGTCAATGATGGCAATGCTTCTTTCCTGGCAAACTCAGTTATCCGCTGGTGAACTATGCCTTTTACCTGAAACAAATAACCACCAGAAGTTATAATTACCTGCAGATAGAAACTAAAACCATATGAAGTTCCAGACAATTGACTCACCAGAGAAAGCCGTTGCTCACAGTATAGTCTGTGGCATTCAGAAAGGATTTGAACGTATTCCTTTCTTGATGATCTACTCTCGATTTCCTCCAGGACAGGTTTAAGCTGCACAAATAATAGTACCCAACGCCATGACAAACAATATATTGTGGAATCTTAATATCAACACTTAGTTTCACAAGAATGAAGTTAAAGTTGAATTTCACAAACTATTTTTCTCTGTGTTTTATTTAATATTGCAGTCCTATCACTTCTGCACCAACTCGGAAAGAGAAATATATCACCTCACTAGCTGCAGCCTTGAAGCGAACATAGATAACAGATGCCTCAAGACCCTCTGAGACGGATGCTCTGTTTCCAGCATTGCCACGGAAAGCTGTCTGAACCTGACAATGGAAACAACAACTCGTAGATCAAAGAACTAGGCATAGACAATCAATTAGTTGTACATGCATATATTATACATGCATACATATGCAAACACGTATATACACATTCATATATACTATAAACAATCATTTGCTTAAGTTTGCAAATGTATATGCATGTCACCGAAGAAAACTTACCTGGGAAGCAGCAGTTTTAAGAACAGAAAGTATGTATGCCCGGATCATGCCCAGTGCCCGCGACTGCAAATATAATTAATGTTAGCATCTTTCCTGAGTTTTCTCTCATTTCCGATGTTACAGGAGACTTACTTCCCCTATGAATACGCAAGAGTTTTTGCGCTTGTGCATGTGTGTGTATACATGATACTTGTAAGTGTTGAGATAGAGGGACGAAAATAAAGACAGAGCTACAAATTCTTCGGGATAGCCAACTTAAAAATTTCTCTATCACTTTGCGCACCTGGAGCTGACGAAATTTCAGCAAATAAACACTAGATTCTGCATATTGAGGATTGCTCTCGACATACCTACAAGAACCCAGTGTAAAAAGAAACGCATAACAATCAATTGAAGGGAGAAACAAGATGTCAAAAGTCTTTCTTTCAGAAAACTCCCATGTCATGAATGTAATTTCAGGAATTGAATTCAGTGCAATTTACTTACGTAATACACTCGTCAAGCCGTTTCAGTAGAGGGAGAAAGTTTGAGTTTGATACATTCATATTAGGAGCATAGAAATTGGAGGATATCTGCAAAATTAAATAACAATAGACAAGTTAATACCCTTTTGAAGCACGCCCTTAATTTGTGATCACTCCGTATTAAACAGATTTTGTGAAATAAATTACCACGGTAACGTCCGATATCAAATCAAAGATTTTAAAGAACAAAACATGAAGAACTCTCTTCTCAAGCTACAGAACATCGATAATACAACATAAAATAAACCACTACTGATAAGCCAATATTCAAATCTTACATTCTCCAATTCATCAAAATAGTTGAGCTTACTCCGAAGTGCTTCAGCAAACTCCATAAGTTTTTGCTTCTCCATTAACTAGATTGGGTAAAAGAAGGGATTCAGTGAAACCAATCAAACCAAAGATTATCCAGAATAACTAAAAGAATCGAATGGCATGTCAGTAGCTTTTGATCAGCCATGATTCATTAAGCCAATTTTCCTGATTGCCGTTTTGGTATTAATAGTCAGCCAAAGAGGAAAAGACATGAGAGATAAAGCCAAACACAAAACCATCTTGCCAAACACAAAACCATCTTGCCAAACACAAAACCATCTTGCTGAATAAAAGACTAAGAAAACAATACCAGCCGGTCGCATGCATCGTGAAGAGTTTTTGTCTTTGTTGTTACAGCTTGATGCTGTAGTTGCAATTCATTAAATAGGTCAAGCGTTTCATCAACCTGCACAGGAGACTCCAAATGTCAATAACTGTAAGAATGCATATATGGTTAATTGGAAGGGTAAAACTGCAGAAATGTGCAAACTTTGCAGGAAAACATACCTGCTGAAGTATATCATCACACGTCTGGATCCGCTCAGTCAAAGTGTTGACATAGTGCCTATACTTCTCCTCGGTCTATAGCAGAGAGGAACACATCAATTAGGTAAACTTCAAGCAGCGCTTCTAGACTATCTACTAGTCAACAACATGACTATCACTAACCTCAGACTTCATAGCTGATTCAAGATCAGTAAACCATTTATAGAACTGCAATTAAGACCAAAAAAAAGGAGTCAGTCAAAACGACCACTCGACACAAGCATATAAAATTTCTGATGTACTGGCACAAACTTCTTTCACAGATCTGCCAAACATGGCCTCTGTAGCCTTTATCCATCTTTGGAACATCAAGTTTGCAAGATTACCTGACTGGTACTAGTCAAAACAGCTTCAATTGCTCCAGAATCTCCCACATTCGCATCCTCTCCTGCGACAGACAAGCCATTCTCGGGTCGTTGAACATGATCATGCACCTGAAGACGTGAACTAATAGCGAAATCATACGAAAACCCAAAAATGATCTCCAGCCTTACGTTCAAAACGGTCCATTAACAAAAGGGGGACAACAACAAAAACCCAGACTCACAAGATTGGCAGGAAGTGGCCGCTCAGCGACGGCATGAGACAAGGAAGCAATAGCTGCTTGTTGATGTTCTGTCAAAGGAGCATTCTGCAACACAAATTACTTCACTGAGAGACCAGAAGTGAAGAGAGCAAACAAAAACTACCAGTCTCTTCGGTATTGTCAGCAAGAAAATGCCAGATCCGTAGACAACATCAGCGCTACCGTTGAACAGAAATTCAATCCAATTGCGGATCTGGAGCCCAAATCACGCAAAATGACGACAACATGGAAGATGAAGAAGAAGAAGAGAAGAAAAGAACCTGTTCCCAAGTGGAAGCGAAATTGTAGCCTTTGGAGATTGCTCCTGATTTCGGAAGAGGAGGTGGTGTCACCTTCGACGCCATATCTATGGCGGTTCTTCGACCTACGGGTTTTGCTCGATCCGTCGATGTGGAGGACGAAGATCTTTAGAGTGATTATTGTATGGTGAAATTAGCGATTTGTAAATCTGTTCATTTGCTGTGCGTTTCCAGCCGGCGTTGGAGACGCACCGGGGTGTGGTGTCTGATTCAGCGTCTCAAAGCGTTTGCGGTGCTACAATTACCCTTTCACCCTTTAATCGTGCGGAAATAACGAGTAACTTCTTCTTTTGTCTCCATCTATTATTATTTATGGTTTAATCCTCCAGAATTTCTAATCTTCTTTTTTGCCTCAAACGTTTAGAAATTACCAAATAATGTATTTTAATTTTTAATTTGCATATTCTCTAAACTTAAGGTCCAATTACGACTTGTTCTTTTACATTGTGATTTTCTAGTTCTGAAATTCTTTCTTTGCTTACCAAAAATCTTGCATAAGGATGCTATTAAGAAACATAACAACGACGACAAAATTTTGCGTCACTTAGAAACAAAAAGGTAATAAAAAAATTGGTCATTTTGTATAATCAAAGTATTACTAATACTAAGACACACAAAATGATAGTGCATTATAATTTTAATTTCTTTTTAAAAAAATTGTATTTTTATAGTAACAAAAATAGTAATACAGTTTATTGCTATAGAATCTCTAGGCATTATTGATTTAATGGTAATCTTAATCTTGATAATTTCAAATTTATAATCAATCTTTCATTGAATTTTCTTAGATTATTATTATTATTATTTTATTATTGTTATTATTATTATTATTATTATTATTATTATTAGATAGAGGGAGAGGTTTCGGCGAATAATATTGGATTACGTGTAATGTCTTTTTATTTTCTCTGTATTATTAATTTGTAATAATAAGATTTTCTATATGGATATTATATATGTATATATATAATATAGGGATAATTTATAAAATGTTCGGAAACACAAATTTAAATGTCATAATAAATTTAACAATATATAGACATTATAATTGTATTTGCGTGTAGTTTATTTCGACCCGCGCCTTTTAAACAATCATGGTGATATAATAATATCTTCATTCTTCACCCAACGAGGAAACCCTAACTAGTTTCCCTAAAATTCGGGGAATTTTTTTAAGGAAACAAATAAAATGGATGTTTGTGATAAAAAAAAAATTAATTAAAATAATACGTGAAGGGCGGTTAGATACATGTTACAAGTGAGACTTAGATCCTACTACTGATGTCCATCTTCCAGACTTAAACTAAAAAGTCCTTAACTATATATTACTAACATGCTCTTATCATCAGTAGCGCGTGATTTCATATTGTTGAATTTTGTATGCCTCAAACATGCTATATATATATATATATATATATATATATATAGTTCACAAAAGGTACATTTGCTACTTTGAATTTTCTTTCTTGGTGGCTGATAACTACACCCGACTTAATCATTTCCATACTCCAACGTAACCTTTTCTTTCTATTATATAATTAAATACTACAAAAAAATAAATCATCATCATTATCCATCAAAATACATTTTTTTTCTAATGATCTGTTTCCAAATAATGATATCACAACTTATGTTAATTAGGATGGAACAATCCCCGATATTTATTTATTTATTTTTGGCTCGCAGACAATTTTAGTAAAAAAAAAAATCAATATTGTGTGGTGGATTTTTTTTATATATTATTAGCGAGAATAAACAAGTGTCTCCAATAATTTTTATTTTATTTTTTTTATATATTAGTTGTAAGTTGTAATTGTTCTGATCTAATTTGTAGATATTAAATAGTGCTTGGCATTGATAAAATTAGATTAGTTGAGACTGATAATTATTTCCGTTACAGCCTTTAATACTAAAAATCATCCAACGTAAGAATTTTAAATTGGATTGTGCTTTTTTTATCATTGGGTTACGTAGGTAAATGAGTTAATTATATGAATTTTGCATGCATGCACTTAATTAATTACGCAAATACAAGATTTCACCGGTGCGTACGTACGTAGCGTGAGATGTTTGATCACTTTGCTAATGTGTGTAGATATCTAACGTACCGTACATCATTTTGGTTTCTTGACTTAACAATATAAAAAAAATGTTAATTCGCACCTAATCACGAACGTTACCGTAAAGGTTTCAGCGTTACTAACATTTAAATATTACTTACGGTCCTATTATAATATATCGACTTAGGGTTGTAATAAGAATGTAAAAATATCTAAAAGTATCCAAACTCTGGTTTTTTTATAAACATCCATTGTTATCACGTCGTATCGATTCGGCAAAATAAATAAACGAAAAAAGTATGTGTGTGTATATATATAGATATAAACATGAACAGACAATCTTGTTCTTCACAGTTCGTCAGGTCAAGAACTAGTTATGTTTTCAAGATTTGCAAGCGATGTAATTAATCGACCTACTTAAAACTTTGGTTATAATTGATGAAAGAAATTAAAAGCTACATTTTGGGTTTTACTTACGTTTCAAACAAACCCTAGGAGGCGGAATTTCCGACAGACAAAAAATCGAAGAAGGGAACTCCATCGCCGTTGTTGGCGCGGCTGTGTTCGTCAGAAACTTGATCGACCTCTTCTCCGTCTTTTTTGGAATTTCCGATCACTTCGCTGTCGTTCGAATCCGTGTTTTTAACTTGGAGAAAATCATAGAACTCCATCGGTCTTTTACTTCGGTTCACTGCTAGCATGGAAATAACAAGTTAGAGCTACGTATATATATATATATATATATATGTGTGTGTGTGTGTGTGTGTTGCATACATTATACATATAATATACATGTGTGTGTGTGTGTGTGTGGATGGGCAAATGACAAATGTACTCGTATAAGTACTCTCGTGGAAAATCTTCAAGTTATTTGACTACATATATAACAGATTTATACGGTTTCTTGGTCGAAACCTACGATTGAAGGTTTCATCCATAACATGAAATCCGGGTTTTTATAATGGCTAATGATTGATGATACTCACATAATCAACAGACCATATGCATGAATGCTATATACTATATAGTTTTATATGATCCATGCACCAAGATCCATGACCTAACGGTTTAACTACAGTGTGTGTGTATATATATATTCACAATGACCTGAATTCAATGAGAACAAATCATAAATCCTGCAAGGAAACATTTTTGTTCTTATGGACCAACGGAACAATTACCTTCGGTGGCTAGAGCTTGTTGAAACCCTGCTTTGCACGTCAAGAACTCCTTGAGAAACATAAGATGATTGATCTGTGAAAACTTGTAAGGATAATGAATTATAGCCGACGGCATTCTTTTCCCATCACCAGATTCTAAACTGTTAAAACCCGGTCCCTTAATCTCCGTGCTTATCGCTTTCTCGACACCATGGTGATGATGATGATGATGATGATGATGATCCAAAGAAGAAGAGTTTTTATTGGGGGCCTGGCGAAACAATTTGGACCGTTCACGGCTGCGACGGGCCATGATGACGTGCCAATGGTTCTTGACGGCGTTATCGGTTCGGCCGGGGAAAAGCCTAGCGATAACCGACCATCTGTTCCCGTGGATTCGGTGGGAGGCTAATAGTCTTTCTTCTTCTTCTTCGGTAAAAGGGTTTCGGTTTATCCTCGGATCCAATTGATTGAACCATCTCAATCTGCAACTCTTCCCTGCAAGTTATCACAGTACTTGATAATTGTAACACATCAGAAGAAGAGATTATTAACCTAAAGATAACATTCAAGTACATGAAACGGATTCAATCAACCTCATGTACATCACCTGCTCTAACCTAGGACATGACATGATGATATACCTATGTATACACACACAGGTTTATATATATATGTATATGTGTGTGTGTGTGTGTATATACCAGATCGACCGGGGAGCTTTTGAGCGATGGCGTTCCAATTGTGAGGCCCATATTGTTCGACGAGTTCCCGGAGCTTCTCGTCCTCGGAAGGCCTCCAATGACCTCTGCTGCACATATTTCTCACCTCTCCAATCCCTAATCTTCCAAACCTCAAAGATTATAACGTAAACCTAATGATCAATTATGCCTATATATATATATAGAGAGAGATAAACTTTGAAAACCCTAAGTTTTTGTGAAGGTAGGGGGAAGATGAGAGATGGGTATGTCGGAACAATAAGAAAGCTGAAGAGCAACAGCACACACATATATATTATCAGCGCATATACACACACAAAATACATATATATATGTGTGTGTATATAGATGCAAGATATGAGAATTAAGGAAGAGAATAAGAATAGGGAGGAACAAGAAATTCCGTTAGAGAGTCGAGAGGGTTTGGACTGACCTTCTCCACCGGCGACTGATGCCAACGTCTTCCCTAACCAACACACCTTTTTAAGTAATCTACTTTTTTATATATATATTTTATTTATTTTCATATATGATATATGAACACACACACACATATATATATGTATATATATGTATGTGATGTGTAAACATGGGATTAAAGGGACTTGACTAAGAGAAAGGAGATTGCTTGGTGGGGCAGATTTCGTTAACCTTTCAAAGTCTCCCCTCCCGGGTTGAATCAATTTTTCTAACCTACACCTCCCTACTTTTTTGTAACCTACCTCATCAGCCACCAATACCCATCCACATATATACGTACGTATGTACGTACATTCATGTATAAGCTATGTATATATGTATATATACGAGTGGAAAACAGATTAGTCACTCGTTATTTAAGTTAATTCATATAAAATTAATAAACAAAATATGGTAAATCACATTAAAATTTCTAAACTAACCTTACAAAATGTGTTATTATGATTTCTTAATTGTGTCAGAAAAATATTAATGACATTGATTTACAAATTCGTTTGGTAATTAAAATGACACATTTTATAAGTTTGAAAATAAATTTATCAAACGAAATATTTATTAATTAGTTTTTCACCATTTTACGAGTTAGATATTCTCTATTTTCGTTGTCTTATTAATAATGACTGATTGATGATACATTTTATCTTCATCAATATATATGTATATGAGCTAATTTAATTATGTTTTGGACGTGGCATGGAGCCGTATATTATCTTTTATTCTAAAACGAGTGAAAGCCTCATCCAAACATGTAATGGTGTAACAAACTAGAACAACCACAATTCCATAAAATAACATAATTAATGTGTATGCACCTTCTTTTTACGGTGAATTTGAGAATTTATATATTATGCTATAATATATGCATTATTTTTTTTTACAGTTTTTATTAGTGTGAAGTTAATTATTCAACCAATCAAATTATATACACATATATATATATATATATGAATATATATTAGTCCTTCGTTTTTTCTTGGTATTATATATCTTTCATGGTAATTGTACTATCAAATAACCACAACAGAAATATTCATTTGACATTCGCATTCCAATATCGACGCATTTCCCAAGGGAGCCAGTGGAAAAAAAAAACACTTAAGAAAGAAAAATCAGGCTGTGACATTGATCTTCCACCAAAGACAAATATGCATTCAAAACAATCATTCCCACCTATAAAATATCACCATGTTTAATAAATTATTAATAATAATAATAATAATAATAATAATAATAATAAAATGCACGAGTGCTACGGCCGGTCCTGTTGGTAAAGTTTAGTAGGAAATTAAAAAAAATTCCGGAATTGGTTGAGACGAGAGAGAGTTGCCACAAAAAACCTTTTCTATTAAACTACTTTAAATTGTGTTTTTCTTCTGCGTGTGATTTTGATTCAGTCTTCCAAGGAAGTAGGATCAGTTCGGTCTTTTGGGTTTTAAATAGAATTATGCATTTCATTTCATAACAGAACTCATGTTAGTTTATTAATGTCTGCCCATACGCTTTGATTCGTCTCAATGTTATTAACTACAAACATGAGCCATAAAAAAAATGAACCCTTCCTTCTTATCTATACAGGTAAAAACCATTAAAATTTCTAAATTTATAATATGGTGAAAAACTAATTCATAAATTAAAATATATTATTTTAATTTTTCAATTTACAAAATATACTATTATGACTCATTTCAAAAATTTGAAAATAAATTTATCAAATAAAAATTTGGAAGAAATCAGGAAGAGGAAGAACATCTGATATATATATATATATAATAATCTTTTTTCTTGTAAACATTTTAAAACGTTGAGAACATTCTTCCATAACAAGACCATCCAAAAGAAAAAAAAAAAGTCTCGATCTCGATTCAACTAACTAAACCTAAATCTAACAAAAGCATGAGGTGTTTACTCGAATTTCTTAAGCATGTCGAAGTCTCTGGACGAGAGGGAGGCTTAGGAAGAAAAAAAAGGGAACGACCGTGTATTGGATTCGGCTCGGTGTTGTTAAAACCAGTCGATGAGCCGAAGCCCAACTATAGAAACCCAATTATTTGGTCACCTTTATACAAGGCCCAATATATATCTGTCTATTTTGGTTTATATTATTTCGGTGCTTTAAAATTTTTATTTATTCGTTAAACCGGTTTAGGGTTTGGACCGGATTTGATGGGGAAGCAAACCGGGTATTATAAGGTACGTTACATTCACATACCGTGAAGTTTCAACCGTTCATACCATTTGGAGAGCTTTTGTTTTGGACCGTTCCTATGATTTTGACCGAAATATTGAATTTGTTCGATCAATTTTATTTGCGGACCTAGGATTATATCTAATAGGGGGCAAATTATAATTTTAACGTTTTAATATTGGGGCATTTCAATTTTTCTTTACAAATTTATAAAATTTACAAAGGAAATTAAAATTTTTTAATTCAAATAGTGGGGGCAAAGGCCCCATTGCCATCAATGTGGATCCGCCATCCATCTGAAAATCTATGTAGTGTATATCTATAGAGCTAGATATTGCAGTATATATATACACATAATATACCACCAAGTCTACGTTAGCTAGATATGCATGCCGTACGTATATAGGTGTATAAGTGTTTGCACGTGTAACATATCATATATATATATATGTATATGCGCATATGTATATGTATATAATATGTATATGCATATACAAGGACAGGAGCGGAGTTAGCGGACCCACCTTAGGCCCACTAAAATTAATTTAAAAAATATCATTATTCTTTTATAAAAAATCAGATAAAAATGTTAAATATTCCCATAAAAATAAAATTTGTCTATGCAAAATTATATACGTCTTCCCAATCAAAAAAAAAATTATATACGTCCCTTTTCGTAATTTTATCTGAATCCGCCAATAAGGATGCCTTTTACCAAAAATATAAAGTGTATATACAAGTAAATATCTGCACGTGCAAAGTTTATGATGTTGGGTAAAAAAAGGAGTAATTCGTTTTGCTCCCCACATGTTTCAAATTATACCACATGGACCCCCGAAAAAGCAAAAGGTGCAATATCTGATTTTGCTTCAACCATAAAAATCACATATATTCTTTCTTTTTCCCAGTAGTTACTTGCAAACTTTTTTGGATTTCCCAAATTTTCTGCTAACGAATGTTCTTCGCCCATTTCATCTCCTTCTTTCTTTGTCCCCTTCAATATATGCATCGTCATCACCTTATACGTATCTATAAATACATATGATTGAATCATGTTTCTGCAAAAAAAAATCCACAAACTCCATTGATCAAACTTTTAAAGATTTAGAGCAGTTTGATCCTACATTTGTTTCCGCTCGTCAAAAAATGGCGTTTTCTTCTCCATATCCGCTCCAGAGATCAGATTCGATCGCGGAGAAAATGCCCGACGCGTTTAAGCAAAGTCGGTATCATATGAAGAGATGTTTTGCCAGGTCCCAGATCTTTCTGAACTCTGTTTTTACAGATTTTGATGAATGTTTTCAGCACATTTTTTGATAGTTTGAATCCATTTTTTCCCGGCTAAACGTTCGGGTAATGTATATATACAGCTTTGTCGGAGAAGGAAAGAGGTTGATGAAGCGAGGGAATCTGATGAGCGAGATAGAGAAATCTGTAGAAGACGTTCGTGAACGAAGCAAGATCCTGGAGGGACTGTTTGGTTACATTCTTACATGCACTCAGGTATTATAAGGATGTCTGAATGAATCTTAACTATACTTAGTATCTTAACATATGTTTTTTTCTTCTTCTTCTTCGTATAAAATGTTTTTTTGTTTTGTTTTCGTAATGTTTTAGGAGGCGGCGGTGATTCCTCCGTTTGTCGCGTTGGCGGCGAGGCCTAATCCCGGTTTCTGGGAATTTGTTAAAGTGAACTCTGCAGATTTATCGGTTGATGAAATCTCGGCGGCGGAATACTTGAAGCTCAAGGAATCCGTTTTCGACGAGAACTGGTTAGTAGGTCCTACTTAATAGGGGTGGATGCGGTCGGGTATTCAAAATTTCTGGTTTTATCTGAATCAGAACCCCGATTTTCGAGTATTCCTCGAGACCAAACCCGATCTCTCGTCTCGTATAGCATAGCGGCAGTTACCCGAAATCCGATTTTTTTTTTCTTCTTTCAGTCCTATAAGGTAGCAAAAAACGGCAAGAAGATCCATCTAAAACGATCTTTTAAACGTTTTGATGTGTCTGCAGGGCCAAGGACGAGAACGCGTTGGAAATAGACTTTGGAGCGATCGATTTCACGACTCCTCGGCTGAGCCTTTCTTCTTCGATCGGAAACGGAGCTGATTACGTCTCGAGATTCATCTCTTCCAAGCTCGGCGACCAGCTCGATAAGTCGAAGCCCTTGCTGAACTACTTGCTCGGCCTCAATCATCGCGGAGAGGTAGAGATATATATATACACACACACTCTTTTGTTTTATAGCCTCTTCATGACGACATTGTATATATTTCTTCGAGAAAATTTGCAACTCGTTAAAGATGTCGTCAAATCTGCAGAGTCTGATGATCAGCGAAGAGCTAGACACGGTCCAGAAGCTTCAAAAAGCACTGATTCTTGCTATCAGTATGGTTTCAACTTATCCGAAACACACTCCATACGAGGATTTCTCGCAGAGGTTGTCATTTCGTTATCGTTGCGATTCAGATCGAAGAAACTAGTTAACGACCTCTCTTTCCTTCTAAACACGGGTCTGAAACGTTTCTGTCTCAGGCTAAAGGAGATGGGGTTCGAGAAAGGATGGGGAGATACATCAGAGAGAGTGAAAGAAACTATGGTCATGCTCTCGGAAATTCTCGAAGCTCCCGATAACTCGAAGCTGGAATCGCTCTTCAGCAGGCTCCCAACAGTGTTCAACGTTGTGATATTCTCGATCCACGGGTACTTTGGACAGCAAGACGTGCTCGGATTTCCCGACACTGGAGGACAGGTGCATATATAAGTGTATCTATATGCGTAAAACACAGTTTAGTTTCTGAAACTCGGTGTAATGATCATAGGTCGTGTACATTCTTGATCAAGTAAGAGCTCTAGAGGAAGAGCTTCTCCTTCAGATTAGCCAACAGGGACTCGGATTCAAGCCTCAGATTCTTGTGGTGAGTTTCAGATTCCGACAAAACATAAACTGAAACAAAGGAGATGAGTTCAGTTTCTGCAATGCATTCGGCTTTTTCGTCAACTGTTTTTCCTTGTTCTGCAGGTTACGAGATTGATACCCGAAGCACGGGGAACAAAGTGTGACCAAGAGCTTGAAGCCATTGAAGGAACTAAGTATTCTCACATTTTCCGGATTCCTTTCGTGACGGAGAAAGGGATTCTCCGGCAATGGGTTTCCCGTTTCGATATCTACCCTTACCTGGAAAGATTTTCTCAGGTGAGGAATGAAGTTTGCTTCATATAAGTCGATATACATATTGTACAGAATGTAAAGCAAAAACCATGTTTCCGCCATTGCAGGATGCTACGAGCAAGATCACGGAACGCCTACAGTGCAAACCCGATCTCATAATCGGTAACTACACAGACGGGAACTTAGTGGCGTCTCTAATGGCTGCAAAACTCGACGTCACTCAGGTGAAAAACCCTAATTCCTTCAACCAATATGACTGATCCTCCCCCCACCCTTTCATTTTCCTTTTACAATGTGGAAGCTGAGCTGATCGTCGATGAATATATGCGCTTAGGGAACGATTGCTCATGCACTGGAGAAGACAAAGTACGAGGATTCGGATGCGAAATGGAAGGAGTTAGATCCAAAGTACCATTTCTCATGCCAATTCACAGCTGATCTGATCGCAATGAACGCCTCCGACTTCATCATTACGAGTACTTACCAAGAAATCGCCGGAAGGTTCGTATTTCTTTAGATGTTTCAGCCATTACAATCATATATCAGTTCTGAGACATCAACATACACATATATATGTATGGTTTCTTGCAGCAAGGAAAGGCCGGGACAGTACGAGAGCCACACGGCCTTCACAATGCCGAGCTTATGCAGAGTGGTTTCAGGCATTGATGTGTTTGATCCGAAGTTCAACATAGCAGCTCCTGGTGCCGATCAGTCTGTATACTTCCCGTCCTCCCAGCAGCAAAAACGGCTCTCGGAGTTTCATCCCGCTATTCAAGAACTTCTCTACAACGAGAAAGACAACGACGAACACATGTAAGTTTCAGACAATCTACCTTTGAGAAGACAGGACTTGCACATAGATTGTCTTGTCAGAGGTTGAGTTATAACTGTTAATGGATATTACGGATGGTTATGGGTCGAGGACTCGAGGCTAAACCCGAACAACTCGGGTCTTATGAGACATTACCGATCTCGCATCCGTTTTGGCTATCTGAACCCGAGATTCAAATACAAACTTCAAATATTTTTCAAAATATCTATGGTTGGTTCGAGTTAAGTACCCGAACCTGAGCCAGATTTTCACGTTTTCTTGAAAACAAAACCCAATTTCATCTCATGTAGCAGCCGAGTATCCGTCTGATACAACTTCTGTGTGTCGGCTGAAACAGGGGATATCTAGCGGAAAAGGAGAAACCGATCATCTTCTCAATGGCGAGGCTCGACACAGTGAAGAACATAACGGGTCTGGTGGAAATGTACGGGAAGAACCAGAGGCTCCGCGAGATGGCAAACCTCGTGGTGGTCGCCGGATTCTTCGACGTTTCGAGATCCAACGACAGAGAAGAAAAGGCGGAGATCAAGAAAATGCACCACCTCGTCGAAAAGTACAAACTCAAAGGGCAGTTCAGATGGATCGCTGCACAGACCGATAGATACAGGAACGGGGAGCTGTACAGATGCGTAGCCGATACGAAGGGCGTTTTCGTACAACCCGCACTGTACGAAGCTTTCGGATTAACGGTCATCGAGGCGATGAACTGCGGATTACCGACGTTTGCGACTAACCAAGGCGGTCCGGCCGAGATCATTGTTGATGGCATCTCCGGTTTCCATATTGACCCTAACAATGGCGACGAGTCCAGTGACAAGATTGCAGATTTCTTCAGCACATGTCGTACCGATGCTTCGTATTGGGACAAGGTTTCGGAGGATGGGTTGAAACGCATATACGAATGGTAGATATAAAGACATACAACACACATATATACATACATATATATATATATATTCAATACATACATATTATGATGTTTTTACGTGCAATTCTTGCAGCTATACGTGGAAGATCTACGCCAAGAAGCTACTGAAGATGGGAAGTGTCTATGGGTTCTGGAGAGTTGTGAACGAAGAGCAGAAGAAAGCGAAACGAAGATACATCGAACTGATTTATAATCTCCAGTTCAGGCGATTGGTGAGTTAACCTAGACCAGATCCGAAGCTCGTCGTCTGTAATTAAATTCCTTTGAAAATCTGTATCGACCGGACATGTTTTTCTTGCAGGCCAAGAAAGTGACGATCCCCGACGAGAAACCTCAGGCTTCGAGACTGTCATCACTACGTAACTTGCTGCCCAAGAAACCATTATCAGTTAAGCAGAAGCAAACCATAGAGACAGAAACACGAGAACTCGAACAGAAGAAACCAGAGATGAAAGCCGATCAAGATTCTGTAGGGGAAAAGAGAAAGTCAACCGAGAAAGCAGAAACCCAGATGAAAGATGGATTACTTGGAGCTGAAGAAACCGAAAAGCTAGGGAAAACTCTGGAAACTTCTGGAACAAGGCAGAATCTAGAAGAGATGCAGATTGTGTACGGACAAAGGAGACAAGAAGGTTCTCCAGTTCGAAGTTTGGTTTGGTTGATCGTAGCCTTCGTCTGGATCTGCTTTGTCCTGAAGGAGAAGTTCTTCACTTCTTCATTTCGAGAAGATTAACTTCGCGAAAAAAAAAAGATGGGAAATTTATCTCAATCAATTCTAAACGTAAATAAATTAATAAATTAATACATGTATATGAATTAATAAATATATTTGTCAAGTAAGATATGGATAAAAAATATTATGCGATAGCAAATTATCTTATATATATATATCATTGCATCAGTGGGTTGCGAAATTAGCCAAACAAAATGGAAGAGCAAAAAAAGGGTTTATGGTTCCATTGAAAATTAATTTCTATGAATAATAGAATAACAGAGAAAAATAATAGAATACAAATGCACTAATCCGTCAAAAAAAAAAGAATTAGAAGATTAATATTTTTTCCATGTATTTCTGCAAACTATGTATCTGTTTAAAAAGTTTTTTTTTTTGGCAAAATGGATATGTGCAATCGAATTAAATAACATTTATCATATTTAACCCAATTTAATTTTGAAACTTGATTATAACATAAAACGATTCTATATTTAATAACAAAAATCTTTGGTAATGATTTTATTTTGTACTAATTCAAATACATTTTCGTTTTTTCTTTTCTATTTTTTTCCTTTGACAGTAATACTACTTACGAGTTAATATTATTGATTCATATTAAATTGAATTTTGATTTATGAGATAATAAATAAAGTAATCAGTTGGTCCATATGATAGTTATATTTGGATAGACATTGCAAGATGAAGCAACCAAAACCAGACACTATACTTTGGGATTCGCTTTATTAAAGGTCCCAAAAATCAATGAATATGGCGATATATAAATTATAAATGATACTAAAATAATTAATTAATACTACTCTTTTCAATATTCATAAACACTTCCAATGTTTCCTTCATGATCTGTTAATCACTTCCAATATTAAAAAAAAATCTAAAATAAAAACACAAGGGAATGTACAGATAGCATGAATGCTAATTTAAGGATAATAATACAAATTGTGTTTATACTAAACCACAAAAATAGACATATTTGAAATTTGATTAAACCTTGAATTCCAAAAATGGGTTAATTAATTTTTATGTTCTTGATGGTTTAATAAGATGTTTATGCCCTTCATGTGCATTTATACCATCTTCCACCTCCACTAATTTACATTTATATTTGATTTTATTGAACCAAATAAAGGACAAGGTCGTATAGAAAAAATAATGTAAATTAATTGTTATATCATATAACAATGATTATATTTTAATTCGCGAGAGAATGACTCCATTATTAAAATGTTTTATTTAATTCTTTGTCAACCCCTTTCCAACTTTGTCAATGTGACCCAAGAGTATGTTTCTTCATAAATATTTATAATTTTTAAATTAAATTAATTAACTAAACATCAAATAGAAAATCCAATATCCTTTTAATAAAAACCGTATTTCGATCGAATGAAATCAATAAAAAAAAATTCTCCCATTAGTTTTATAATTAATAATATAAAGTTGTCTTTTAATTTTAAATCTGAATCGTGTTTCATTTTGTCAACGTTACTTGTACAGAATTAGTGGAAAGGATACGAGTCGAAGATTCTTTTAAAGTAATAAATCGTGTAGGTGACGGTTTTGTTTCAGATATATTATATATATTTAATATCTTGAAGAAAAGGAAATATTAATATTAATTATTTTACGGGTAATAATCAACAATATTTAAATAGTAATAATAGCTGGATAAAGCATTAGATGACGCTTGATTTTGCTTCACATGCGATAGATAAATCTGGTAAGGGTTTAATATGACTATCATTAGTAAAGGATTTATAAATTATTACTATTATTAATCAAATTGCCTTTTTAGAAAATAAATAATTTTGTGCAACAGATCATTCTATCTTTTTTCCCTTCTGTTATTTTTACTATCTTATATGTTGAAATAAATATTTTCCAATTTCTTACATCAATTTATCATAATTTTTCTTTTCTGCTGTTTGAATTTCTTGACTGTCAAAAAGAGTTTTATTTTTTAATTAGAAAATTAATTAAAAATGTGAGTTTGCTGTGAAATAAATAAGCCCAGAATGCGAAGAAAGAAAAAGCAAAGAAAATAAGATGAGGTCAGCGAACAACAAGAAAAGTTGATTTTTGTCGGTATATATACACCGGACGGGAGAATGATGAATCCACCGGAGAAAGTGCGTAAAGTCGCAGGCTTTATCCAATCTCCGGCGACAACAAGTCTCCGGCAACAAACCCATCTCTTAAAATCACCGGAAAAAAATCTCTGCCTCTCTCTCTAGCTGTCTCTCTCACTCTGTTTCTTCTCTCTCCCTCTCTCTCTGACTCTGAGAGTTAGTTGTGGAGAGGAAAAAGAGTAAGGAAGGTTGGTTCGTGCCTTTCTCCCTCGAATATGGTGAGAGTACTTAGCAGTAATGGAGAGAGTAGGAGACTTTAAAACCTCTTTCTCTCTCTCTCTCTCTATATATATATATATATATTGGCTCTGTCAAACGCCATTAAAACCCATCAGTTACGCAATTTCTCAAGGAGACAGGTAGGGAGAGAGAAAGAGAGAGATTTGGAATCTGTAATGAATGTGAAGGAGAGAAAGGGAGCACTAATGGCGGCTTCGGCTTAGGTGAGGCTTTGAGGAGAAGGCTGAGAGGTAGACACATACATAGATACCTCTTTGTTCTCTCTCTAGAGTGGCTCTGTAGAACGAAAGGGAAATAATTTCGGCTAAGAATCGATTTTTTCCCCATAAATTTCTTTTTTTTTTGGATTTTGGGGTTTTGGGTTCGCGAAATTCTTCCTCTGTAGCAAAAACTCGGAAATTCTTGTGTATCAAATCTTTCCAAAAAAAAAGCCCTTTCTCCTCCCGAAATCATTGCCCACATCTTTTTCTCAGATTCTCTTCCGTTTCGTTTTCTCCCCTTCTTTTAATCTCTCTCTCTCCCCCTCTCGCTCGCATCCCTTCGTTTTCATCAGTATATACTCTTTGGTTTGCTCTTATTAGAGGAATCTGATAAATTTCGCTTTTCTTGGGGTGTGAAAGTTTGCAACTTTTTTTTTTGTCTTTGGGTGCTTTTGTGGGCTGCGTTAATGGCGACAATGCAGTGATGGTCCAGTAGCAGGTTGTTGGTTGGGGGTGAGAGCGAGAGAAAGTCAGAGCGAAAGAGACAGTGAGTAAGAGAGACAGAAAGGGGGGAAAAGGTTATTTCTGTTCACCGTTGCTGCTATCGTCGGAACATTTGTTGGATGAAGATGGATTTCGTCGGCGGCGGTGGCGGAAGCGGAAGTGGGAGCGGCGGAGACGGCGGAAGCCAACGCCACGAAGGCGGCGTCGGTGGCTCCGACGCCGAGCGGAAGAAGAAGCGTTATCACCGTCACACCGCTCACCAGATTCAGCGTCTCGAAGCGTAATTCTCCATACTTTCATCTCTCTCTCTTTCTCTCGCTCTCTCTCGCTTGATGTTTATGCGATTTGGAATGCAGAACCTTCAAGGAGTGCCCACATCCAGATGAGAAGCAAAGGCTGCAACTTAGCAGAGAATTGGGTTTGGCTCCAAGACAGATCAAGTTCTGGTTCCAGAACAGAAGAACTCAGATGAAGGTTTGGTTTCTTGGACGTGCTTTCTCTTTTGTCTGAACTCTGCCTCCATGATATTCGACCCATTTTTCTCTCGAATTCTCACTAGAGTTCTTGGATTCTGTTGCAAATTTCATGTCTTAATGTTCACAGTCACAACACGAGAGAGCTGATAATTGCGCATTGAGAGTCGAAAACGATAAGATTCGATGCGAAAACATAGCCATAAGAGAAGCTCTGAAGAATGCTATATGCCCTAGTTGTGGAGGTCCTCCTGTTAGCGAAGATCCTTACTTTGATGAGCAGAATCTTCGTATGGAAAATGCACAATTGAGAGAAGAGGTTGGTAACAGGTTCCAATCATGCAAATACTGTATCTAATATCGATGTAGTTCTTCTGATTCTCGGGTTTTGATTGTTTTCGCAGCTTGAAAGAGTCTCGGGTATTGCTGCAAAGTACATAGGAAGGCCGATATCTTCTTCTGATTCTCGGGTTTTGATTGTTTTCGCAGCTTGAAAGAGTCTCGGGTATTGCTGCAAAGTGCATAGGAAGGCCGATATCTCAACTCCCGCCGCTACATCCGATGCATATCTCGCCTTTAGACTTATCAATGGCTAGTTTAGGTGGTCAAGGAATGGCAGGAGGTCCTTCACTGGATTTTGATCTTCTTCCTGGAAGTTGTTCCATGGCTATTCCGAATCTGCCATCTCAACCGAACTTGGTCTTATCCGATATGGATAAGCCCCTTATGACCGACGTTGCAGTCACGGCAATGGAGGAATTGCTTAGGCTTATCCAGACGAATGAGCCTCTTTGGACCAGAACAGACGCCTGCAGGGACATCCTCAACCTCGGAAGCTATGAGAGTATCTTTCCGAGACCAAGTAGCAGAGGGAAGAACCCTAATATTCGGACCGAAGCTTCCAGATATTCTGCCGTTGTTTTCATGAATGCCTCTGCACTTGTTGACATGTTCATGGATTGTGTAAGTATCTGTGACAAAGCCATGAGATTGATCATCCAAAAAACACAGTTTTTTCACAGTTTTGGTATTTCTGATGTATCATCTTCAAATTTATACGTGCAGATCAAGTGGGCAGAGCTTTTCCCGACAATCGTAGCAGCCTCGAAAACCCTAGCGGTGATTTCATCCGGAATGGGCGGTGCACAGGGTGGTTCTTTGCATTTGGTAAACACTTTTCCAGCTGAAAGATCGTTCGATATGATAATACGATGCGAAAAATTTGTTAAAGAGTTCATTCAATGTGCAGATGTATGAGGAGCTACAGGTGCTTTCGCCCCTCGTGGCGACACGGGAATTCTGTATGTTACGATATTGTCAGCAAATCGAGCAGGGAACATGGGCGGTTGTTAATATCTCGTATGAACTTCCTCAGTTCGTTTCCCATTCTCGGGCTTATAGGCTTCCTTCTGGATGCCTGATTCAGGACATGCCTAATGGCTACTCCAAGGTTATATCTATCTCAGAACCCTAATCTCTATGAACCATCTGCCATTGTTGATCTATGATCTAACTTTGTGTCTCGAATCACTGGAAAAAAGGTCACTTGGGTCGAGCATGTTGATGTCGAAGAGAAAGAACCAATCCATGAGATGTACAGAGAAACGATCCATAGTGGACAAGCTTTTGGTGCAGAACGTTGGGTTGCCATTCTTCAAAGAATGTCCGAGAGGTTCGCATCCTTATTGGTGTCGGGAACTTCGTCCCGAGATCTCGGAGGAGGTAAAAAAGATCCCGATTCTTGATCCTTATCATTGATCCTGTGACCCTTTTCCTAATAATCTTTCCAACCCTTTTTTTTTTCAGTGATCCCATCAGTGGATGGGAAGAGAAGCATGATGAGACTTGCTCAAAGAATGGTGAGCAACTTCTGCTTAAGTGCCGGCTCTTCTAACAATAGCCGTTCAACCGTTGTCTCGGGATTGAATGAAGTTGGGGTCCGGGTTACTGCACACAAGAGTCCTGAGCCGAATGGAATGATCCTTTGTGCAGCCACCACGTTCTGGCTACCGATTTCTCCTCAAAACATCTTCAATTTCCTCAAAGACGAACGAACTCGCCCTCAGGTCCGAGTTATTTCCGTGTTTTAAGTGTCATATTCCATGGCAGTATACACATTCATTCTCACTGCATTCGAATGTTCTGTACAGTGGGATGTTCTTTCAAATGGGAATGCAGTTCAAGAAGTTGCTCATATCGCAAACGGATCACATCCAGGAAACTGCATATCCGTTCTTCGAGTACGAGTCTTCATTCGCCAAATCTAACTAAGATACCGTTTTGTAATAGTCTCACGTTTTTTTCGGTGTTTATGTCTCGAAACCAGGCGTTCAATGCGTCGCAGAACAACATGCTGATACTGCAAGAAAGCTGTATAGATTCATCGGGAGCGCTGGTGGTTTACAGCCCGGTGGATCTATCTGCATTGCACATAGCGATGAGTGGAGAAGACCCTTCATACATTCCTCTATTGCCGTCAGGATTCACCATCTCGCCAGACTGTAGCAGCAGCAGAATCGCCACGGATGATGAGAACTGCGCCTCGACGAGCTCGGGAAGGTCATCGTCGGGGGGCGTTGGTGGGTCATTGATAACAGTGGCGTTTCAGATAATGGTGAGCAGTTTGCCCTCTGCTAAGCTGAATATGGAGTCGGTGACAACGGTTAATAACCTCATCAACACAACTGTCCACCAAATTAAGACAGCCTTGAACTGTCCTACTGCCTGAGAGACTGCTCCACACAAAAAAGAAAGCAATGATGGGTCCCTCTCCCTCCCTCTCTCTCTCCCTCTCTCTGTTCTTGAATTCAATGATGAGAAGGAAGACAGAGGAATTAAGTCTTCTTCAATGCTGGGAAGATCGAAGAGTCCGTGTTAGTTGAGAGAGGTTCAAGAATCTTCGATGCTCTTTGATGGTGTTTTTTTTTTCTTAGTTATTTCACTTCATAGTTTTTTATTTTTAATTTTTAATTTTAATTTTTAATTTTTAAGTTGTCTTTAGGGAATTTTAAGAGATGGGTATTACTAGAAACTAGGAGTCAAGAACGCACCATGCACTCACTGTCTTCAACGCAAGAGCTCTTGTATGGTTCGGGCATTGACTTCTGTTCCTTTTTATTTTTTATTTTTAATTGCAACTCTTTTGTCTTATTAATCTCTCTTCTAATTTCTATTTTCCGCAAATTAATTATTGCCTCTAATCATTTCGTTCTCCTCTTGTATGGTTTGTGTTTTAATAACGTGTTTAATTCGCATCTTTGGACTGTTGTGGATATTAATCGATGTCATGATAGTCAAGGTTGTCGTTTTATGAACCGTTACGCCAAATTGATGTTTTGACATTCGAAATAATCTTTAATATATTTAAGACGAAACTAACATTGATCAAAGATTGTTGTTAATATATGATCATACTCAATTCGATCGTTTGATATTCGTTGTAATTTATAATATATTTAAGACAATCGGTGAATTATATATATTAATATTTACCTTTTCAATAAAAAAATTATCTATGCTAAATATTGAATATTTATATTACTTATTCAATAAGTTCCATGGTCGATGGAATTTGATTTTCTTTTATGATAAACTAACGAGATTATAAGTTGGGAATTATAAAAATAAGAAAATATTACAATAAACATATCAACCCCATTGAGTACGAGGTCAAGATACATATGAATACCCTAGCAAATATTTGGAAATGTTATGAATCCATACAACCAATAATAAACATCAGGAGTGCCAATTTCCAAACGTAATCGAATAGATTTGATCTAAAAAATACATAATTATATATTTAAACATTTGATATACAGATTAAATTGATATAAATTTTTATAAAAATTAAACCCAAATCGAAATAGAAAATAAACGAATAAAAATGGAAAAAAAATTATTTAGAAAATAAGTATTCTATCAATAAAACGAATTAAATATAAAAATAGGATGAATTCGAGTTTCTAAAACTAAAGAATTTCGTAGACATCTAAGCTCAAAGTCAAATTGAAATCATAAATATCAACCTTTTAAAATACACAGACATCTAAAAACAAATGCTTGTATATACTATTATTATTCAATCATTTAAAAAAAAACGCTAAATCTTTAATTTCACCTTCTTTTTTTTGCTATTATAGACAAAAAAAAAATGTAATTGATTTTGATGGAGTCCATTCTTATAAGTCTACAATGAAAATAATCCTTATGGAACAAAATTTAGATTCAATGAATGGCGACCACTCTTATAAGATTATCGAATATGGACATTATATTATAGTGATCGATTGAAGTTGACAAGTTGGTGACTTTGAATTTGAAAGTTAGAGAAAAATTAAAAAAAGAAAAGAAATATTACAAAATGGGGAAATAATAATTTCATTTTGTTGGCTTTAAGGGGGAAAGCTCGTTCGTACGGACAATGTCCCCATCCTCCTCATCACTCCATGACTTTGAACCTCTTTTTTCTTTTGGTCAAGATCATGTCACGTCTCAACCAAAACAAACAAAAAAAAAATTATTAGAAAAGGAATGATCTCATTTTAAATATTTTGAATGAGGCCATATTATTTCTTCCTCCTTGTATAATCGTACATTTACATATATTGATAATATTCGACGGTCTAAATCGATTAATCTACATTTATGGTCATGATTATTGAGAGCGTTGGAAGTTGTTCTTAGTCTTTGACCCCCTTTTATATGTATGAAACACGGATGCAATATTTTTGTGTTGATGCTTAAAACGACTGTAATTTATCATTTAAATTGGTTTCATATTTCTAAGCTAATTAAGCAACGTGATATTATATGTTAAATAGTTAGGATATTGTAGAAACAACTATACGTTGAAATTAAGTGAAAGATTTTATAAATGAGCTGAAAATTTATCCTTAATAGATGAGTTGGGATTTTTGTTACTAAAACTGTAATAATTTTGTTCAGGGTCATTTGATATTGATGCGAGATTATAGAGTACCCATACTAAGAAAGTATATTAAAAAAAACAGAATAAAAATATTTATTTTTCAAAAAAATATAATTAAATTCTCAATTGAGAGAATAAATTTTCTTATCTGACAACAACATCCAAAACACTTACAACATTTATTATTTTATTAATTTTAAATATCAATTTAAAACAATATTTATTTATTTATTTTTTCATTGGCCATTTTATAAAATATAAATATTTATTCTGATAAATTAATAAAAAATATAATTGTTTTTGAATATTTTCATAAAAGATAAATATTTTATCCTGATTTATAGATAATTACTTTACTAATTGGATAAAATTTTAAAATTAATTTAGATATATATATATATATATACCAAGTTTGGATTTTGGGGTATTTGTTCAAAAAGTTTTTTTTAAAATTTGTTTTCAAAGAATTGATCTATTATCATTAATATACATTTTTTTTAGTGAAGGGGACTTGTTCTCTTTAGTATATGGTCAGGACCACGCCAATAAATTCTCATTGACGTTGCCAATCTAGACTTGTAGAATTTAATACCTTTTCAAAAATAATGTAAGTTAATTTTGGACAATTTTGGGTAGTTTGGATTTATTGACACCATTTACTCAAACAGCCATGAATCAAACCAACGACTCGCATTTCTTGTTTCCCTAATCTACAAATGTAAATAAAATATTTAAATACTATAAATTTATGACGTAGTTATATAAAAAGAATTATGTTCTTTTCCACACAAAAATTCTTTTGTAACGCTAACAAAAACGCTATTGCAATTTATAAATATTCATAAAAACCTTAAACCAAAAAAATGCACACTAGCCAATAATTGTACCTTTCAATCATTTATGACGGTTCTCTATGATTTGGGATTTTAAGTAAAATGATATAAATTTAATCAAAAGTTGATTAATTAAGCATCGTGTCCACTTCCAAATTTTTCTATGGAAGTACTTCTTGTTCTAATAATAAAATTTTAGCTCTCCCATGCTTTTCTTTACTCAAGTTTTCATTATTTTTTATTACACAATTAATCATTTTTTTTGTCTTGATTTCAGTATAAAAAATATAACTTTTTTTATTTGAATTCTAAAAAAGTTGCATATAATTTTAAATCCTAAATGGCATTATGCCAATCATATCTTTTTTTTTTGGTAAAATGCCAATCATATCTTATTATGGATAGATCATTCATTTCCTGTGGTTGTCTGAATCATTATATATGTATGTATTGTAATAATATAAATTAAATCATTTTGTAGAAGTTTGTGATAATACATACCAACGAAACAAAATAAAAAAGGATAGGTTAAAAACAATTTAATTCTATATAAAATATACGACAGTTAGAACTTAGAAACATCAAACATATGATGATATTCTATTGGTCACTAAATGCTCTTGATGGGCTATTGGGCTTAGAGGAAAGTTTAGAAATTGACTATTGGGCCCAAAGGTTGGTCACTAAATGCTCTTGATGGGCTATTGGGCTTAGTGGAAGGTTCAGAAATTTGATCATTGGGCTGAAACTGACGTGGGCCCAAAGATTGGTCACTAAATGCTCTTGATGGGCTATTGGGCTTTGAGAAAATTTTCGAAATTGACTATTGGGTTGAAACTGACGTGGGCCCAAAGATTGGTCACTAAATGCTCTTGATGGGCTATTGGGCTTAGAGGAAGGTTCAGAAATTTGATCATTGGGTTGAAACTGACGTGGGCCCAAAGATTGGTGACTAAATGCTCTTGATGGGCTATTGGGCTTTAAGGAAATTTTCGAAATTGACTATTGGGCTGAAACTGACGTCGGACCCAAAGATTGGTCACTAAATGCTCTTGATGGAAGGAAAGTTGAGAAATTGAATATTGGGCTAAAACTGAAATTGGGCCCAAAGATTGGCCCAAAAATATGTTATCGTAGTAAACCTAGTAAAGAAGGCAATCCAAATGATAGCATGTAGCAGAATAATCCTGTCTGTGTGCGAGGAGCAATTTTCCTCGTTCTTCGATCGTCGTCCTCGAAAATCAGTCCCCGGAAAACACAGGAACCCTAATTCCGCGTCAGGTTTTGCCTGAGGATTTGTTTCTTTTTCCATCCGAGAAGAACAAAGAAAGACTTTTGAGGTAAAGTGAAGGAGGGTTGAGCTGGGAAGGAGGTGATGGCGGGGAGGGAAGTTCGAGAGTACACAAATCTTTCCGACCCTAAAGGTTCGTTATTTTTGGTGATTAGATCTCTGGGTATTTCGTTTGAGGTGGTTTTCTGTTTGTTTCTCGAGGAAAATTTCGAGCTTTTTGTTTGCGCCGCTCTTTGTTGCAGATAAGAAATTAGGGAAAGGGAAGGACAAAATAGATGATGAGGACGTCACCTTCCAACGAATGGTTGCAAAGGTTAGCGCGTCGCCTCTCCTCTGTTAATCAATCGGTGCTCTCTGCGGTCAATCTTCTGCTATCTGAAGAGATTTTGACAAAATGTGGTTACATGTGTATGTTTGTTTGTACTGTACATATCTGGTCTGTAATGCATCTATGCTTGGATATACGAATATGACAAGTAGTTTTCTTGGCGACATTATGAATCCATGCTATGAATTTGGTGGGTCTAGTCTTATGTATGGAATAGGCATGGCGGGTATATCATAGATGGATCGATTCTCTGTCGGAGAATACCATTGAAATTCTATGTTGCTGTATGTGAAATTCACTTTTTAAATGTGTTTGAGGTTTGCAGGTTCAGTTCCACAGCTTCTTTTCCAGTTTTCACTTTGGTCGGTCATGCAAGTTCTTTAGCCACTGGATATTTGATTGCAGAAAGCTGTTTTCTGTTGAAAAATTTTGTATTCATGTGGTATTTGGAGGTTAGTTTTCTGATAACATGCCCCGGCAGGGATAATGGCTCCGCCCATTGGCTGGTTGTTGCGTGCAGATGCAGGAGGTTGCTGGTGAGCGTGGAGGCTATCTTCACGGCCGAGGCGGTACTCTCCCTCTCTCTAGCGCATTTCCTTCACTCAGATTCTCATTCTCGGCTACATTTTCTTGGGCCACAACTCCTGAATTTTTTATATATGCAGCTCTGGATAGTGATGATTTACTTTACCTCAAAGAGCAGATGGAAGCGGAGGAGGATGCAGAACGTCTTTTGAGACGGACTGAGAAACGGGCTTTTGCTGCATTTAAGATATCCTTTCCGAGTTTCTAGTTATTCGCAGCTTGAGAAGATACAATCATCCTGACCCGGATTACTTGGGTTTTTGGCAAACATGCTGAATCACCGATGATTGTCCAAAGAGTTTTGTTTTGTTTACATTTTCCTTGACTAGAGATCACAAAGCTGCAAGCCAAGCAGATTCCTCGACGGCATCACTTCCTTTACCACTTCGTGTTGAGCCGAAACCGAAGAGCGGGATTAGGT